GAGCCCGCTTGGCGTTGCGCTTGCAAGGGGCCTATTGAATGAGAAGGTTAGCTGATTGTGAACCACATTGCAACTGTTTCAATCCGAACTCTACTCTGATGATGAAAGAGCCTCGGAAAGATGGGACGTTGGTTGTATAAGACTTACGGAAGAAGAGGGGGTAGCGGAGGGAGTGGCGGAGACGGGGTCGGCGGCCTGGTCGGAGCTGCCAGAGGCAGGGGTGGAGGGGGTAGCGGAAGCGACGGCTGAGGTCACGAGGGTGGTGGGAGCAGCAGAGGGGGTAGCAGAGCCAGAGCCAGTGCCGGAGCCGGAGCCGGAGGTGAAGTCGACGCAAGACATGTAAGTCTGGCCGGCCTCAGCAGAGTCCCACCACCACTGGAGAACGCAGTTGCCGGCGGTGCCGCAGTTGGAGGGGAGGGAGTCGGGAAGGGTGACGCTGAAGGCGGTGTTGTTGGCAGCGACACCGGTCTTGGTGGAGGCGTAGTTGGTGAAGGAGATCAAGGGAGATCCGATGATGGAGTTGCTGGTGGTGTCGACGACGGAGACGTTGGCGACACCGGTGTGGGGAGCGCGGATCTCAACCTTGAAGTCGACGGTCTGGCCGGCAGTGTAGCTCTGGATGTTGGCAGAGTTGTCGGCGAACTTGTAGCCCTTGCACAGAGCGAGCTCGCACTTGGAGGCGTCGAGGCTGCTGCCGGCCTGCTGGGCGAGGCCCTGGATGTTGCCGTACGGGTCGGACTGCTCGGTGTTCCACATGGTGGTGCCGCAGGCCTCCTTGAAGGCATCGCCGGCGGGGCGGGGAGTGGGAGAGGTGACCTTGCCGTGGGCCGAGACGGCGGCGACGAAGGAGAGAACGGTGAGGATGTTGGACTGCATTTTGACTGAGTTCTACACGGTAGATTTGGGTCTGTTTTGTGGTATAAAAAGAGGGTTTGACGGTTGGGATTTTGTCTTGCAATGTTCTGTAAAAAGCTTCAAAAGAATGGCTTGTGTCTAGCACAGCTGTAAAGAGAGTGTTGAAAGAATGAACGTGAATGAAAATTCGGACAAGTTTGGAATGAGACGAGGAGATCAGATCAGAGAAGACGACAAGAAGAGTTTGAAGGCCATGGAGGATGGTCTTATACGGTTCGACTGGCAAACCCGTCTTTACGACTTGCCGTCAAAGTGGTGGGTGTCATGGGCGACCCAGTCCGGACCCAGCCACGGACCCGGAGCAATCTATGCAAGACGGCTTGTTGCGATCGAAGCTTTCAGGGGAACTGATAGTACCTTGCATGGTCATGGACTCATGGTGCAGAACGCACGAGAAGAGAAAAAGCTCAGGCCAGCCTTGGGCAGTCAGGTACAGGGCGAGACGGTGTTGCGTAGACTCTAGAGTACGGATGGACACCAGCAAGTAACCCTCCAACAGCCTTCCAAGAGACCAAGACGGCCACCAAGAGTCTAGAGATGTGATCCATTCATGGTCCTGGAACATGGCAGCCAACGACCCCCAGTCAGCTCCATGTGGAGGGAATGGCAGCGATTGGGCGGATGACGGGCAGGGCTCCCACAACGGGCAGTAGTCGCCCAGTTGTTTAATTTGAGTGAGGCTAGGTGGACACTCTTTAGACCGAGTCTTGCCCGTCTTTGGCTGACATTCCTGCGCAGACGCCGTGACGCCCAAGAGAAGTGACGCGGGTCGAATCGAGAGAGAGAGATGGGGAGGGGGAGTGCACGCCGCACGACACCGTCTGACATGATCCTTGCTTCACCCTTCTCGCTCCTGAACCGGGATGGCTGAAACGGCGCCATCACGCATCTTTCAGGCGGCTCCGCCGTATGACCCCCACCGCCTTGCTGTACGTAGTACTCGATTCGCTGGACGGTCGACCTCGTTCACGTTGTCGTAGTCGGGCTTGCTGTCGTTGCGGTAGAGATCACAGTCCATTCTTCGTCCCATCTTCGGTTCCTCGGCCTCTCGCATCTTCGATGACCTCAACGGGAGATCATATGAGGATCTTTACGACCTGGAACGTCCCTGTAAGCGAGAAATCAAAGGTCGATGCGCTCGTCGGGAAGCTGCCTGTCTCTAAAGGGGCATGACAGATCATGTTTGTCGCTCTCCACGTTTTTCATTTTTTCCTCCTTCTTGGGAAAAATTGGAGTTGTTGTGCGGGTAGCTGGCCTGTTTCGAGAAGCTCTCTCCGTGGATCAATCTCGACTGTTGGCAATTTATTGATGTGAACTGGAGCTGAGTGAGCCTGACCTACCTTGCCCGTCGCCCCTCTGAAGTTCCAGCAAGGGCGAAGCGTGTTAGTCGAGACTTGACCGCATCAGTGATCGTCGCCCGGAATTAGCTACCGACTGGTAAACGGTACCGCGATACTCCGTACAATGCCGTTCAATCTGGATGAATCTCACATAGAATGAGATCTTTCTCTGGTGCGACTTCAGCTTACCAGCTCCTTCGCGTAGATAGCATCACTCTGGCACTCGCTGCGCAGTCACGTCTCATGGCCATGGCACTCAGCGCATCTCTTCATCAACTTCAGACCACGCCCGTTGTCCGTGTGGGCTCCGTCGTACCCGACTTGGCTCCCAGGTCGTGGGCCACTCTATGGCGCGCGTCACTCGAATACGCCAACGTATTCCCAATCCTCCAAGTGGTTCTCTCTTGTGTCTGCTTTTCGTACCCGGCTTGGCTGATTGTCGGTGTGCAGACTGACTTCCCGCGGCCAGGCCAGGTATTACCAGGCAGGGCGCTCGTCGGGCTCGTTTCTTCTTCTCGCCTTCTTCGTCCGATCATCAACTGAACACATTGAAACTCACCCCCGTGCCCACATCGTGGATCCGAGGCAGGGTCAGGGGCGCTAAACCTTGTCCCATCAGCGGGTACCTGGGCCAGACCAGGCACAGGCTCCAGGCCCCCCCTCCCTTCGGCCCCCCCTCCTAGGCTCCTCCTGAACGGAACTGAGCCCGTTAGATTGGGCCGTTTGAATTTTACCTACAGGTGAGGATTCTGAGGAAGGAAGGAAGCAAGGAAGGGAAAAGGGGATGGGCGCGGATAGACAAGCGAAGAACATGGCTCCAGCTGTTTATGCGACGGAGAATGTGGGAGATGAAATGCATTTTTAAATTCATGGGATGAAAGATGGAGAAACAGGAGCTGAGGCCCCTCCACATTCCCGCTGTGCCTCCCCAAGACCTCCATCTGCTTGATTCGGTCAGTGACCGATTCTATCGGCCGAGTGAGGATGACATAATCATGCAAAAGTCCTTTTAAGTCTCCCCCCTCTCATTTTCGGTCTTTGGTGGTCGGACGGTGGACCTTTTGGCTTTCGGGATGCAGCAGGATGTCGTCAGTTGCCGCGGCCCGGCATGAAGCCGGGCGCTTGGCTGGAAGAAAGCTTCTAGATCGACTGGAGCTGTTTGGTAAAGGTTGACCGTGAGTGTAGTGTGGATGATGCGTGGAAGGACCGATGAGATTCATGCGGGAAGCCGCCTACATCACGTCCATCTAATTACCTACCTCCTGGGACTAATGAGACTTGTATCTAAGCCAACACACCAAGCAGGCTCAAAGATAAGGGTGTTTACTACTACATCAGATTGACGAGTCTTTCTTATTTCTGTATGAATACAAGGGAGGAGACTCAGATATAATTTGAACGTACGGAACGTACGGAATCAGTCTGCGATTCAAACGCCGGCTGCCATAGTAGAGACATCATCAGCGCGAAGTGAGACTTACATAGCCCGAGGGCAGAATCGGCCCTCACGATAGGACAGTCGACTCCTGGCGCTTACTCACTACATGCCATGCTATACAGTTTGTCTACATGATGAGTTTGTGCTGCTCAGAGGCTCTAGCACTCGCTTCAGTGAAGGATTCGCTAGAAGTCTTGACTCAGGCGACGTTCGTTGAGTGCTGCCCTTAGCAGAGTATCCAAAGATCTATCGTCATGAGTTTTGATTGCTGTACTTACGATCCCCGCAAATTTTAGGCCGTCTTAAGTTGATTATGCTTGAATCGGCAGTGCACTTCTTCCCCGGCCGCAGCGCAGCTATGAGTATGGAGTCCCACCTTCAGATGCCGCGTCATCCGTCTTTCGCGCCCGGCGCTCAATCTGACACGGCCCTTGCAGCTGCGACGGCGCTACTGGACAGGCCTAGCTATGGCTCCGGCCGGAATCTCATTCTCCTAGTCGCCATTTCGGCCTCCCTGATCGGCTCTGTTGTCCGTGCCTTGTCTTGGCCCCGGAGGTGTATGTTGTAATTGCCGGGCGGATACCGGCTTTCTTCGACTCAGCGCGGCGGTCACTTGGCGATTCTCATCAGGTAATCAAAGTCTGTACCATAACCTGATGCTGAAATTACAGGTTGAATTCAAGCTGTTCGGCATTTTCACTCAACAAGTCCAAGAGTAAAGCACGTGTCGTAGTGGTTCGGTGTGATGTTGACAACCAGCCGTAGCCTCGTGTCCCGCGGCGTTTCCTCTTGAGATGGGTGCCTCCTGAGGATAATAACAGTCGTCTCATCGAGTCCTCAGTACATCCTCACATATTGCACCTCTTTACTTTTACTTCTTCGAAACTTGGTTAATGCCACTCTTCAACATTCCGCGACGCGACCTACTCATTGTCCGTCAAGCGTCATGCGGCCTACTCTCATTACGCGGACCGGTCATCCCCAACCACGCTAAAAGGGAATGCGAGTACTGCTAATTGTCGCCGGGCGTATACTACTGCCCTTAGAAACTGGAACCTATGGTGACTACATAAGCATTTGTTATCTTACTACATCGTGACGTAACGGAGGAAGCACCGGGTATTCAGATCATCGTGGGAAACAATACAACAAATGAGGCGAGTCAGCCGGCTACATAGGAAGTATGTGGGCCTGGCAGGTTGATCGCAGGTCTACTTCAGTGATATTGTAACCTTGGAAGCGGACCCATTATGTGAGGTTTCAATATGCCCAGTCACAATGTGGACAGTGGCATTGATAGTTGTAGTGCTGCTACCTTCGCTACCTTGACATTGAAAGAACTATAGATTTTGAACTGACAAGAAGCCAAAAGCCGCTTAGCTTCAACTCCTTCGTCAATATGAAAATGAACCCATCCGACCTGTCTTGGAAAGTAAGAGCCTGACCATGTCTATCCTGTTAACCCCATCTCATGGACTTCCGCTTCCAATTCTGTCTCTGCCTGGTTCAGCCCACCTATCCAATTTTCCACACCCTCCAGCTCCTTGGGCGACAGCTCGGCGTAGGGCTTCCTCGGCACACCTCCATAACCTCTCCAGTATCTGATTGCCGCCTTCATACCCACGATCCCCTTGACAGAACCGAACAAGTCCGCTGCCGTGATGTCTTCCTCCAGACGTGCCGCCTCACTGAACTTCCTCCGGCAAGAGAGATCCCTGACGCGCACACACGTATAAGGCGCGAGGTTAGCGAGCTCCACGATACTTCCGTTACTTCCGTCCGCCTTCGCCTCGAATAACTGGTGCTGTAGGATGTATCTGGCGCTACTGCCGGCGACAAAGAACCCTTCGGGCAAGTCGTATGCCGCCCGCGCGATTGTACATGTATATGGTAAGTTAATGTCCTCGAGAGTGACGCCGACGACATTGGGGTGCTTCGCGATGCGGCAAAGGGCCTCCAAAGTAAGAGCTGTGGGTTTCAGTCCCGCTGTCATCATCGGGGGGTTTTGAATGACAATCGGGATGGGAGACTTGTCCGCGATGTCGTAGAAGTGCTGGATAATGATTTCATCGTCGTCGAGGGAAGAGGCATAGTAGCTTGTAGGTAGTACCAATGCGTGAGACGCGCCGCTCTCAGCTGCGTCCCTGCAGAGTTGAAGTGTTCCGCACGCGGCGATCAATGGGGGGTTGTGACTACTGAAATCGGCGTGACATTCTCGGTGGATGGTGTCAGCAGCGCACCTGATCATGGTGTTTCGTTCTTCTCTTGTCAGGTGCTCTACTTCGCCGATGGAGCTATGAATGACGATGCCTGCTACTCCTGCTTTGATGATTCTGGTGAGATGAGTCTCGAGGGTTCTTGTGTCGACGTCCTCCGATTCTGTAAAGAAGGCGAGAGTGGGAGCGCATATTCCGTCAGAGAGGCGAAGACGCATTACTTTGGGTGCTCCGTATGAGAGTCTCGCCTGCGGGCTTTAATCCGAGTTGTCAGCCGGCATTGTTGTTGAGAATGTGTTGAAGCCGATATCGTGTGGAGCTATGACAAGTGCCTAAGGTCAGGAATTTTAGCTACATCTATGAGAAAGGCCAGGGAATCGAAAGCGAAGCGGGAAGCTTGCAACTTTATGTATGATGTATCATACTTCGGAACCACCAGGGGTCTCGGAGTGAATTTCGTCCCATCAAATATCAGATGTTAGTTCAACGGGGCTCATATGTGAGCAAAGTTCAATATGGCTCCTGAGGTGCCTTTCGGTGAATATATGGCATTGCGAGAATTTGGGGAGTAGTTCTAAGGTGTTGGCGGGCATGAAATAACGTTGGAGTGGCTACTGTGCCAAAGGCATATTCTGCCTATTTCGAATGCGCCGCTAGACGGTTGAGAGTGTGAAGTCGAGGGTTAATTCAGTAGGTTTTCGGTATTGGCACATCACAAGGTGCGCCACCATAACATCTTCTGAAGCACCCATCCGGTAACTTCTTTCTGCTCGCAACCCTTGCAGAAATTTCTCCCCTGACGGCTTTAAGACAGGAGACATCATCCTGCATATTATATTGCTTCCATATCCAGAGCTCTTGCTTGCGTCAAAGTACGCTCGATACATAAAGCTGCATACCTGGTAAACGCTTACCAGCGTCACGCGTGCCAGCCTTGCCAGTCTAGGTACATGTAGTACCTCCAATGTTCGTAAGCTCTTTTGTTAACTTGCAGGAATTTCCAGTCCATTGCTTCAACCTTCGCTCACGCATGAATCGGACTGAACTAACCGGGCCGCCAGGAATCAAGCTTAATCACGGGTTCCAACAGCTAGAAGAGTTGTCGATGTTCCCACAACTTTGTCGTACGTCCATGACACCGGGGATATAGCCATTCATAAGACGTCAAATTATACCATTCAGAAACACTTTTGTACAGATGTAAGATTCAAATAAATTTTGTTCCCGGTAATTTAGAGCATGCCTGTGCCTTACTGTCGTCGCCCACCTCACTTCACATGGGTCTGCAATGCGTGGGGTCTTCTTTTCATCATTGGCCTGGCTCTCACATCTCCACACCACATTGCATCCGCAAGATGGATAACCGGCGTTGTGGCAGAGTGGTCTAATGCGCAAGACTAGAAATCTTGTTCCTTCGGGAGCGTCTGTTCGAATCAGGCCAACGTCGATTACCTTTTGTTTCCCGGCGCAGTTGCATTGCGTCAAACCGCAAGCATGTTTTGAAGTTTTGTGGTTCCAAGTGTCAGTCGAAAAGACGAAGTAAGACGTTGCGCTAAGATAAGTCAGCTAAGTTTTATCATACACGCATTTAGTGTATCAGTATTTCTCAAGTTTTTGAAGACGAATTCCAAGTGTTGTTCAAGAAGGTAAATGTATCTATCGTTGATATTTGATACATGTTCATGACTCTTCAAGAATCCAAATCAGTAGTACTTCTAATTCGAAAACCTTCGTTTTGTGGCATACTTCTTTCTCCAGTCTTTGAACAAAACGTACTTATACCATCTTTAATTTCCAGGTACGCGGCTGAGAAAAAACATTTTCTAATCTCGAACTACCTAGTACACATAAATCAGCTCTTGTGTAACCTCAGGGGTGTCTACCCCAGAACCAGGTTAAAGAAACTCCAATCAACGCCCCGTCCTGTATATCTCTCTTCATCTCAGACTCGAGCCTGTCCATGTCTTGGGTAGTCTGGAGAGTGTCGACGCCTCCAGATTCAAGTATAGATAGCATTACAGGCCTAGCAACCTCGGTGGCTATCTTTCTCATCGATTCCCGCATCATGCCCTCAACGCTGAAAGTGCTCCAGACCTTCTCATCGACATCCGTAAAACCTGCGTCTCGAAGCACGAGGGGAAGTTGGGCGGGCATGCTGTATCGGGTTATCAATGCCCGCAGAACGAGAATACCAAGACTACCTTGTGTCTAAACAGAGAGCTTTGTGAAGGACTTACAATGGATTACGGCCAACTTTGATCGACCACAGCAACCTAATCCTAGACCACTCGTCGAAAGCGTGGCTAGGTGGGACGCACTTCCATGACGTGTCGCCTGCTTCTTCCCAGTGAATGTATCCCCCAGGGTGTAACAGTGTAAATGCGTTAGTAGCCAAGATCGCCCAGTCTTCTTTCCGCATTCCAGACCCAATCAATCTGATGTGTACCATGTCGAATGAACTGCGCATTTCTTCTGGGAAAGACTTCAAAGCATTGTGCTGCAAGAGAGAGATATTTGGAGGTAAGGTCGATGAAGGCGGAAACTTGGTGGCGTCCATGTCGATGCCTCGTAGCTCGGCGGATGAGGGAAGCAACTGGGCTATGTCTCTCAGCCAGATGCCGGTGCCAGTCGCGATCTCGGCGACCCGGGGGTTCTGTTGCTTTTTGAGATGTGTCAGAATTTGCTGGGGACAGAGACCACCGCAAAGAGGGAGGAAGATGTTTTTATGATTGTACTCGAGCCTCTGGCGCTCCTTGGCGAGGTCGCCGCGGTTGAGGGCGTAGACGGTATCTTGATCTTTGTTCCATAGCTCCAAGCCAGTGTACGACTGCGGATGGGATACTGCTGCCATTGTGCAAAGATTCCTTGCAAACTGAAAGGTCGAGATTACCGGCAATTCTTCAGCAAGAGTGTAGGGACCAAGAGCCTTTTGTAACCATTGACCAATGTCACACGAAAGTAAGCTCTCAACCGAGGTAGAAATTGAGTTGATAACATGACAAGCTTTGGCCAATCGATCGAGAAATTGCTATCAACGTTGAGCTGTATCAACATATTAGGCTTTCGGGACTTGGTCATCAGAAACGCCATTGGTGGATGGTGTATCATTCATGTATGTTTTTGATCGTTCGAGAATAGTCTAAGATGCGGATCAAAAGATTGTATCTAACCAAGCACCCTTGATATCGCCGAGTTCGGCTCCGATATGCAGTGTCGGGCTTAGGGCCTTAGGCATTATAGGTACTTGGCACATGTAGAAAGATGAAGTGTACCACAACGGCAACCTTGCGTTGAACAAGTAAAAACACGCATCGCCACTACTGTGCTGTGGGTATCTGCACGCCTCAGCAGCATTACAGCCGTCGTTCTCAAAATGTTCTCGGGATTGTGGAACAACAGCGCAGCTCTGTGAGGTGACGAACTTGCAACACTATGTCATCTAGCACGCCGCAGTTGTCAGCATGGACGGACCCCTCTGTGCCATGTTGAATGTATTGTTGGCATCTGGAGGTGATGTCGCAAAAGACTACAAGGGAAAAGAAATCGAGGAGTAAGACGATAGAACTCAAATTTCGACCTCACGAGTCTGATGCATTCCTCCATCAAGAGAAAAAGCTGCTCCATGGTCGAGATTTCATCACCGTTCCCGTCTGTCTAAACCCAAATACGAGCCTGAAACTCTAGTAACGGTGGAGATTATATCGAGCCTTCCTGGATGATAACCAACCATCAGAAGCACACAAAAGTCTCGATCACTCCTCACTCCACTCAAAGCCGACAATGTCGACAGCCCCAAGTGCCCAAAAGCATATCATCCCAGGATGTGTCAGAGGTTTTCAACACAGTCCCAATGATGAGATACTGAACTTCTCAACCCATATGCTAGTAGCATCAAAAGCCCGAAGACACAAACTACTCAGAGCGGGGAAGACTTTTTTGAGCCCTTCTGCTCCTCTATAGACTTAAGTGTTCTTCGCGCTGCGGTCTACCAAGGCGCACCTGGTGCGAAATCGTCTGCTGATTTGACTTTTATGATCCCACAGTTCTGACCGACTTACACCAAGGTTCAAAGGCAAAATAAACAGTTTGGCCACCTCCAAGGACTTCAGCCGAGACCTTAAGCATCGAATCAAGCTAGATGAATCATGTGACCATTTCCTCTTGCGGCATGCACGGTTGCAATATGCGGCAAGAGGAAAGTGTTGCTGCAAGAAGAATGCGTGATCAAGTCTTGACATCGTGGGGACTATTTTGGTCCAGGATCGGAGGCCAGAGACGTGGGGGCTATGTGTCAAAGAACCTGCAATCAGGGAGGATGGCTCCAGTTTAAGCAGTGAGGCGCTTACCTACCTACTCAAGGTAAATGCCCCCTTAATCTCGGGCTTTGACGGAGCTTGGTGACTACAGGGCCAAAGGGGTAGCCTAAAGTTATCTGATAAGGTCCTCACCGGAAGGTGCCTGGGTACCGGCGCCGTTGCCTGCGTCCCGGGACGTACCGGCCGGGATCGACACGCCCCACACCGACGGGATCAGGCTTCCGGCCATCATCACCTCAGTCATACGACGCTCACGTCAAGTGGTCCTTGGCAGAAAGAAACATACAAGACATGATAGTCCTTTGGATTTCAGCTCGGAAGCCAGGCATGTAATTCCAGTTGCAAGCAGTGCAGCCTTCTTCAGCCTTCTTCAGCCTCTAGATGAGGGCCTTTGTGGCCCAGAGCTGAAGTGTAAGTTCTCCTGGCAGAGCCATGGCGTTGAAACATGCCGGAGCCGGCGCTGGCGCGCGGCTCTTTACCGGCACTTGGCCACTACCACGTTGTGCAACTGTCAGTTTCTTTCAACAAAATTTTCAAGTCGTGATATGGTTGTAACTCTCAATTGGACTCTTGTGTTGATGCCAAGCTATAAAAAAATGCCTTACCCGGTCCCCTTGTCATTGCTATCTCATCTGACAAGTACCAAGACCCACAACAGCAGAAGGCAAAGTTTGATCAGAAGTCCAATCTGAATACTCGAAAATCATACATTATGACGTCTGATCATGCTGTGACGCCTGATTACATTACGGAGTTTATGAAGGCAAACTTCGAGTACTTCTCAGACGCTTTTGTGGACTGCTTCGATGACCCCGACGATGATATGTCAGCGACCTATCTAGTGGACGTCCGCACCTTCAATGAAAACCCTTGTCGCTACTTCAAAAATTGCTTCTGTCCGAATATGAAACCTCAGCCAGATATCGCGGGGCAAGGTGTAAGTCATGACTTTCAGAACTCCAGATCCATTATATCCTACTCTTATTCACTGGGTCCAGGTATTGATCGCATTCGCCATCACTGCTTTTATCACCCTTTGCTTGTCGATATACTGCCTCTTAGTAGGTCATACCAATGAACGACGGCAGACTTTCAATCCAGTCGACCGATATGTTCGCAAACGCATCTCTGAGCCTCTTCGGCACTTCATGCATCGGAAGGGATTCAGCCCGGACTTGCAATCTCTCGTTGCCTACGACCTCGTCAATACCTTTAGCGACCTTCAGCTTGTGACTGGACTCGCAGTTTTAGTCGCCGGTTTCAGCGAGCTAGCCACCGGGACAATCTCGATTTACCACTCTTTGATCATCACTGATCTCGCGTGGTTTTGCACCAACTCCCACCTACTATCGCTGGCGGTCACTCGAAGCATGAGAGACAGCGTCAAGAAGACGCACCCGCATCGTTATAGTCGCGAGCATACCGAAACAGCTGCACGTCTCGTTCGAGCCTTACGGATCACATTGATGGCCGCTACATTTGCGTTCCTACAAATTGCGTTCTTTGGTACTGGCTACAAGGACATGTACAACATTGAACCAAACTGCCCGATGAAGTGCACTTTGAGCGAACCTAAGGGAGGGAGGGCTCTAAGGTTGATGGTGACTAACATGGTTTTGATGGCCTACTTTTATGCAGTACAGATCTTCCTCACCTGGCGAAGTGGTCGTATCTTCTGGATGGACCACATCAGAGGGTCCCTCATCGACAAGCAAGGTCAAACAGTCAATATTCTGAACCCGGAAGTGGTGTTCAAGCAGTGGACCGAAAACAGAGTTTTGAAGACGCTGAAGTCAACGGTTCTGGTCGTCTGGTACTGTCTTGCGTCTGAAGCTGGGGTCCTGTTTGGACTCACCATTTATTTTGTATTTGGGGTGTATTCTCTCATCGATGATCGGGTCCGTGGGCACAAAAAGATGGACCAAAAGGTCCATAATGAAGAGGACGAGGTTGTTTACAGCCAGCTGGTCCCAATCTTCGTAATGATTATCCCATTCATGGGGATATTTGAGTCTTATGCACGACATTCGAAGGCGGTCAGGGAGTATGAAGCCAACGAGCTAGAAAGCCGAACATCAGAGGGATCTTAAGGACAATTTTGTTTCATGCGAACCTTGGAGAAGAACCGGGACGAAAAGATGGAAAATGAGTACACAGAATGACGTACAGGATGATTGTAGCTGAGGCAAGGAGGGAGGATACCATGCGGAATGCCATAATACGCCGGACATCGGATTGAATTCGATTTAGAGAAAATGTCAGCTTTTTCGCACAGTCAAAGCAACATGGCGGTGTTCGTCGTGTGTTTGCCCTCAGGGTTGGCCAGCACGTTCCCATCGTTGCCTCTTCCGGCGGTGTCACGGATCGTCGAAGCGTTGACACTTTCACCCACTAAGAGGCGTACGAGGAAAGTCCGTCAGCCGGCAAGGCAGATGTCCCATGAGACATGAAGAAGCCACACCAGGCAGAGAGTTGACATGAGAACGTCGAGATTTGACAGAGTTCCTAGGGGTAAGGGCTGAATGGAAGCAATAAATGGGAGCAGGCACCGACATTTGCCCAGCGCCACAACGCTAGAGCGCGAAATGTCTCATTCCCCGGCCTTCACACGCATGCCAATGAGAGTGCCGCCCATTCCTGACACTTTTGCTTTGACGCTAATGTCCCGCCTCCATGAAGCTCTTCTAAACGCGTCCGGCGTAGCGGTGGCTGAGTGTAGGGGCGTGTTTTACAGGTCTCCCGGCACGAGATGATGAGAGGGCGGGCCGAGGATGCCAGGCAGTGTGCCTTTGCCATGCCAAATGAATGAGGGTAAGAATTTTGTTACGCAACTTTTCTTGAGACGCGTCAGAAGAAGCCTACATGGTTCTTGGTACCCATGCATCTCAGGGATCGTCACGATCAGTTGGCCTCCTGAAGGTATACGAATCTAGCCATATACCTCACTGGGTGAAACCAAAGGGCGGACCGTCAGCCTCCCGCCAAGCTCACATACACAATTCGAGGCACAAGTGCGTCGGTAGATTTGATATAAGACGACCGTCACTCTTTCCCAAGTAGGAGATTAAGGACCGGACGACATCAGAACGTACATTCACCTCATAGATCACCGTCATCACTCACCATCGCCTCCTCTCGCCCGTGCCCACGGCTCAGACATCGCCCGCAGCCATATCAACCTGTCCATCACCCAACACTTTGGAAACAATCCATCACCCACATTCACACAATCTTACATACACTCAAAATGCGTCCCTCAACCTACTTCCTCGCAGCCCTCTGCTCATTAGCAAACGCCCTCCAAGCCATAGACGTACCAAACCGCGCCAGCGAAGCCATAGCAGCAGCCAACGCAGCCATAAAGGATCGCCGCGACCTCAACGCTTGCAACTCCGTCGCAACCTCTCTCCTGCCCAAGATTACCGACGGCGTGCCTACGCCGCCCGCCGATGTGGCCGCCTATATCGCGCTCTCAGTGACTGTTACGGACGCCTGCTCCGATCCGATCATCACGGGGTCCATCGGCTCCGCGTACTCGACCTACGCGTCGTCGTACACCTCGTGGAGGGACAAGCACATTACCGACTTCCGCGCCCTGTGGCAGGCCTGCAGCGACGTTCCGGGCGCCGTTGACGTTTTGCCTACGGGTACGAACCAGTGTAGCTCCGTCGTGGCGCAGATTACCAGCGCGGGGCCGGTCAACGGCGGCGGGTCGGGGGGCATCGGATCACACAATGCTGCTGCTAGGCCTATGGAGACTGGTGCTGTTGTTGCGGCGGCGGCTATGGCTGGGTTCGTTGTTGCTGCTATCCAGTAAGAGCTGGCTTGATACTTGAGGCGTGCGCCTTTGACCGAAGAATTGGAACCTGTAGGAAGGGATGGAGGCGGGGAATGGAAGGTTTTATTGGCACTAGTTGATACCTTGATCAGGAGGAAGTAATGAGAATTATGACATTGCTGGGATTTCACGGCCTTTTCAAGCAGTATCAGATGTGAAGGAGAAACACACTTGATGCTTTCATTCCCCTCGTTGGAGCTGTCCATATTGACTCCGTATACGCCCGCTTCCATCTGATATCTCAATGTTTCCTCCCACATGCCTCTTACGCACTTGACATTATCATTAGGTTTGTTTCCAAAATATCTACAAGAATCTTCTTCATCATAACAGGACGGCAAAGTTCCAATTCTCCACCGCCGAGTGCGACTTTTTCAAGTCTCTCTTCAACCAGCACCGCAGCTCCGCGGCGCCATTGATCATGACGTTGCCCCACGATACGCCGGTGCACTGGGCCGACTTTGCGCAAATCTCCATGCAATCGCCCATGGTGCTAGCCTGCGTGTTGGACATGTCGATGGCGCCGTCGTCGCCGCTGTAGTCGAGCCCGCAGAGCCGGAGGAAGCGCTTGTCGGAGCCGATGACGTTGTAGACGGTGTTGTCTGCGTCTGGGCAAATGGCGTTGCCGCTCGAGGTTGCTGTCGGAGACGGGGTTGATGTGGAGGTTATTGTAACCGAGGTTGGTATTGTTGTTGATGCGGTTGCCGTTGCTGTTGCGTCACTGCTGCTCCGTGGCATGGAGGAGGAGCTGGACATTGTGGGCACGATCATTGTTGTCGATGTCGAGCTTGCGCCTGAAGTTGGCGTGGGCGTCGAGGTTGAGCTGGAGCTTTGTTAATCAGGATGCCCGCGCGCATGTCAAAGTTCAAGAGAAAACACATACCTCGTCGTCGCGGCGCTCTGGTCCGACTTCTGATTCGCGCCGATACCGACACCAACACCAATGCCAACCCCGAGAACAACCGCAATAATCAGAGCAACAAGCAGCCAGAACACCCACATCGTCATACCGCAGCACTTGCGCTTCCTCTTGCGATCACTGTCCTCCTCGTCGTGATCAAATGCGCTCTGCCGAACCCCCCGCGTTCGAGTAGCCTTATCGTTGCCGGCGCCATCCGGAAGCGGCGGCGTGTCCTCGCGATAGAACGTAAACTCCTCATTGTTCATTGGCGTTGGGTCATCGCCGGCCCAGTAGACACTGGGGATGGACGCCTTGCCAAAGATAGATCCCTTTGCACTCCGGATGGTGGCCGCTTTGCGGGGTGACGGCACGGTGCGTTTTGCTTTGAGGTCGCGGGGGACGATCGGGTCCGGTTCGTCCGGCGGGGGAGGGCGGTCGTTCATCATCTTGTTACCGATGATTTCTGTCCCGTTGCCACTTTGATCTGGGCGTTTCCGATCCCTCTAGTTGAGTTCCTCCAGTTGGATGTTCTCCAGTGTTGCCCAATTCCTATTCGATCCCAAGCAAATGGTTGGCAATTTGCAATTGCCGATGTAAGGCCCTGCAGACAACAATTGCCAGAGTTGCTTTCTTTCTGTGGCAAGGCTGTTGGCGTAGCGTGTAGGTTGGGTTATACGGCGAGATCCCGCACCATTATCTCGGCCTTCCCGGGACGAGGACAGAGTTTCGCAGCCTTGCTGTGGCTGGACCCTTGGTTTAAAAGAAACGAATGTATCTCGAACAAATGCGACCTTGTTTCAAACGAGCGAAAGTGGGCGCGCCCTGGAAGCGCAATGCGCTGCGCTGCCGCGAGTGAATTGGGGTCCTTTGCCCGTATCCCAAACCCCAGCCCGTCACACGTCGAGCGGGAAAAGAGTGAACCGCTTTGTGGGATATTTCGCCTTCAATTGAATGAATGAAATTGAAGCGAAACGTAATGAATGAGAGTGAGTGAAGGAAGGGAAAGAATGAAGGCGAGAGAGAGAAACGAAAAGTGGGCAAACAGAGTCAACCGTTACCCGCGAATCCATGATCCGTTCAGGAAACTCTCCTCCCCCCTGTTGCTGGGCTTTCTCCATCAATAAAAGGACCTATATAACAGAGTCCGGAAGTAGTGGTGCCCCTGTTGTGATAATTTCCCGGGCCTGGGGGATGATGTGACGGACTAGGCCGCTTTGGCACGTCCAAGCAATCTACACCATGGAGCCATGGTTTTAGGGGCAAGGATCATGACGGTGTTGGCTCGTGGCCCTCTGAGATGAGAACCAACATGAGGAATCAGTTGAGTTGGAATAGTTTGAAACTTCCAAAGTAAAAGGAAGAGAAGATCATGAGAAGATATTCAGAGATCGACTTGCCGAACTGGAATGCGAACAACGGTGTGGTGTTTTGCCCATACATTCGGGATGTTCGCCTGCCTCACCCGAGGAATGCAATGCGACTGTGACGGTCGACCCGACTCACCATTCCCAAGACCGCCAATGAAGACAACGCTCGGCGGGCTGTTTTCCTCGACAAGTTAGCCCCCCAAGCAGATGCCCTACCCCCCTACCTTCATCGAAAAGAAACGGTCCTAGCGCGTCCAGAACAGACAAGCACACAGATAACAAGACGAAAGCATGTGCGAACTGCGAAGTGCGAACCAGCCATCCGGTGCTAAAGAAAGCACCTTGTGGTGGACGCGAAGGAAGAGTGGGAGTCTGACTTTGCAGCGCTGGCGCCACGAGTTTTGTACTTTGCGTCTGAGTCGACCCCTCATCCCTCCCAGAGTGATTTAAAATGATCCTTTGGCCCCTCCACTCTTCTAACAGACGGTACGGATTCATGAAAGTTCTAGGCTCTGCCTTTCCCAAGATGATGGTCCGCTGTGCATGAGCCGGCGCCGCGCATCTGTTCGCTTTGGCGTGCTCCTTTGCGCTTTGCCTCGCCTCGATCGCTTCCGCTTTCCCGCGACGGCAACGGACTGTGCTACAGATGAAGTGTTGAGTGGCGCCAACTCTCAAACCCGTCTTCTTTCAGAGAGCCTCAGTGCTTCACTCATATTCGTTGCCGTGGTCACTTGACCCAAGCTGTGGCAGGGTAAGGTGAGCAAGGAGCAGAGGTAAAGGGTATAGAGGAAAGGGAACCGCTGGATACTTCATCTCTGGGAGAGAGTCATGGAAGTGGTATGTGCGGAGAGGAAACTGGTCAAACTAGCAGAGTTTGCGATTCATGAAGGGACCGTTCATCTCAACTTTTTCATCCCAACGGTGTCCCTGCGAGGAGCCCAACCTCGAAAATATCCCATGGAAAAACTGAAAAGGCAAGGGAAACGAACGGAACGGGGAATCGAGCGACAAAAGCCTGCTTTCCAGCCTTGCTAGCTTCGAGAACAACAACAACACTCAACTCTTGACGCCCGATAATCAAACTCCCACGGCCCAAAGCAACGTGCTTTCACAGCATTCCATGGCCAAAGCCCCTGTCCAAGCCCTTGTCGTTCGTCTTTTTTTTTTTTTTTTTTTTTTTTTTGGCGAAGGAAGGCCATTGCCAGAAGGAAAAATCCCCGAGCTTTCGAAGCCCTGGAATGCAGCTTAGAATTATTCTTCCTCTAATTATGGCTGACCACGGAGGCCTGAAAGCTGAAAGCCTCATGTTCGTCCTCGGCTCTCCGAGTCTCCGTAACACTAACAGCAAACAGGTTCCCGATGCTATTGGGAAATGAAGACGAGGTCGGTACGGGTCTACTAGTCAACAAGTCAAGCAATTGTCAAGGAAGCCCTCTGCTCTCTTGGTCTCCTCTCCGAGGTCTCCAGCCCCCAGTCCCAGGGCGATCGCTGCAAGTCGGGCATGAGGTGGTGTGGATCATCTCCACGAACATCCCGGCATTCCGTCCATCGGGCACCAACTCGACGCCGCTCTCTTGAGATGAAGCGTTGATGCCAATCAACTCTTCTCCCTTTGAAAGCTTCCTTTAAACATGCACGTCGTCCCGGAGCGGGTGGCCAATGTTGCATGACTCCCGCAAGACCTTTCCTTGTCTGCTCTTATACTCGCTGCGTTTTCTGCTGTTTTTGTTGGAGGAAATTTTCCAAGCGGCCTGTCCTTACCGTCCCATCCCGCATCCGTACCAGACCAAAAAGAGGGTGAAGCCATCGTCAAGTTTTTCAGCTGCAGTGGAGATTTCATTTTGATCATCATTTCGGCCCGTTGACTGCAGCATGACCCATCGACAGGCCCCGCCGCAGCCGGCCCGGAGCTCGCGGCCCCAGACCGAGAAGGTATCCAGCTCGGCATCCAAGAGCAAGGGAACTAAAGCGACGGTACCGGCTCCGGCACCAGCTCCGGCTTCCAAGCCCGCGAGGCAGACGACTCCAATCGCAGCACCGAAGCCTGTCCGCCCGGTTTCTGCTCACAAACTTCAGCCCCCGGTGCAGCAGTGGACAGGAAACCCAAGCCCTCCCTCTTACACCAGCTTCAACGTCCCACCTCCCGCGAGCCCAGCACCGAAAACCGGCGCCGGTGGCCCTACGGCACCCCCGAAAGGCCCTCTATCTGGCGTCGGCCGCGTAGCCGACCTCCGCAGCCCCGGACCCGGCGCCCTTACCAGCTTTCCGCCACCGCCGACACCGCCACAGAGGGAGACCGCCGGCTACTTTCCCGCGGGTGCAGGACAGCAACAACAACTATCATCAGCGCAAATTAAGGCAGCCGCAGCTCGTGTCCCGGCTAGTGCGGCCAATGGAGTCCTTACACCACCCGAAAAGGCAAAAAGTACTGGGGCAGCGGAACAGCGGCGGCCTGGCATGATCGACTTTGATAACCTCGAAGAGACGCTCCAGAACCTACGCTTCGCGCCCTCGCCGATGCTGTCTACTATCTACTCCGCCCCGTCGACACCTCGCGACGAACTTGCTACTCCCGACTTCACCGCCAGCACCACCACATCGTGCTTCACGCCTCCCTCCACGAATCCGACGCCTGAACCCGTGACGCCGTTGGATCTCACTCCTCGAGGACCGCCGCCGCAACTGAAGCAGCAGCAGCAGCAGCAGCAGCCAAAGAAGGAACTCACAATGTCTCCCACCAGACCGCGCGCCAACTCCCGCAGGGCCAGCCCGCCCAGCAGAAAGCGAGGACGCGGCGTCGTCGCCTGCATCGATAGCCCCGTCACCTTTTGCACGACGTGGTACACACACCCTACTGCGCCCGACTTCTCCATCTGCTCGAAGTGCTACGAGGACCACCTCGTCGGCACCCGTTTCGAGCACGACTTCCGAGGCAAGATCTGCGACGACAACAAGCCGCGAGTCTGCCGCTTCAGCAAGCCCCGCGTCAAGGACCATCTTCTCCGTAACACCCTTGCTACGGGACGCATCGAAGACCTCGTCAGCTTCCTCCTTCACAGGAGCGCCGTTCCGGACTGCAGAGGTGCCGATGGAGCCAAGGGAAGCGACGGGGCGAAATGGTACCGTCCAAAGAACAATGCTGTGCCAAACATGGTTGTCTGCCAGGCCTGCTACGAGGACCATATCAAGCCGTACCGCTTCGCGGCCAACTTTGAGCAGGCCACGGGACAAGCCACCAACGATGTCTGGTCCTGCGACCTCTCCACCCGTTTTATTCAAAATATTTACAAAGAAGCGGCCGTCAAAGACGACTGGATCGGCTTCACCAAGGAGGCTTTCGCCAGGATGGATATGCCCCCCTGCGCCAAGCGCCAAAAGGTTACCGTCACCTCCCGCAAGTGGTTCACCCCCGCGGCCGCAGGCCACGACGGTATCCTTGTCTGCGCCGCGTGCTACTGCGACTTTGTGGCTGGCACCGGCGAAGAAGGAAAATGGTGCGATGCCGGCACGAACCTCGCCTCGCGGTACGGCAGCCTCGTCTACTGCGCGCTGGGTCACTTCAACATTGGCATTGCAATGTCCTGCGCCACCGAGGCGAAGCAGTATTCTATCTTCTGGAAGGCCCTCGACGCGGCCTGCACCGAGGAGTTCTGCAGCCCGCAGGGTATCAAAGACGGGACGTGGTATACGTTTCCGTCCCACCCGGCCGAGTTCGGCATCTGTGCCGCCTGCGTGTCGACCGTTGCCGAACCTCTCGGCTTGAGCTCCTCTCTCGTGCCCAAATGTGGCGTATCATCCGGCACGACGCTCTTGTGCTGCTTCAACCCGGCGAACCCACGCTTTGCGCCGTACATGGCGAAGCTTCTCGAGTGCCACTTCACGGCCGACACCCAGCCGCTTGAGTCCTACGCCCTCGAGTTCGCCAGCCTGCCGCTCTGCCCACGCGACGAAGATTTCCGCGACAGGCGGTGGTATGGATGGCAGGACTGCACGATCTGCCCGTCATGCTACAACGAGTTCATCCGCGGCACGACGCTGGCTGCCGCTATGCCCCTCAAGGGTGGGACCGCGGCCCCAAGTCTTATGTGCGAAATGTACAGCCCGCGCATGCGCAACCTCTACGCCCAGGCGTGTGCCCGCAACGACTCATCTGAGCTACTCCGGGTATCCAAGGCCCGTCGGGCCGTCTATGTCGAGACGGTGCCTACGATCCGGCAGATGATTATGGAGGCGCAGATGGCGCTCGGCCAGCAGCGTATGTCGAACGTTGCGAGCTCGACGAGTCGAGCTATGGGGCAGGTTAAGGATGCTGTTATGCCGAGCCAGGGGGTTTACAGTATGCCCGGCGTTGGATTCGGCTTCTCCAATCACTTTGAGGCTCAGGGTGCCTCGTACAGCAAGCAGGCGAACTCCATCATGGCAGAATATGGGTCGGGATCACGAACGCATGTTATTGGAACGTTGGAGAAGAGATGGAGGGAGGTTGAGTGAGGTGGATGCCTTGAATGAGTGAGGACGTACAAGCATGTTATTCCCTTTGTCTAAAGATACCACTTAGAATATGAAACCCCTTTTCCAAAACATCCACCACCTCTAATATTATTCTGCGATGACTCTGACTTGAGTCGCAAAAGCACCGACTTCACTCCGTCAGTTTCGGATACGCACTCAGAGCTGCCTGGCCACCGGTATGCAAAAACAACGTGGCTTTTCCATCAAACCCTCCTGCCTTTGCAGTATGCAGCAGCCCGGTAAACGCCTTACCGGTGTAGACCGGATCAGTCAGGATTCCCTCCGTCCTAGCCAACGCCTTGATGCCCTCCGCCGTCCGCTCATCAAGGTGACCGTAAGAGCCCCCAAGGTAATCATAGTCAATCTCAAAGTCCTCCCTCGTGATCGACGCAGGGTCCAACCCAATCTTCTTCGCCGCGGTCCTTGCAATGTCCAACACTAGCCCTGCCACGTCGTCTTCAGGCTTCTTCAGAATCGAGTATCCGACCAGTCGCTTCCGCGAACCATCACGGCCGAGCTGCTGCGCGAGCTTGAAGCCGGCAACCAGGCCACCCAAGGTCGAGCCGGATCCAACTGCGACTACGATGTTCGAGATTGACTTTTTGTGCTCGTCTTCCCACTCGAGGAGCTCAAAGGCCCATCTTGCGTAGCCTAGGCCGCCTAGAGGGTGCGTGCTTGCTCCCGCGGGGATCACGTAGGGCTTCCGCCCGCGGCTTTTGAGGGCGGAGACGACGTCGTCTTGGCTTGTGTTTGGCGGGAACGTCTCGGCGCCGAGGATCGAATTGAGCTGGATGTTGCCTGCGTATTTGTACTCTGCATCATCTGACGGGACAGCAGTGACTGGAAAGAGAGCAACCTTTCTGTCCGTCAGACCACGTGAGAGCTAAGAAAGGTGGCGGAAAACTCACTTTTAGGCCTAGCTTTGCCGCAGCCGCAGCCGTCTGGCGCATGTGGTTCGACTGGGTCCCGCCGGTCGTAACTATCGTGTCCGCAACTTGGTCGATCGCATCCGCCAAGACGTACTCTAGCTTGCGCACCTTGTTGCCTCCGAACGCGAGGCCAGAGTTGCAGTCATCGCGGGCAATGTAGATGTCCCCTTCCTTAATCCCCTCCTGGTTCGGGAGTCGCTGCAAGCGTTCAATGTCGACCGGCCGGTCATAGGTTAATTGGATGCGAGGGATCTCGCTGAATGGATGCGGAAGACTCACCATATTTGACTGGTCTCTCGTACCCTGTACTATCGCTTGAGATGTTGGCTACTTTGCCTCAGAGATCAGTCTTGCTGTTGTTGTTGAGGTGCAAGAGTTGAAGCCTTGACATGGGACTTTGGGAGAGGGGCCATCTAACGTAAGATGGATACCCCCGCTTCAGCTAATTCCATGTTAGCCTATGACGTGCGATGGGTAAAAAGGCCATGTGGTTTGTAAGCGGTTGTAGTTTTGAAGATGACTTTTCGCGATCAAATGCTTTGGTATAGCAACGAACTCCATTTCTAGGTGACGCTCCACACACATCAGTATAGCTGCCCGGATAGCGTGCCAGAGATCCATATTCTTACAAGAAGACTTTGAAGGATGTTCTAAAGAAGTCGACCATACTATCTAGGCCAAAAGGTTGGACATCATCTATCACTACTGCTAGAATATATAACAAATACTACCGCCTTCCCTGAAAAGTTAGAAGAAGCCGCAAGTAAACCGAACCTCGAGGTCCCATCTCAAAGTTTGGTACGCTAATGACTGATTAGGTTGTTGCTCTCCGCAATTCTTAAGCAGCCTTTAAGGGAGGGTTTCGTTTCAACTTTCTTTCAGCCATCGAGGTATAGAGTAGATTGAGAAGCGGAAAACTTGGCCCGCGCCATGATATAAAGTGCACTTGTCTGACTGCTTGATGCCAAGCATCCTGTTCATATTGCCATCGACATCATTCCTCCAGTACACGCGTGTAGTACTTCCTCCACATAAAGCTTAGCCTCCAAATAATTCAACTACAGATTCACAAAGATAGGTCGGCAAAAATGCGGTGGAAACAACTTATCTGCTTGCTCGTCCCCTTCGTTCGGGCGGATAGTCCCCCTAAAGACCCGACCCCCGTCACGCGCATCGCAAAAACCCTCACCTCGGCGCCCACTGCAACTTCATCTGCCTCGAAACCGACGGTTGTAGTAGATCGATTCAAGTACGTCCCGGCGACCCGAGGCCGGGAGCTATGTTGGTACGACAGCTTCGTCGATAAGATCGACATGCCCATCAGGCGCGGGCACTATTCCGCCGAGATCCTCAAAGCCGTCTATGACTGCCAGGATAAATGCAGACGGCCGCTCTCTAACGGTGACGAGTGCAAGTATGCCTACTACGTCAAGGGAGGTCCTAGGTCTAATGACATTTGCCTATTGGACAACAAGGGCTTCAACCCCAAGATGATAAATGGCACTGGTCCATATGATTCTTGGGTCTGCGTTGGCAGCGATAAGATCAATCAGGCCTGAACTTGAGTGAGGGTTTGGATGTAAGTTCAGATAGCCGGGAAATGATGAAGGTTACCCTGTGACTGACAGATTTAGGCGTTGTACATACCTAGCAGCTCTAGGATGCGAGCATCGATCAAATGTTGGAATTTGAAGCTTGGCCATATCAGCATCACCAAGGGACGAAACATGGCGCCCGTATTTGACCCGATCATACACAGTATGGCTAGAGACGCAGTATTCGATATCACAAAATCAAGCTTTGCGACTTATGAGCACAATTCAGTCGGCAATCTACTTGACCACTGCATTGGTTTCAGCAACAGAAGCTACGAATAATGGCTGGTAAGAACACTAATTTACGTGGAATATCCCAATCTATGCTTAACTTTCTTTGGGATCCCAAAAATGACGACAATCAAATTCACTCGGCAAACGTCTGAAGGGCTCAAAACTTGCAAAGATCAATGATATTATTCGAGAAACCTTTGAGATTACAGGTTTTTCAAAACCCTTACGAGTGGTAAATAGTTGAAACGACAGTAAATGCTAAGGTATATGTTCCATAGCGCCTTAAAATGCAATCCAAATCCAGTAACGCAAATTTCACTCCTGTTGACGTTCGTGAAAAAAAAATGCCAAATTATTCATCAAGACCCTCCCTCATCCCCAAATTTACAAGAAGAGAGCGCCAACGGCAGCGGCACCAATTAGGCCGAGACCCTGAGGCGACACAATACCCGCAGCATTGGGAGTCTGGGTAGTCTGACTGCCTGCCGTGGTCGGGGTGGTGCTGCTGCCGCCGTTGTTGCTGCCGGATCCGGATGCGGAGGTCTGAGTCGGGGAAGAGGATCCGCCCCCGACCGCGCCGGGGGTGATGGTGGTTGTGAGTTGGGCCGAGTTAGTGGGGCGCGCCGCTGAGACGGACGGGGTAGTGGAAGCATAGGATGCGGTGGAGGCGTAGGAGGTGCTGGCGAAGCCGCAGGTTCTCAGGATGTCGTTGATGTCTATGTCAATATGAGTTAGTACGGGACAAGATTGGGGGATGTTGGGTTTTGGTTTATCTGCTTACCATCCAAGTCATCTCTGTCCCGAACGTTCTGGTCCATGCAGCTGGCGCAGAGCGCGGCGTACTGGGAGACGTTGATGCTGTTGTTTGTGCAGACGCACTGGGCCTCCAGGCGATCCTCGGTCAGGTCATTGTTGATGAGGTCGTCGTTGACCTCGCAAGCCTGGCCGAGGTCGTAAATGGGGCGACAGACGGCCTGGCACTGGGTGGGAATGTCATCGTTGTCGAGTTGGAGGTCGGCCTTGACGAAGGCGACGGCAGCAAGGGACATGGCGACGCGGTTGAAATGCATTTTGGCTGTTGGAGTTGTTCTTGGTGACTGAAGTCGATTTAAGGCTTGAATTGGCTGGGAAATGTGCGAATCGAGGCAATGTTGTGATTTTTGATCGTGTTGGGATGCTGATGAGAATCCAGGATGTAGAGCGGAATGATGCCGGATATATACTAATGTTTCGAGCGACTCTCCTCCCAGGGGCGAGGATCCATGGATCAACAACACAGAGTCGATCAACGGCAGAAGAGACAGACAGACACACCACGTAGGAAGCATCCGGCCGTGTCTCGGGCAGCGACCGCGCATCGTCACTTAGAGGCTTGGGTCTTGGTTGGTATCTTGGCGCTGGCAGTTCTCCATCTCCGCAGCTTCCACTCAAATTGCAGCTATTCGAAAGTGGATTTCGATGAGGGAAGCCAAGAAGCCCCCTAGCTGCCCCAGCCTCAATTGGCGACTCAACATCCCGGGCATTATTCGACGGTAGTTTTTTTTGGTTGTATGAACGTCCTGCTAAAGCCCACTGAACAAGTCTAAATTGAATACACGCTAATTACCTAAAGTCGAGCTCTCGGCAAGTGTTGCTTGGGGGCCTTTCAGTTCCCCGTCAGAGCCCTATGTCATGTTTCTTCCACCTTGTCGAAGCGAAGACAGAAGCCTGCCCTCCGCTGTCCCCGAATCCCCAGGAAAGCTTAATGTGATACGACTAGGGCCCCTTGTGATTCTGTGGACAGTCACAATTTGGCACGAGTCCAAGACGGAGAAGTGTCGCGTGCTACAATTGACAGCATAGTCATTACGGACATGACCGCAACTTGAAATGGTAATGGTATTTACGCAAGGTCAATGCCGGGTGAACAGCCAAGCACCCCCAAAGTGTCAAACAACTGAAGTGGCGCCATAACAACCAGCCAACAAGATAAATGCGTACTACAGGTGTGAGACAATTACCTTACCTCCACGAAATCATGAAATGCCCCTCAAGAGTTCACATAGTGCCATTCGCCATGGTGAGGAGCACAATTGTCTACGCGTACGCTTTGTCCGCACCAACAAGATTCAGTGCTGGGCTTGGGGTCTCGTCGTCTTCCAGAAACTATCAGCCGTGGATCTTGCCAAGGTAAACGCCCCGTCGATTAAACCTTTTGTTATTTTAGATTTCTGCCAATCCATTGTACTCCGTACTAAACTTCCATGAGTACGAATAAGGTGATTACTAGAGATACCCGTACGTAAAAGTTAAGAGGATGAAAATTCGCCGCCGGCACATCCCCGCCAAGCACAGCAGAGCCACGGCGACACGCACCAACCCGCCTCCTCACACAACTATAGAGAACGCGCATTCCAGCAGCCATACCCGTAAGGCTTTCCATCCGACTGGATCTTCCACCATCCACGCCATCCAAGGATGCGCAAGAAAAGATCCGAACATGAGCTGTCGTGTTTCACATCTCTACTTGGCGCATAGTCTCAAAGAGGGGGAGCCTTGTAGTCCCAGTATCTCGTTGTTTACGGTTCGTCCAGTCACGTTCTTAAGGCTTGAAGGGGGTGTTCCCTGCCAGCCTACCCTTCAGTGCCCCCCAAATGACGCTGCGCTGCGGATGATCGACACCACGTCCTGCCACTGGGATCATCATCGGCGCAGGAGTCTGACGGTCTGACCACTCGGAAATCTTTTCTGCGGGTGTTCTGATTGTTCACTGGCTGTTAGTCTCCGCCAGCCTTCGTCAACTCCACGCAACATCAGCACCATCCCCAGCCTTCCTTGCAGCTACATGGGCGATTCTATTCGTAGGGAGACTACGCGGGGCAGCATTGAAGCGGGGGGCTCTGCGTTTGCCCAAAAAGGCACCAAAGCTTCGCGGTGTCTCCATGTCGAGGCCAGCTGAGGGGAGCTGCGGGTACGTGATGCTAAATTTAGGGCCTCACGATGCGCTTGCATCTTGGCACTCTGCCAAAAGAAATTTTAACCAACAAACAAAAGTCAACACAAGACCCACTGGAAATTGAACATCGAATAAGCTTTAAACTCTTCTCATGATCGAACGAACTTTTGGGCTTCTAGATTTTAATCCCAGTGGAAGAACACAACCGCGAGATATTCCGAACAATTATCGTCAATTTACTGATCTCCATGGGGTCTACGTAAGGTGCCAAGACGTCACTGAAGCTTCGCCTCGTTCAAGAGAAGGCTGGTGGAGGAGGACAAAGTGACAAAACAAACCAAGCTCAAGATAAGTAAAATAATCGCGTAAAGACCCCAATCTGGTAGGACAGAAATAGACTCAGAGTGGGGACTTCTGGCTTGCACATATCCAGAAACCAGACCGCAATTTCAAGATCTATATTCGTATGATTGAGTCGGTCTAGAAGTTGTTCAAGTGACCATTCAGACGGCTTGACTGAGGCCGGTTGCCTGGAACTTCGGCGTACAACCCACCTTCCACCAATCTAGGCGAGTTACAGCTCGTCAAGGTTCAGAAGATCGATCGTCAATGTCATCTCGTGGTCATCATACGCGTACGAGGCTCAGTACAGTCTCGAAAGACGTAAGCCTGAGTGGTGAGTCTGTGAGAACATTCGAGTTACGGGTGATGATGTCTGATCTGTGATCACGTCCCACCTTTTGCTTCTGCCGGATCCATCAGGTAACCTGAATAATGGATAGAACAGAAATATTAACAACGCCTGACTCAAAGCGAGTTGAATAAGATAGAATGGGGTCGCAACTTGCCTGCTGTGTCTTTGGTCAAGCTGTCATCATAGGAGCCGCTGTAGTATCGGTAGGCCTTATTGTTTTTGTTTTGTGATCATGCAGAAGACCAGTCTTTACCAACTGATCCCCTAGTCGAAACACCTAGCTAGAACCACAAAGACAAGCGGACTGAATGAGCTGGAGGTACAACAGGCTCAACAGCGCGGTCTGAGACATAGGGCACTCGGCGGATTGCAAGTTGCATCACTTTACTTGCGCGACATCAACTTTCATCAACTCTTATAAATGGTTAATTTGGTACAAGACGCAGTGCTGGAGTCTAGTCGTAGGTTATATACACGAGCAGAATGCGTTGCAGGAAAAGGTTTCCGTTGCCGGATGTCTCCAGGCTTCACCGCGGAGTTGAGTGTGAGAGCTTGTTCTGTCCACGCTTGTTCGTGGTGATCTAACAGCACGGGGCAGGCATGATGAATATCGAGAGCGTTTGCCTCCCTCACCAGCTGGAAACAGTTCAAGTTTTGCTATGTCATGTCAATTGGCTAGTTGCATGAATATAGGAACAAGTCACGTCTACTTATTGTCTCACTGCTTTGGCTACCAGTTGATCGAAGATGATGGTGTGGGTAAAGATCATATGTCTGTTTGGTAATTTAGTACTGGGTCAAACTTGGAATATGATAGTGCGTGTCGCAATGACTATAACAAGGCAAGCCATTAGTGTAGTGGATTATCTAGCCCACGTATAAGGGCAGTAGTGACTCCCAGCATTGCCAAGTGTTGATCTAGCTACGTGACCGGGCCAAAGACCGAGCCTATTGCACAAAGAAGGTAAACGTACGGGAATACAAGTCCCATATCTACTCCGTATAGTTTCATTTTACCGACGGTCTACATAAAGTACTTTAGCAATAGGGGTCAGACGATGATACAGTCATGGCCCACTCATGAATGGCTGTCAAGGATGCATCTAACTAGAAACTCTCAAGCTCAGTAGGTTTCGAGGACCATCAAATCACGAGACCACCAAGTTCTTTCTTTGGAAGTGCCAAAAGTAAATTGTCAGTGTCATCAATTGATTGAGCTTTTGTGTAGTCACGACTATGATTGAAAGTTGTAAAATAGTTCTGGTACTGATGATTTGATCATAATATGTCGTTTAACGTTACGCTAACTACAGCTCACAACTATAAACATGTTTGTGGCTTTTCGTTCATAATACCTAGATTGAACCCATAAGCGTACTTTACAGTCATACCGAAATGTCTCCTATTCCAATGACTTTTGGCGCAAAACTCCAATGCGAACACGAAGCTTCCAGTTGTCTTTACGTTGGTAGTCGGCGGGTACTAGCGACTCCCAGGACTGACCGCATTGTAGAAGAGAAACTACAGGGCCAAACCAGCCACAAGTGTTAACTCTGCTCCAATTGGATAAATGTGTCGTCTGGAATATCCTCATGAATTCATCTTTTGAGATCAGTCGAAAACCACGACAACCTTATTCGCCTTGCCTGACTTTGCCAACTCCAACGCCTCTAATGCCTGGTCAAACGGAACCTGATCACTGACGATCTCCGCGTATTTGTCCCAGTTGTCGACGATGTCATCCGTCACCTCAAAAATCTCAGTCGGATAGCCCACGCTGAAAACAATCGTCAGCTCCGTAGAAATTAACTGCGCAAAGTTCAGTTCAGTTGGCTTCCTGTGGACTCCGACCACGCCAAACGTGGCGCCGCGCTTCGCCATTTTGCACACCTGCGCAGGGACCGGCGGCGCGCCCGCAGCGTCCAGAAAGATATCGGTACCAGGGCGTGTGCCACGGTTCTGCGCCGTCGCTCCATCTCCTTGTAACTCGACTAGCTTCGCGGCCAAGTCTTCTGCCTCTGCTGAGTTGATGACGGCGTCGGCACCGACTTTGAGAGCCTTTTCGAGCCTCGCGTTGACAACGTCTATGACAACGATGTGGCTTGCTCCCTTTCTGCGATACCCCAAAACCGCGCCCAAACCGATAGGCCCTGCGCCAAAAACGACAACCTTGCAGCCCGGTTTCGGGCTCGTCCTGTTTACTGCGTGCAGGGCGACCGCCATGGGCTCGTTTAGTGCCGCAATGTGCCAGGGTATGCTCTTCGGAATCTTCTTCAGGTGCTTCCGTGGCTCGTAGTTGTAGATGACGACGTACTCGCACAGCGCACCCTGCGCACCGCCCGACCCGAGCAGGCCGTCCTGAAAAACCATCGTGTCTACCACAACGTGGTCGCCAACATCGACATCTGGTGATTCAATATCCTTTCCGATTTCTGCCACTTCTCCTGCCGGTTCGTGACCGAGGGGTGTGCAGCCCTGATAGGGCGGGATACCGCCATGATCCGTGTACAGGCTGTCGGAGCCGCAGATACCGCAGGCTTTGATCTTGAGGAGGACATCTTTGGGGCCAGCTACGGGTGTCGGGTGATCGACCCACGACAAAACACCGGGCGCGGTGATTTCAACGCGCTTCATAACGGGCTCAGGCTGGGGACTGAACAAAGAGAATGTCAAAAGATGGTCGCTGGAAAACACAATCGAACGTTCAAAGGAGAGTTGTTGAGTAACTAATTGATTCTCCCAAGCGGAATATAAGTCCCGCTCGTGGACTCTTATATTCCATCTCCTCTTCGCTTTCAATTGACCTCATCGTCTGGAAAGCGATACCGATACCGAGACATCGTGAATAAACAAATGAGAGGTAGCAGAGTGCGAAAGGGGGGTTGCGACGAAGGTTGACAATTGCTCCCCGAAACTAGCCCCCCTTACCATTTGGCTAGGGCCCCCTAGTTAGTTCTTGATGCCGCGAACCTTACTTTGGAGTTCAGGATGTGGCTCAGTGCAGCACATGCTCCCATTGGTGACCCAAGGTAGTGACTAAGCGCTATCAGCGGTTAGCCTCCTGGTTAGGTTATGCTATGGACGGAGTAGCCCGTCCGGACTTTCAGAACTCATCTTCGGAAGAAGAAACGACCGTGATAAGGGCATCATGCCATCAGAGCCCGCCAAGAAGATCTCGTGAGACTCTGGATCCTGATAGTGAAAGACAATATGAATGAGACTGCTGACATCAGTCTCAGATGCAAGAGATGCCAGTACCGAAAGGCATCTTGAAAACCCCGCAGCTTTAGCGGTCGTAACTTCACTGACTCGGTGTTCTACGCTCACAGCTGAAATGTTCACGCACGGAGCCATGCCAGAACTGCGCATCTGCTGAACAGACTTGCGAGTATCGAGAAGTCGACCGTAAACGACGGCCAGCAACTCACGAATATGTTGTCAGCCTAGAGAATAGAGTCGCATGGCTAGAGTCCTTCATAGGTAGGCTCCAAGCCGCGCCCAGCCAGGAGCGGGACAGCCTGCTGCAGACCGTGTCATTCGGGGATCACCTCCCAGCCACGGAACCATCTTCAACGGTGAACGTGAGTGAAGAGAAGGATCTCGAGCCCAAGCGAGGTAGTAGCGCGAATCTTCAGGTCGACATTGAAGGTTCGCTCATCTACCATGGAGCGACGAGTATCTATCGCGCGCATCTCGGTGTGCCAGCACGGGACAACACCTCACCCTCCTTCAAGTTCTCTGCGAATTATGTGGTCGGTCCCGACTCAAATTTCGAGCATGTGGCGGAGCATTTCGGGATCAATTTACACGACGAACTGGTTGATGACGCGTTGATGCAGTTCTTCAAATGGCAGTACCCTCATTTCATGTTCATCTACCGTGAAGCGTTCCTAAGGGACCACTTTGGTGACCGGGTTCAGAGCAAGTACTGGTCATCAGCTCTGCTCCTGTCTATCTGTGCCTTGGGTACGCTCATGTCACCAGAGAAGCGCCACCGGGATGCGAGCGAACAGTTCTTCTCCGCTGCTGAGAGCATACTCATCGTTTCCGGTTTCACGAAGCCTTCTATCGTCACCGTGCAGGGCTTTCTCTGCCTAGCCTTCTACGAGATTGGAAGGGGCAATCTCTCAAAGGGATGGGGATTCTCAGGTACGTTCTTGCTGATAGTAGAGGCTGCAAGATATCATACGGGATGCTGAACGCGGTCGCGTCTAGGGATCGCTTTTCGCATGGCACAAGACATGGGTTTCCAAAGGGACCCGAAACATTGGGTATCCCACGATGCATCACTAGCTACCGAGGAGGATCTGGAGATTCGGCGACGCATCTTTTGGGGATGCTACACTTCTGACAAGTTGATTAGTCTGATTCTTGGACGATCAGTCTATCTGTTCTACGACGACGCAGAAGTCGAAACCACTAACAGACTCCCGTAAGTCCAGGATACACTACCCGTACAAGCTTCCACCTCGCCCTGACTGAAAAAACAATCAGAGACTTTCCGGAGATGAAGCCTTGGCTTCCTGCCGGATTCTCAGATTATGACGGAGGGTTTGGTGCCATTAACCCACTCATTCCGTGCTTCAAAGAGCAGATCCGACTTTCTAGAGTTATTGAGAAAATGCTCTCAAAGTTGTTCTCCACCAGGACCAGCCTGGAGGGTCTTGGCCGCCAGTCCTGTCTTGACAGCCTCAACTTCGAACTGTGTGGCTGGTATGAATCGTTGCCAGACTGTGCGAAATGGAACAGATGGGAACCACCAAGCACACTCCTCATCCCGAGCGTGGCAGCACTTCAGTTAGTTCAAATGCCTTTCCAACTGACCTTTTGTTACATTACCATGGGAGATAGTGCTGACATCCAATTGCTCGTTAGTCTACTATTCCACAGCGTTCGCATTGCGCTGAACTTCGAACAAGCAGTGTCCCATAACATCGCAGCTCTGAAGGACAATGCCCGCAAAAACTGCTCATCTTCTGCGGAAGATATCGCGCACATCGTCCGGAAATACCGCAGCCAGTACGGTCTTGGACATAGCCCTCTGATGATGATCTACGGGGTCATGCAAGCGGCGAGGACGCTGTCGTTATTCGGCACACCCGAAGAAGCTCAGTACTTGTTGCATGTTTTGGACGAATGTTCGTCTGCCTGGGCGTTGGCACACCAGGCGCGAGATAGATTGACACGCGTTGAGGTGTGAGACTCTCTCTCGCAGTTTTCCACCCTCCATCTCATTGAAAGGTTTGGGGGAGGACAACTGTTCAGCGCCATGGCAGACTTCACATGTAGGGATAGCTATGCCGTCCTCTCCAACCCGAGCAGCTCAATCCTTTGAGGTTCCGAGAAATTTCACCAGCAAGTGTTCATGCTTCGGAGTCAACGGCAAGTTGAAGGCGGTTTCGGGCATCAACACGAGTGACTTTCTTCAGTGTGTAAGATCATTGTTCTATTACGGGCCGTAGAGTGCATCATCCACCTGTGAACGTCCTTAGGGCAAAGGAAGACCCGCCTCTAATCCCGCCTTTAGGGCCTCAGCCAACCTCTTTACATCGGAAGAGTTGTTGTAGAAACCGAAGGAAATCCTGATACCCAGGCGATAGGGCGTAGCCAGCACACCCTTCTCCTTCAAGAGACTCATCCACCGCGGGTCATGCAAATCCAGGATGTACAAATGAGGCGCATGATCCTTACGACCCGAAGGCCCAACAATCTTCACCCCAAGCCCACGGCACTCTTCTCTCAACATATCACCCAGGCGGTACAGATGCTCCTGCACACGCTCGGGGCCCATGGAATCCAGATAAAACGTCAAAAACGCCTTCGCGGCCGCTGCACTGATCAAGCTAAGATTCAGATGCTCATACCGGCGCGCCGAGGGGTGATATACCACCTCATCTGAAGGGACTAACAGATCTGCACGTACGTTACTGACGGCCCCGAAGCCTACAATGGGCGGAGTAGGGTCGGTGTCGGCGATGAATTCTGGATCGACGTAGAGAACCGCGAAGCCCGTCGGGCAGTTCAACCCCTTGTGCAAACTGAACGCCGCCGCGGAGACGCCCAGAGCTCGGACGTCCACATCTGCGAAGCCGACCTGCTGCGTGAGGTCCGCCAGGACGTGGATGCCGCGAGGTCTGTATGTTGCGCAGATGTCCGCTACGTCATTCCACTGGCCGCTGTGGAACATGATGGAGCTAAGGCCGATGGCCTTGGTACGCTCATCGACGTAAGGCGCGAAGGTCGCGGCGTTGGCAGCCGTGACGTGCCCAGTTTCCTCCGCGGCGGGTATGGTCGGGACTTGCCGGATCTCGAGGCCGGCTTTGCGGAGGGCCATCCATCCGTAGACGTGATTTGGGTGCTCCGTGTCCAGGACGACGACGTTGTCGCCGGGTTCGAACTTGAGGCTGCGGATGAAGCAACCCAGGGCCTCTGTTGTGTCGCGGGTGAAGGCTAGGGAGGACGGATCGGCGCTGATGTAGCGACCGACTAGGGTACGAGTCTCCTCGACTGCGTTTTGCCATTGAGGCTTTGGATGAGGATCGTAGAGGGAATCGGAGGTGAACTTGGTGATGGCACCGTGGACGATCAGGTTTGAGGGGGGCTGGTAGGAGGCATTGAGGTAGGTGAGGTTCTGGTCAGCCAGGAGAGGGACCAGGGACCGGAAGGTAGAGAAGTCGGCTTCTGAAGAGAGTTCAGGGACAAGTTTGGTGGATGTTGAGACATCGTCCACGTGTTTTTGAACAGCGCTTGGTGACATGGTGAGTCTGGAAGGAGGTGCACAGGCGAAGAGACAAGTTTGAAGAGGTTGGATGTGGTCCAGTGCCATATACTCAACTCTCCGTCTTGACCACGCAGCTTTTATCGTCTCCCCATGTTCCTATATCGGCGACAACTTCCAGGGTAGTTTCTCGGCATTCCGTTTATGGCCCGAGATGATTCCATAGAATTAAATGCGTATGAGGTTGTTGGCGTATCATTGGCAGAGCCAGCCCGTGGAGGTTGAAGTCCGTCTCTAGTGCCTGACGAATGGTCAAGATGAGGGAGGCACATTGTGATTGGGCAATCCTGTTGTTCTTATCCGCAAAGCCGGAATTTCAGCCCTCGAAACTCCTCTTCCCCGGCGTGAAAGACCATAATAAATGCTGCATATGTCGCTTGTGTGACACAGGTACTGAGTCAATATGGACTCATCTGATGTCGTTGCAGGGTCACCCCAAGGATCCACGATCGTGAATCCTACAGCGCGGACTTCGACCTCCATTTGTGGGTCGTGGGTTGATAAGAGGCCCCCTTTCCCCGCATATTGGTGCAATTTCGCTCCACGCCAAAGGCTCTAGTCTCTTGGGCTATCTGGATGGTATGTTGGTTCTTATCAGTTCCCCGGATTCCGTATTAGACAGCACTGGGCCGAGGCAGGAGTCTAATGCTTTTCTTTTGACTTCCATTATCCTGACAAGACGTATCGCGAGATAAGTCCGTGATGATGATGAATTCTTGTATTCTTATCTCGGTGGGACGTAAACTATAAGAGCTCAATGTTTGGCACCCAACAGCTTCACACATCATCTAGGCCTCTTTGTTGTGTTCAAGGTTTCTCTTTTTTGTACCTTAGCTCAAGCACTTACACAGGATACTACATACCGTATGGCTGGGTAAGACTTCATGATGAGTAGCGACAACATTAACAGCAAATATGGCAAGACCGCCAACGATGTCGTCGGCACAGCAGCAGAGCCCTCCGACATGGAACACTCAATCTCTAACGTCGAGGGGACTTCCACAGAGACTACGAGGGAACGACAACAACTCAAGCGGGAGTTCAAAGAACGTCACGTCTCCATGATCGCCGTCGCCGGCGCTATCGGGACCGGACTTATCATCGGCTCGGGTACAGGCCTCGTCAGGGGCGGGCCCGCGAGCCTGCTAATCGCGTACACCCTCATTGGCGCAGTCGTTTTCTTCATCATGACGGCTGTGGGAGAGATGGCGACGATGCTTCCTTCGGACAAGGGGTTTGCTGGATACGCTACACGCTTTGTTGATCCGGCGTTGGGGTGAGACTTGAACCACATTGTTAATCCAGGCTTCTATCGTTCGATGGAATAACTTACACGCGCGAAATAGGTATGCCACAGGATGGAACTATTTCTTGAAATACGCCATCGTTCTCCCCAACAACCTTACGGCAGCCGGCATCATCATACAATATTGGAGACCAGACCTCAACGTTGCCATCTTTGTAATAACCTTCACCATCGCCATCATAGCTCTCAATGTAGTTATTCCAAACCAACAGATAACGAGTCTCGCGCTAATAAACCACCAGATCCTACACGTCTCCTTTTTCGGTGAAGCAGAATTCTGGATGTCGGCCGTAAAGCTCCTCGTAATCATAACCCTCATCCTAACCTGCTTCACAATCTCCATGGGCGGCCAACCATCCCACGAAACAATCGGCTTCAAATACTGGCATGATCCAGGAGCATTCGGCTCCTACCTCGTTGACGGACCAATTGGCCGCTTCCTCGGCTTCTGGGCCGCGACAGTCCAGGCCTGCTTCGCCTACACCGGCACGGAGGTCGTTGGCGTCGCCTTTGGCGAGGCGCCCAACCCGCGCCGGACGATCCGCAAGGCCGTCCGCCAGACGCTGTGGCGCATAGTCTTCTTTTACGTGTTGGGGGCACTGGTGCTGGGGATGTCGGTGCCGTATACCAACGAAATGCTCATTGGCGGCACGAAGAAGAGCACCGGGGCCGCGGCGAGTCCGTTTGTTGTTGCGGTGCAGATTGCGAATATCCCCGTGTTTCCGCACGTCGTCAACGGGTGTTTGCTTATCTTCGTCATCAGTGCAGCGAATTCGGATATTTACATTGGGTCCCGCACGCTGTTTGGCCTGGCTCGTGATGGTCAAGCGCCGGGGATATTCATGAGGACGTCTGGAAAGGGTGTTCCGTTGTACGGGGTCGCGGCTACGAGTATCTTTGCTGCTCTGGCCTATATGAACGCCGCTAAGAGCTCCTCTCAAGTGTTTGGGTATCTTGTTAGCCTGGTCACGGTATTTGGAACTCTCAACTGGGTGAGTGTCCTGACCAGCTACATCTGCTTCACTAGAGGCATGAAAGCTCAGGGCATCCCGAGGAGTTTGATGCCGTATCGTGGGCCCTTGCAGCCTTATGGCTCTTACTTTGCTTTGTTTGTGACCATACTGGTTGTCACCTTCAATGGTAAGTCCACGTCGTCTGGTCACACGAGGACTAACTGCGCAACTCTTGCTGACGCTGCATGATAGGTTATAATGCCTTCATCCCAAAGTTCACAGTTTCTACGTTCATGACTTCGTACATTGGCGTTGCCATCTATCTGATCAACATTTTCAGCTACAAAGCGTACGCCAAGACACAGCGGGTGGAGCTTCACTCGATGGATCTAGTAACAAACAGACTTGAGGATGATGGGAGCAAGTATCCCAGTACACTAGAGAAGGCCGCTTCCTGGGCAGCAGAACGGTTCAGGCGATAAGTTGGACATTATTCAATACATATTATGAGCAGGTTTAATTCGCAAGTGGTATCATCGCGGCTCTGGACATCTCTCACCCCCAGCATCTCCCCCTGCACATTCCGAATATATCCATATTCACCAGCCGTCATACAATGACAAACTCCAAACACGACTCTAGACAGGATGGGTATTTCTGTTTGAGTGCCTCTAAGCCGCCACCTTCTCGCCCTTGGTAGTCTCAGTCAGACCCTCGGCAGGAATCTCAGCATCCGTGTTCTCGAAGTTCTCGCCTCTCTTCATGCCGAGCTGGCGGGTGTCGTAACCGTTTGCCTCCAGGTAGGCGCGGTACCGTGCGTCCTCGAGCGCAATGGTGTCCTGACCGATATGCGGCAGGCAGAAGATCGCGAGGGCGGCGGACAGGATGCAGAGTGAGGAGGATACCCAGAATGGGTACTGGGCGGTTGCGACTGCGTTGTCACCGGCAGCTGCCTGGATGTACGGGAAAACTAGATAGACCCTGTTAGTGGGGGAATCTCGGAGAATTTTGTTCCATCAACAGTTCTGAGACTTACCCCATGTACCAACGAAAGCGCCAATCTTGCCAATGGCCGCCGCGACACCGTAATACTTGCCGCGGATGCCCGTGGCGCAAGTCTTTGCGGCAAGCAGACCAATATTGTTACCGGGGCCGAACTCGCCGAGCGCCAAAAAGATGCCGTAGACGACGACGAAGCCGCCGACCATGCCGGGCTGCGACAGGTTGAAGTAGTCGCCGGCCATGATGAAACCGACGATGGCCTGCAAGAAGACGCCGAGGGCAAGGGCATAGCGTGGGCCGAGCCAGTCGGAGGCCGGGGCGCCGAGCATGGTACCTGGGATGTAGAACAGGTTGATGACCGTGTTCCAGCCGAAGATGGTGGTGAGCGGGGCCGTCTCTCCGTAGAGGTTGCTCAGGATTGTTGAGGAGTAAATTCCGAACGAATAGGCGGAGAACTAACGTCACACATTAGCACGGGCTCTTTCATCACAGAATGCACCATTTCAGCAGGACTTGCATCATAAATGAACCAGATCAAGCTGACGACGAAGAGGCGCCAACCGTAAAACTTTAGTGAGAGCAGATACGGCGTCTTTGCGTAGCGCATGGAGTTCTTGGTTGACGCTTCGGGCTCCTTCACGAAGAGACGGAGGGCGAAGAGGAACATGGGGAAGACCACACCAATGCCCAAGCTGGTGCGCCAGATGGTGCTGTAGTGGCCATTGTGGCAAGCGGCTGCTACGACGTACGGCACGAAAGCTGTTCTCGTGAATCAGTATCACCATCACCAGCATCAAGAAGCGGAAGGACGAACCGCCAATAACGAATCCCTAGTTCAAGGTATTAGTAAACAGGCAATTGAAATTCCAGAAAAAATGAAATACGTACCCAATCAATCATGGTGTTCGTAAACATGATGAACCACAAGTTTCTCGAGCCCGACTTTAGCTCGCCGGTAGACTCTGCTGCGCCGACGCTACCCGCGGGGTACTCTCCTCCAATGCCGATGCCGACCTAAATGCCATAGCGATGACGTTAACAATTGGACTGTCTTTTGAGCGCGTGTGCTTATCCCAAACGATTCGAGCGAGCGCCCAATGGCAAAGCGGAGCAAGAAGTGTTAAGCTGGTACAAACTTACAAAGAATCGCCATGCGGCCAGCATGTTGAACATGCCGATATCATCGCCCTTGTAGTAAGACCCGGCAGCGAGCGCAGTGAAGACGAGCAGGATGACAGTCGATACAAGCAGTGAGTTCGTTCGTGACCAGTGATCGGCGAGCCAGCCGAAAGCGAGCTGGCCGACGACGGTGCCGGCAAAGGCGATGTCGCCGACGTATTTCTTGGCGTTGGAGGTCTTGTAGAGGTCGCCGTACTGCAGTGCGAGGATCGTGGTGACGGATCCGATGACCTATGCCCCGCGTCAATAACCATTCCTACAAAAATGACATGCGCAAGGCTGTTGCGCTCACGTTGTTGATGTAGCCGTCGGAAAAGAGACCGGCACCGCAGGCAATGACAGGCACGATAGCCTTTCGGAACGGTTGGCGGGGCGCATCGTCGACGGTGACAGCCTCTTGCGCCGTGGCCTCGGACTCGGCCGACTTCTTTCTGCGGAAGTTGAGCATTATCGCGGCGCTTTCTCGTGTAAGGGATCAAGCTGCGCTCAGTGCGTCAAAGGGAGATAGACCCTGGGACACTGCGACAGAATGAACCGAGCGATCGAGAAATTACGGCACAGAGAAGGTTATGTGTGAGAGGGAGAGGAGAGATGAGAGGTTGTGCGAAGCGGCGCGCAAAGGTTAAAAGAATAGGCGCGACGAGTCAAGAAGCGCAAGGGGAAATCAACATGGTATTTATTCGGACGATCACAAGCCCGTCGGGCCAGCCACAGCACCATCTGCCAACTAGAGGGCCTCTCTTCTCATGTTGCTTTTACGGTGTCTCTTCCCCCCCACTTACCACACGCCCTCGAAAGCAGCTCTGCTGTTGGTTGCTTTCGTTTTGTGGTGAGTAAGTGTTTGTGACAGGCAGACGGAGAGAGAAAGATAAACCTTGGGAATGCCTCGGGTGTCCCGTCCCACCCTACCTTGTTCCCCGGCGGACGGGACCCGGGTTCACCCAATAACGGGCAGCCTGCCCCGATGCAACATAATCGAAAGGATTCTACGGGCCCCTCTCCCCTCTCTCACGAGTCACCTACGCCTCCAAGAGCGATTCTTTGGAGGCAGACGAGTGGTCTGTTGGTCGTCTTTCGAGGGAAAACAGATCCACACCGGATAACAGCTGTGGGCAAATACCAGGTTGTATGCTGATAAGACGCGGTTATGCGGCAAGAGGGGGAGGAGTAGGCAATTCCATACGGAGTAAATACACCCATTGGGTCTTTTCGGTCTGAGTGCGGGCACACAACGTACGCCGTTCACCTGGGGGGCACGGGGAGGAACTCTGAAGAACCAAAGCACGGGGAGAGGAAGTGGAGGGGGACGTGGAGGGATTGTGGGAACCCGATGTTACCCATCCGCTAGGCGACCTGATGGTTCGTGCAGAGCTGCAGAGCTGCAGTAGTTCATGTGCTCTCTCGACTCGTTTCCCGCTTTCTCCAGGCTTGATGAACAGGTGGCACAGATGACGCTGCGATGAGATAGGAAGAGTAAGCCTGAGAGAAATGCTGTCGCGTGTCTTATTGCCTACAACAGCCAATTGTAATCGGATAAGAAGAGGATGCATCGCTAAGCTTTTTCCAAGCGGTCTAGCGCTTCTCGGCAGCCCTAGGAGGCTCACTTCACTTGGCGCTCCCCCGCCTGCTGCCAAGGCTTTTCCCATGCGACCTTGTTGATGATGAGCTAAGATACTTTGGGGAGAATCGTTAGTGCAGTTGAGGTTTGCCTCCAGCACTGTTTGCCCACCTGTGATGCTTGTAACCCTACGAGCGAATACGTCGACAACTTTCAACACGTGCTGCCTCTTAATAATATCAACAATAGAGACTACCTAGGCTAGTTGATTTGTTCAACGTACGACGTGAATTAGACCGTCCCAAAACAGCCAAAGAAGTGGACAGTAAGTCCCAAAATACGAATCCTGCCGATTCACTGGGTCTCAGACAACAGATCGGCCGCCGAACTGCCGCCACTCATGGAAAACTTGAACAAATTGCGCGGCTCAAGCTTTTGCATGGAGGCACGTGGTAAGGTTACAGACAACGTTTCTCTCAATTCAAAGCACTAGGATCAGAGCGAAATCTCTGCGACTCGCTCTTGCGCAACCGTTTTTGCTGTGGCCAATCCAAGGCCGTGTTGCCCACCACGTGCATGCGGCGCCGATGTGCCGCTTTTGCCGGCCCGCCCCGGCTTTCGGTGGCGGCGGAGGGACCCTCTTCTGCCTGCGGGGACCCGACATTCCCGGGACGAACGTGCTACTCAAATAGACGTCTGTGGTTCTCTAGGGCTGCAGGCAAGCTAATCGGTGTCCAGTGAGAAAAGGAACTGCTTGAGAATTCGAGTATATTCGTCGCGTTCTTCGTTGGACAGAACGGATGCCAAACGTCATTATGATACCATCCGGCTCCTTCAAACCCGAGACCACTAAAGGACTGCTGATTTCAGAATGCGCAGATAGATCATCGATATGGGCCATGGCAATACCGAAGATTCTCGAGAAAATCTCGCTTGTTCCGCTATTAACATGAGTTATTGAAGGCACCGTATTTGGCAATTCGTCCGACGCACGAATCTCGCAGAAAATGGCGTGTAGTAAATTCAAGGGAGCAAAGGGCAGCGTTCAAGTATACATGCTCAGTGAGAGTGAGGATCATATGAGAAAGCTCGCAACAGATAGGTAGCTTCATCAGTGCTGATCATGCCAGTCAGAGAATGTTCGCTTTCGCATTAACGCAATTGCATCCATAGCAACAAAAGACAATTAGATTCATAAAGTCCGATCCCTCAAGAATTGTATATCAATACAAAATTATCTACGGCCTAGAGATTTGTCGTCTAAGTCGGCCCCAGAAAGGCCTCCGGTTTAATTCAAACGTGGTGGACTTTTCGACGAGGTGAGTGGCTCCCCGCGGCGCACCCGCCACACACCCGCTCAATACATGGATTCACCGCCAAGTCTACTTTACGCATCGTCTCTATAACCTATAAGCGCCGGTGTGGTAGAAGTTTTCTGTGCAATGCGAAGGTTTCTAGGGAAACGTATAGTCATGCAAAGGAGCCTCGAGGGGTCACCGCTTCCTGCATTTTTAGACGATATCGACAGATACAGCTTGCGCTGGGATTCAAAGAGCGACTTGAAATTCCATCTTTTGGACCATTTCTCATGCCCCAAATTTGCGACTATTTTACGATTAAATGATGAACCAAGGTTTCAGGTTAAGATTGAGAGAATAAAGTTATTGTAAATCGTCGACCATGGCTCAATGACTTGGTCTTTGACATTAGATTCAAAAAGCTAAGAAAGCTAGAATACGGAATTTTTCGTATTCTGCAATGTCCAATTGGTCTGATCACCGCCAGCATTCACATCATGTGTATCCATGTAAGGTAGATATATAAGAAGGCTCTAGCCATCTCACTGGTATCATCCCCAAAGCAACGACAATTGACTTGCTAGAGCCTCGTGCCGGTTACACCTGACCACCCGGTGTTGGTTCGAATCCAGTAGTAGGAGACGGCGCATGGAGATACCAAGCATGCACCGGTGCAAGTCGTGACGTCTATAAGAGTGGCGTGTACCTGAAAGGAGGATCGAACAGGGCTAGTCAATATGAAATCCTGTAGACGCATCAGACCAAGAACATCAGGTCGTTCACAATGTAATTGTCAAGTATTCATCTCTCTTCTACTCTCACTGAGACTATTACCATTGTCCGCCTGGATTCTAGTGTTTGTTTAGTCACTATGTTCGTCTGCCCGCCGGTCACCAGAATCGGAGCTCGAGACCCGCATCAGCCCGGCCCCGGGTATGCTACGGATTCTGTGGGTATAGAGAGGCTCGAAAATTGTCGAGCGAAGACGTAGAAGTAAGCCGCTAAGGCTGCATGTAAGCGGCACGCTCCCGCGCGGCAGACGTCAGGAGGACCACCCTTATTAGCTGCCCCTGCCTGTAAGTCCTACCAGTCATCTCTCAGGGCGCCATATTCTCCATGGCCTACTCGGCCAGCAAAGCCCTCGCTGACATTAACGTTTGCTTCAATGAGTTTCCATCTCCCCCAGCCCATCGAGGTTAACGTCATCGCCGAGAAGCACGGTATCATCAAGTTGTCCGCCTTTGGCCGCGTGTACACCAATATTCTGGCCATGCCGGAAGACAAGGAATGCCATGTCCGCGTTGAGAGTGAGAATGATGTAAACAACGTTGGGGCCCAGAAGCGTGAGGCTTAATCGACATGGAGTGATTCACATCGAAGGGCCAGGACCTGAAAGCTGAACACATGTTTAGGATGTGTATTAAATGAGCTGCTCAGAAGCTTAACTGATACCTAATCGAAGTATATCTCTGAGCGAATCTACCTAGATATCTTTCATCCTCCTCCGTTGGCTAAGCATTTCTGCTGTGCCTGCCATTTGTATCCAATCGCGTCCACCTTCAGGGGACGACTAGACTGTCCCTAGGCATATAACCTAGGTCAATCAAACGGTCTGTTCTCATGCCCCTTGGCCATCAACTCATGTTGTACGCCCGCCGGTATGGCTGTCTAGCCGAGGAGGTGGACGAGCGCGACAAGCCTCAATCGTGCCTAGCTCACTGTCGAAACCTCGTCAATGTCTAGGCTAGCTGCAGAGGCTTAGGGTGAGGACACTGTCCCAATGGGCTTAGCAAACAGTAAAAGTGGCGCTAGGTCTTGGTCCACCATATGTGCCGGCCGCGCGATGTCGGAGAGCTTAGAGCTAGCCACCTGACGGTTCTGTCGGAAAGCATCTGCAGGAACATCTGCGAGTTGATGCGGAACTGAAAGCTTAATCTCGATGCCGCAAGCGTGATTCACGCCAGCTTCGCCCATAGGCTCCTCCAATCCAGCAACGAGGAGTCGGGCAACAACCTAGTTGCATTCACGGCATCTTAGTGCCATCACGGTGGTCTAGCAGAGCATTGCAGACACATCACCACGAAACATAGGTTCAGATCCACGGACGGCTCTCGGCTTCGACAGGGTTACGCCTGTTCAGATCTTGACGCCGGAGACCACATATCCGAGCCTCCGCATGCCATGTGAAATCAGTTGTCATTCTGATTGATATGTACTTCATCATGCCTCCTCAGATGGCTTAACGTCGTACTCGACTTCAGTCCTGATCACGTACTTGGCACCTTTCCTCACACCAGTACCCTCGTGAAGAGGTGCACCCTTTGCATCTCCATGTGGAAAGACGGCGACTCCGCCCATGACCGGTCGCACCGGGTACGCATTCAGCGTACCCTCCCGCGCTGCTGGGAGGAAGTACGTTGTCTCGCCGCCCTCAAACTCGTCATTCAAGTAGATGAGGAAAGTGAACAGTGAGCTCTGCCTCTTCTCCTCAGGCGACGAATCGTAGACATATGTATCGTCGGGAAGGATGCCAGAAGGCGGCCAGGCGCCGTCAATATGCGCACGGTACTCAGCTCCGGGGACGTAGCGGTACACGCGGAACCGTCGGTTGAGGCCGCGGACCATTCGTCCGTCGACTGACTGGGGAACGAATGAAGAAACTCTGGACCACAAGGCATCGTGGAAAGTGGTGTCGACAACCCAGTAGAAGTTGTGAGCCAGAATGCTGATGTCCCCATCTTCGCGAAGAGGGGCATCCGGGAGAAAGTTGACTGTCTCGCCGGCGGTTATGATTGCTTTGCACTCGTCTACGGAGAGAACGTCTCTCAAGAGGCTGAGCCCTGGTACGACAGGATGTGCGTGTGCTGTTACTGGTGGCCTTTCATCGACCAGGGGTATCGTGTTCAGCGCGGTCGTGTAAAGGAGTGCGTCGTGGTGATTGGGCGGCTTCCGGAGCGGACCGGGAGTCCGTTCAATGACGCGAAGAGACGCTGCCAGATTGGCCGGTGCCGATTCGAAGATAGTCTTATCAAGAACAGAGGCGTATACCTGGAGTGATGGCGTGGCGGGGCGGAGATCCCAGGTGTCCTGCAAGGCGATTCCGGGTGTTGAAGAGAGGGGAAGGGGCATGGCCTTAGGGTTGCTGTCGGAGTGGCCGCAGGCTCGCAAGACGGCGTCGAGAACCAAAAGACGTTGCTTCTCTCTCTCTGACCTCTGGATAGCAACTCCTTCGCCCTCCCCTTCCGGCAAAGTGGAAAGACCACTAATGACATCCAGGTCTCGTACCCAGCGACAGAGCGCTCCTAGCTTCGGTTCCTGGCCGCGGATTCTCATTTCAGATAGCAGGACTCTCGCATCGTCGTACTTCTCGTCGGTAAGGGCGCCGGTGATTCGTGCTGTGAGACCAAGATTCGTACCAGCTGTAAGGGCGAAGTGTTAGCGAATGAATGATGATGATGATACCGCGCGGTCTGGGAGTCTGCTCACGGGCATTGTTGACGCCACTGGCGCAGTTCTGGCGAAAGTCATAGACGGCAACGCGAAGATCTCGACATTGCTTCGATTTGATAAGGTTCGGGTATTTGGCAAGGGTGTTAAGAGTGTCAATGGCAATGTCGAGCTCCTCGTCTGATATGACTGTCTGGATGCTCTTGGGCTCGAGGTTTGAGGCGGTGTTGTCGTCACTGTCAGGTGGTGTGATTGTCGTCGCTGCGGTCTTCGGAGCTTTGCGCGGAAGCTCATCCTGCGCGTTCTGCTTGCGCTTCTTCGCGGCCTTTGATTTCGCCATAGTCGATTGTTGCGATGTTTCGATCGGGACTGGAAGGCCTTGGGAGTCGAACAGAGAGATAGGAGCAGGGTGGCGTTCAATGAGGTGGGCTGAGAATTTGGGAGCTTCCCATGCGCCACCACATCAGTCCAAGGGTCTTGCCCCGCCGAGGGGTTCAGCCATTCGACATCACCCTGCCTGAGGCATCACATCCGAGTCCCGCTGTGGGGCCGCCAGGTGTCCGGGGCGGATCGGATGGGTCCGGGGTACCCTTGGAGGGATGCTTTCCCCCGCTTCATCACTCTCGAGGTATGTGTAGTGTTGAGGTGACGCAAAATTGACGAAAATTTGAGGGCTGCTATAGTACGGCGGCCACGATGGCCGCAATGACTCCGGCGTGTAATGACGTCTCTGTAAAGCCTTCTGTAAACCAGCCGTAGAGCAACCAGTGGATTAATACTCGTCACCCGGTCCCAGACATTTTAAACCGAAGCCTAGATCTAAATTCTAGCACACTGTCAGTAGCCGTGTATAATCAAGTGCGAATAGCCACAGTATGTAACTCCCTAATCAAGTCCAGCTTTTCTCTAAACCTATTATGTTACTCTTCAAGTATGTTCCCAACTTGTATGTACCGTAATAGAGATAAGCCCATCAATGATTCCTTATTTTCCCACCAGGGCACGTACCTTCGCCATGGTCCACTCGATAGAATGGTAACATTGCCAATACAACGGAGACATTGAAGGTTCAACGCAATCCATGAAGTCTTGTGGCCTGTGAGGCGAAAACCACATGCAGTGAAGCGTTTGTGACAATATCGACGGGACGGCGCAAGTCTCGTGCCGCTAAATCACGTTTACATCGGCGGCCCGGAGCCGAAAAGGAGCCGAGAGGAGCGATCCGTTGGCGGGAAGCATCTTGTAGTTTGCCGCCGCACAAGGGGAAGTTGTACTGATTTCTTCTCCTCAAGGCGCTCTGACCTTCAATCCAAACCCGGTGCGGGATATGCGGGTCGTAATTATTTCAAAATCCGGCGCGGAATTAAGACCGTCTGAACACCAGGTTATGCAGCTCGCATGTGTCAAGAACGTCATGAGGTGAACTGTCAAGGACCTTGCGGTTGCATAGAAACCGGATCCGCTATGCTCGTACAAGGGATGAAGCGGCGCATATGCAGAGGGAGACAGATCGAGAGGCCCGCACAACAACATCTGGCTGATGTACGCAAGGCACTTGGTAGGTATTCATCGACAAAGGTCTTTATATGTGAGGTCAACTTGGAAGCAGTAGCATACCTAGTATTTGTGCCTGCAGACCGCGACGTACCCGGAGAATAGCCCCGAAAATTAGGTATTTCGGCAGCTATCCTAGACTTTTCAGGACGTAGTTTGCCAGCCTCCGCCCTCAAAAATAGCTTTCCTAGCCAAAGCCTAAGGGTGGCATAGTCGTCGATCAGGAAGTTTCCCCAGATGTCTGTTCACTCCCCCTCTAGAGAATGGGTGTACAGGCACCAATCAGTGTATCAGTGAAAGTCAGTTGACGCCTCGAGTCAAACGCACATCGGAAATCATCTTCGCGGACATTGGGCGGACATTGGTGGACATCGGTCACACCTTCGCTCTTTTCATCCCCGCCTCAGTGCCCGAACGCTACGGGGTAAACAAAGCCTCCAACTGCCGAACCCTGTACGGATAGCAAGCGTCGCGATCTAGATCACGAGTGGGGGCGACGTACACCGGACCCGGGCCAAGCCGGGCGAGTTATGCACGAAATGTGCAAAGCGCGGAGACTATCCGACCACGGTGACGCTCGCGCCCGCCGCAACACTCCGCTGAACTTAGTAGGTTAACTCCAGATTCTCCACAAGTATGTAACGGTATGCCGCTGCCCGCAGTAGTCCTGCAAGAGATCGTCGTTTCACAGGGCCTTCGGCTTTCAAGGTTTGAACCGAATTCCGTCGCTTAAATCAAGCACAAGTTAATAAAAAGTGCTTTGGTGCCAAACTAGAAAATGGGTTGTTGAGCTGCCACCTATCAAGTTCGTCCCGTCTGTTATCATCATCTTGACGATTTCAGGTTCCGCGGGGAGCTCACACTATTCAACATGTCGAACCATAGTACTGGCTTTACAGCCCATATGCTGAACATCCATACGCTCTGTTCAGGATTTGCTCTGATTATTTCTCTGGTACGTGGTATACTTACAAGCCATCAACTATAGTGACCAATCGAATCTCGCCGTGGTCGCAAATGCTGACCATATCTGACCACTCATCTAGGGCATTACTTATCTCTTCGGAACTGTCATTTACAACGTCTTCTTCCACCCTCTGCGCAAATATCCCGGACCAAAGCTCTGGGCAGCCACGCGAATCCCATTTGCTCGTAGCACCCTCTCGGGCCAGGTACACCGCAAGATCTTGGAGCTGCATCAAGAATACGGACCCATCGTCCGAGTCGCCCCTAACGAGCTCGCTTACAACTCCCCCGACGCCTGGAAGGATCTCCACGGACACCTCAAGAATGGCACCGGCGACCACGGCAGGGATCCGGTCGCCACCCAGGATGGCAGGCATGGCATCATCGGCGCCAACCGGGAAGACCACTCTCGATTCCGACGAGCCTTGTCGCACGGTTTCTCAGCGCAGTCCATGCTGGAGCAAGAGCCCATTGTCAAGAAATACGTGGACCTGCTCTTCCAGCGTCTCCACGAGAAGTGTGCTGGGGGTGCCGAGGCTTTGAATATGGTCTCGTGGTATAACTGGACAACTTTTGACGTCATTGGCGACCTGGCTTTTGGCGAGCCATTCCACTGCTTGGATGATTCCGGCTACCATCCCTGGGTCAAGCTCATCTTTGACGGGATCAAGGGCAACTCTTTCAAGAACTGCATGCGGCGATTCCCGCCGATCGAGAAGATTTTAATGCACTTCATCCCGGCCGACATCCGTAACAAGCGAGAGGAGCATATGGCACTCACTCAAGAGAAGGTTTCCATGAGACTTGCCATGGAGACTGAGCGACCAGACTTCATGGAATCTATGCTGCGTACAAAGGGGCCTCAGGTACTGCGAATTTGCTGACCATCAATCGTCCAATTATGCTAACGTTGATGAACCAGAAACTCACCTTCGAAGAACTCAAGTCCAACTCCTCGGTCCTCATTATCGCCGGCTCGGAAACTACCGCAACAGCCCTGTCAGCGATAACATACTACCTCTGCACAAACCGCCAAGCTCTTGAGAAGCTCACCCACGAGGTTCGATCGACCTTCAACTCCGAAGAAGACATTGAAATGGTCAGCGCACAGCAGCTTCAGTACATGCAGGCAGTCATGAACGAGGGCCTTCGAATGTATCCTCCAGTCCCGACAGGAATCGTTCGCAAAGTCACCGACGATGGCGGCGTCTTCTTGGGTCAATATGTGCCGAGCGGAGTAAGTCTAGTTCCAATTCCTTCTCAAGTGTTGAAACGAGAAAGAGTATCATGCTGACGTGATGGTCACACAAAGACCCTGGTTCAGGTCTGGCATTGGCCTGCCTTCCACAGCCCGGAGAACTTCACTCTTCCTGACTCATTCATCCCCGAACGTTGGCTCGATGACGCTCGCTTCTCTGGTGACAAGAAGGATGCGTTCCAACCATTCTCGGTCGGTCCGAGAAATTGTATTGGCAGAAAGTACGTGGCATGATCGTCTACTACCCCGCATGATCCTCGAAAGGTCCGATACTGATATGCTGCGTTTTTGCTAGTTTGGCCTACGCGGAAATGCGTCTCATTCTTGCAAGAATGATTTGGAACTTCGACATGAAGCTATCGGAGGAAAGCAGGGGCTGGGACGAGAAGAGTCAAGTCTACCTTCTTTGGGAAAAGGGCCCAGTCAATGTTTACCTCACTCCCAGGGTGAAAGCCTGAGTACCACGAATGGGAGGTTATACTGATACTTCGAAGGAAGTCTCGATCACAGCATTGATTTGAAAAAGGCCATTTGTGCGTGATAGGTTCGCATTGTGTTTCCCTTCGCGGGGCCATGACTAGGCGTTTGAGGACCATAACATCTACAAGCTACTATTTAAAAATTCATTTTCTTGATTGACTGATGGGTGCTCGTAACTTAATCCTGAGGATAGCCTCAAGGCCAGTGTCGACTTGGCTGCCTTTGACCCAACCCGATCATTTAATCTCCACGGGGTGTTGTTTCCCAAGGTTAAGATCCTCAAGCGCGGCGAACTAATGATAATGAATGGGGAGTTCTTCGCCTGAATAGACATAGACAGAATGAAGTAAGGGTACTGACTCAAGGTGGTTTTCGTCTATAGTGGCAAAGGCAGGTAGAATCGTGCCTCACGTCTCAACGGATGGGAAAATGGCACGATGTGTCAGATCCTCGGCCCTCGGGCCACTTAGTCCCGTAGCGACTATCAATCACATCGCAACAGTCCATCGTGAAGCCAAACCGGTAAGGTGTGAAGGAGTTAGCCAGGTAGTCACTTGGTTTGCTTCAATTCCTCAGGCGACGGGATGCAAGGCTGCAGGACTCCACAGAGTCTTTCATGCCCACGTCAATTTTGGTTTACCGAGACGAAGATAAAACTTCGCATATATTACTTGGGATAAGCTCAAATCTCAAGACTCTCGAAGAGTGGAGGCCTCAAGCATAATACAGTAGAAAGTACCAAGTCTACTTATGGAAACTAGTCTGTATTCAGACTTTCCCCTTCTAACCCGGCAGAGTGATGTTGATAGCACGAAGTCATGATACGATAGGGTCCAAGTGTCAATTGAAACCATTCGGAAAGACACCCATGCTGGCGGCTAGAATCAGCCGAATGAAGCTCCTGGATGATTTCCTCGGCCTGAAAGTTGAGCCATCGAGGCTCATCAGGCTCCGAGCTATGTCTTGTCCAGAAGCCTGTCCTCTTCCCACACCCACGAGTATCAGCCTGCCGTCGGCGAACTCTGTCTTCTACCATGGGGTAAAGGCGGACTGCACGAGGCTGATTTCGAGTCTCGTCAATGTGCTTGGGCAATTGGTTGGCATATGTGTGCTATTGTTCAAAAAGGCTGACCCTGTAAATGTTCATGCAATGAGGGGAAGGCCGAGGCTGCAACTAAAGTAAGACGGTTCATTTGACTTCGGTACCTGCCTATGACTTCGTAGCTTGTTGTCAATGACATGGCGAGTAGAGAGTTTTCGGAGTGAATGTATCGGTCGTGCAAATCCCCTATTGTTGATAGGGGTTCTAGAAGATGTGACTTGCAAGCTCGATCATGAAAGCGGTGTTGCAAATGTGTTCAAGAGATTCGGGGGTAAGTCGAAAATGAATGGCTATCAAAAGAGACGAAAGGCTGCCCAGCCTAAGTTGGGATCGGTCACTCGTGATAGGTCTCAGATCTGGAAAATAGATTTGGCTTACAGAAGTCTGGCTGCGGAGGTGTGCAATTTTTGGCCGGAACTATTGAGTTTTCAACTGCATCGATTCAGATAATAGAAGAATGATAGTCTATTCATGATTGACGGACGAATAGCAGTGTCAATTGCATACCCTGAATGATAATGGACGGAGAACTGAGATTGGTAGCCGTTATTCATTCGATATCTGAATGTGAAATCGCTGAAAAGTAATCCCAGCGGTCAGTCGATTTGCCGATCCAAATCAAAACAGAAATTGGCTATGCGCAAGTTTTTCTTCGCCTTGCCTTCTGGAGTCCGAACAGAGCCTCGGCCTAGCCTCTAGGCTCCCTGTGTTGTCCGGTGAATCTTTCCAGATGTGACTGAAATGGCTTAGACCCAACGGTGCATGCGGTTTTGATGGAGACCGAGTTTAGAAGAAGATGAAGAGAAGCCAATGTGCGGTTGTCACTTGTGGTGTCGTATTACGAATGAATGGGCGCCCTTACCCGGAATTAGACAAGTCACGACTGACACGCGTCGAGTGACGACTCTGAACACCCCTCCCCCTCAAGGCCTCGACTGTGGATGAGGGTCACAACTGGCCCGACAGCCAATGACGGCAAATCAGATTGATTGACTGCGCCCAGATAGGTCCATTTCGTCTCGTCTTAGAATTAGGGATCCCGGCCAACGTGTCGCTGTGTCGGTGAATCCGGGCACAGGGAGGTAGACTTCGCTGGATGATTCATGTTTGTTTGGTTTACATACCGGTAGTAGGCTGAGGCGCGGGACGTTGAGACAAGATGAACCCCCCTGAATAAAGTTACGCAAGGCCTAAAGTTCCGACACTCTCTTTCAATGTGGGAGAATTTCTGCTCCACACCACGCATGCACACTCAGCTCGTCTGCTCAATGACAAAGATAGTTCAAAGTCAAAAGTCAATCGAGCTGTATGTCGATATCTCGAAGATGTTCTTTTTCTCTGGTCACTTTTTCACGTCTTCCATATATTCCGCAAGTGTTCCGCATTGACTGATGCACAGGAGACAAAAAGGGAAGAAAAGTTCGGGCCCCGCGAGAGCCTTCTCCGCCCCTTTCCAAAGCCCTCCCACAGACCGATGTGGCCCAGGGAAATAAACAAGCTTGACAAGGTCTCTCCGCTGAAGCCCACTGTCTCCCGAGCTTCGTCGAGCATGTTTTGTTCAAGTCAGCGGAATTTAGTCCAATCTCATTGAAGCTTGCGCAAACGCGCAGCGGCGCCACCCGCCAAGTGGAGAGTGGCCTCGTCATCCGGTGCCCCTGGGAACTTTTACCTGAGAAGGCCCAAATGTCATGGAACCAAACTTAGGAAGCCTTTCCGCCAATGTCGGGAACCCCAACGACGAAGCGGGATGTGGGAGGCCCGAAGCTCGCTCCCGGACAAGTCCCCACTCCGGATCGACCCCGGGTTCCGCTTTAGAACCACCTTCTTTCCATCTCAAGCTTCTCCAAGCATTTCTTAACCGCTTGGCGTGTGCTCTGAGGCTGAGTTAAGGACGTCAGGGACGCTTAAGGACAGGCACTGGCGTGGAGACGCATTGACTCGAAAAGTTGAAAATGCGCCCCCGGCGGGTAACGAAGTCGTGTATGTGAGGCTCAGAAGTACGGAACCCCTGCGTGCCACGACGGCAACGGGTAGCGTATGACCTTTTGCGCGGTCCTGGTTGGACAGATTTTCAGACGATGGACCGCAGACTCTCGATGGAAGAGTCGAAAATAGCAGGCGGGACGGGAGGTGACGAGGGCTCCCCATGTAAGGGTATCGGATGAGAGCGAAGTCCCCATCGGCTGTCCACATCACGTAGAGATGAACGCGTTGATAGGAATAGACGGCGGGGATGTCGAACGAAGATCGAATTGTATAAAGACTGCTCTCGGAGCCGGACATCTAAGATATTGGAAGCACTATCAGCCGCAACCACCGCAGCAACAACAGTCGCTTCTACAACAAAGACACTCACAATCGTTTCCAACATTCGCTACAAGCCCGGTCTTACTACGACAATATCAACAATGGTTCGCATCTCCGCCCTTTCGGCCGCCGGCCTCGCTCTCGCCGGCTGCGTCTCTGCCCACCCCGGCGAGCACCACAGCCATGACCACATGAAGCGCAACATCCAGCTCCGTGACAACGTCGCCGCCATTGGCCAGCGCTCCCTGAACGCCTGCTCCAACACTGCCGGTGCTCAAGCTATGAAGAAGCGCGCCGTTGAGCGCCGTGCCCAGAAGGTCAAGGACATTCGCGCCGCCAAGGGCCTCAAGACCCGTAAGTACTACTCTTGTTCAAGACACTTGACCGAACATTCATTGACCTTTCCATAGCTGCCCGCAAGTACCGCCGTGATGCGGACGAGCTCACCGCCTGGGAGGCCGTCAACCACAACATGACCGCCTCCAGCGACAACGGCATCTTCACACCCCTTGAGGATGTCTTCAGCGCCAACACCTCCTGCGTCTTGGCTCCCGAGATTACCGACGGCCCCTACTACATTGTCGGCGAGAACATGCGCTCCAACGTCATTGAGCAAAAGTGGTGCGATGGTGTCCCCGTCTTCCTCGAGGTCCAGTACGTCGACGTCGCCACCTGCGACCCCATCCCCCAGGTCGCCGTCGACATCTGGAACTGCAACGCCACCGGTATCTACTCCGGCATCTCCACCAACGGCAACTACGCCGCCGACGGCATGAACAGCACGTTCCTCCGCGGTATCCAGCTCACCGACGCCGATGGTGTCGCCCAGTTCGAGACCATCTTCCCCGGCCACTACGAGGGCCGCGCCACCCACACCCACTTGCTCTCGCACACCAACGCGACCCTGATGCCCAACGGCACCATCTCCGTCTGGAATGCTCCCGTCAGCCACATCGGCCAGGTCTTCTGGCCCGAGACCATCCGCTCCGCCGTCGAGGAGCTCTACCCCTACAACACCAACGAGCAGAGCATCACCTCCAACGCCGACGATATGTGGTCTATCCTCCAGGCCGATGCCTCCTACGACCCCTTCCCCCAGTTCGTCTATCTGAGCGACGACCTCCAGGACGGTCTCTTCGCCTGGATCCAGATCGGTGTCAACGCCTCCGCTGACTACACCGATGACGACTACTACAACATTGCCGGCTACCTTGACGAGGATGGCGGTCACTCTACCGGCCAGACTGTTGGCGGCGGCGGCGGCTCCGGCGGTCCCGGTGGTAACGGCACCATGAGCGGCAGCCCTCCTTCCGGCACCGCTGCTCCCTCTTCATAAGGCGCATTAGCCGACGGACCTGACGTGGGATTTTCAGAAAAACCGGCTCAAATTTCTTTATTGTATGATAGAACTTCAGATACCTTTAGATGCATTGAACATACAACCGCGGTGGAATTGAGCGCACCAATACCATTTCATTCAAACTTCATACTTCTCTCTTACTCGCGCCCGTGAAACCATTTGCTGCAAACTTCTGGCTATCGCCGTTGCAAATATCTTACAAGGGAGAACAGGGAGGCTGCCGACGCCGCCGACTGAGGCTGATTAAGTCTGCTTGATGTGGTCATTTCGAGGTTTTCAAGTCCCAGAGCACCTAGTCCCTGTTTTCCTCTTCCGCGGGCCATGAATAAAATGCAAATTTTGGTTGTCCGAGTGTGGCTAGGATTTTGAGCGTTGTCCCGTAATGCTGGCTGGAGTGATAATATAGGCAGCGTCGACGATCTTTCAGGCGACTCCTGTATTCAGGAAAGAAAACATGAGCGCAAGTAGTAAGGTTCAATGGGCCGACAATGAAGCCAAGCAAGAGATCGAATACAGTCTGTGCTCACCTAGTGAAGTGGAAGCAACCGCCGCAAATCCAGCTCGCTTGCATGCGCTTCGAAGCTCAAGATGGCCATACGAGAGATGGAACAATGCTCTATCGAGCCAGACTGCGGCCAATAAGATTTCATATACATCGAGAAGTCAAAACAAATAATGACAACGTGGGACTTGGCGTCTGAAGCCCGCGACGGGATCAGAGCGGCTTAATTCGGCTCAGCATTGAACACGAGCCAATTGTAAAGTTGTGCAGGACAGAAAACGGAAATCCATTGTCAACCTCGGAAGCCCCCCCCGATGTCACCGTACAATTAAAGTATAACGAATAGTGGGACGCATGGCATTTGACTTTTCTGACAGAATCAAAAGAGTCGAGTCTCTCTCAACCAGCTCCTCGTTCGGACCTATGACTTCACCTTGGAGTACAACGGTGTTCCAATGCCAAGACGGACGACTCCAAAAATGGAAGCTCCAAGGATTCTTCGTCCCGTTGCCTCCACCAATTGTTTCCTCCCTTTCATGCACGCGTTTCACCCGAAGGGAACCATCAGTGTTCCATCACCCACAGTATTGACGCAGGATTTGTCCTTCAAATGCCAAACTGAAAGCAGATTCGGTAAAAGGTCGTGGCCTAGTCTCTCATCCCTGAAGGGGACCTGGAGGGGCTGAACTTGCATTGCGATCCCGGCCTTGTGGACGTGGGGCCACCTGCTCCTCCGCTGTCCGCCCGCTTGGAGGGGGCTGCAATGAGACGACATGATAAATGGACTGTTTCTCCTCATAAGGCGAGCCCTCAGCTTGCATGTCTTGTCATGTCAGGCAGACCTCTTCCGACTTGACATAACCGCCATGGGCCTCAAGTACCTCGCTTGCGTCGCGGCCATCGCCGCCGTCGCGATACATCCTTGGCTAGCCACGGCCGCCTCCAAGGTCGATGTCGAGGCCAATATCACTGCCCTGACCGGTGGCGAACTCGAAGCCGATTGGACAAACGTATTCTACTCAAAAGAGAAACCTCTACTTCTGGGAAACGATGGAGGTGCTGCCACGGGAGGGTTTCACGCTTGGGATCTGGACAGCGACTCGCCACTGGCCGAGGTCAAGTCCATGACCACCGGTCGAACAAAGCTCATCACGACGGTCTACAATGTCACGGGGAAAGACTATGCGCTCACGATTGCGATGCCGGACTCCGTCATTCGCGTCTACGAGATGCCAGGGTTTACGGAAATTGAATCAGCCCAAGTGACGATGCTTGGAGATTGGGCAGCGATGTGCTCGTGGCGCACCAAGAGTCTGAACGACTATGTGTTTCTTTTCGGCAAGACCGTGGTGGTGCAGTATCTAGTTCGCCCAGCCAAGGACTCCGTTGAACTGGTGGAGGTGAGAGAGAGCCTGGCTTCATTTTCTCAACTCATTTCTTACTAACAGGATCAGGTTCAAAGCATCCCGGTCCCAACGGAATTCTCTGGCTGTGCGGTAGTGCAATCTCAGGCTAAGATGGTCATCAATGCCGACGATGACAAGGATGTCTACGTCTTCGATCTCAAAGAATCGACTATTGCCCCAGAAATCACCAAGCTTGGCGAGGCTGCAGAAGATGTGACTGGTGTTGCAACATATGTCTCGAATTCTACCGGCGCTGAATACGTGTTTGTCGCCCAAGAAAGTAGCGTTGCTGTCTACAAGTACCCGTTCGACCTGCTTGGCAACATCAAATTGAGTGGCCTCGAGGATATCGAAGTCCAGGGCCTCAGCATCTACCAGGGGTCGACGTCAAAGTACCCCAGCGGCGCTCTTGGCTTTGCTGTTGAAGCGGACAACGTTGCCGGGTTTGGATTGGTGTCTCTTGATGGTGCTCTCGATGACCTCGGGATAGATGTCAACATTGCGTATGACCCTCGGAATCAGACCGAAAGCCGTACCCACTCCCCGATTTGCGACGTCTGTTCCTCCAACGGCTACTGTCAGGAGAATGCTCTCGGATGCGGTTGCTTCGCTGGCTTCACCGGCGACAAGTGCGATCAGATCCAGTGCATGAATAACTGCTCTGGACATGGCGAGTGTGTTGGGCCACAACAATGCAAATGCGAGAATGGATGGGGAGGTCTCTTCTGCTCGGCTGTGTTGGTCGAGGCTTCTTACGAAACAGACCAAAATGGCGGCGATGGAGATGACCCCGCCATCTGGATATCGCCAGGATCCGCCGAGAAGTCCCGCATCATTACTACGACCAAGTCTACCGAGGGTGCAGGCTTGGGTGTTTTCGACCTGAAGGGCAAGCTGCTGCAGACTCTGCCAGCGGCGGAACCAAACAACGTTGATATGATTTACGGCTTCCAGGCTGGAAACAGAACTGTCGACCTTGCTTTTGCTGCTTGCCGTGGCGACGATACACTTTGGTGAGTCGGGAGTCCCGAGTTATTTGAAAAGTTTCTGACATATTCCAAGCATCTTCGAGATGACATCAAACGGAACTCTGAAGGACATTCCCGGCGGTATTCAACCTGTGCCGGAAGACTACAAAGTCTATGGTTCCTGTGTGTACAAGTCTCCCACGAGCGGCAAGCAGTATCTCTTTGTCAATGAGAAGTCCGCCCGTTATCTCCAATACGAGTTGACCTCCAATTCGAACGGGACTCTTCAGACCACTCTCGTCCGCGACTTCACAGGCGGTGCAGGGGGTCAAGTCGAAGGCTGTGTAACGGACGAGGGAAATGGCTGGATATTCCTTGGTGAGGAGCCTTCTGCGCTGTGGCGCTACGGTGCCGAGCCCGACTCGTCGGATGATGATGCCATTCAAATTGCTTTCGTGGGCGACGGCCAAACCTTCGCCGACGTGGAGGGCGTTACCCTCGTCTACGGCGTCAGACCTGATCAAGGATACATTCTTGTGTCCAATCAGGGCATCAGTTCTTACAACGTGTACACCCGGGCAGACCCTCACTACTATGTGACGACTTTCACAATCCCCAAGTCGTCAGATGGTCAGATCGATGCTGTCTCGAACACCGACGGCATCACTGCGGTAGGAACACACCTCGGAAAGGACTTTCCTCACGGATTGTTTGTTACTCACGACGATGCGAACCAACTGCCTGATGGTAGTACCAGCACCGAAGCTAGCTTTAAGCTGGTGAGCTTAGAGAAGATTCTCGGGGCCGATGTGATCAAGACTATGAACCTCCTTGACGATGTTGATGCTAATTGGGACCCAAGAAAGTAAACCGAACATTGGGTCGCCGATATGACTGCCAGCTTGCATAGATGTAAATAATTATACACGTAGAATCCACTAGCCTAATGACTGGAGTGTTGCAACTCATGTCATTCGTCGAATTTGAAAAAGCTCGTCCGTGATACACCTTGCAACGTCACTGGCATGGAATAGAGTCAAGAGATTGCCGCTCAGGTTCGATTACATTAGAAGGTCTGGTATCGTCTAATGAAACAGAGGATGCCGTCAGCATACCGAAGAGATGCGACCTCTGAAACCCCAATTTCCCCTAACCATTATTCCAATCTCGTAACGGATGAGTTCGTTGCCTCTGATTGTGCCCATGTTTGACCAATTCAAGCGGCAGTCTTGTTTTGAGATATAATCCCAAGCCGATCTAAGCGGGCGAATGTTGCTGAGCCCTCCGGTGCGCAGGCGCCGTCGCTGATGCCAGTCTTCTGTAGCAGGAAGCAAAGTCCCGTCCACGTATGGAGGTTTGATGGGAATTGGTTTGCACATGCTGTTGTGTATTGCTATTTGCTTGGATAAAATGCGGGTGGATGCTTTGACTTGGAAGTACAGTTCTATTTGGCTGCGTGATGATTGCTTCTTTCCGAGTTTTGAATCGAATTTGGGTGCTGTTCTAGGATTTCAGTTTAGCGGCTGTGGGAAGAGGGACTTTCAAGCCCCTTTTGAGAAATGGCTGAAGATTATGTTCAGGCTCAGTAAAGTCCCTGAATCACTGCATCTTCATACGCTTCCGTCATCTGGTAGTTGTATGAGGACTTAATGTCGTGTTGGCACTGCCACATTCACTATGAAAGCCAGAAGCCAGAAGCAAGTTTCGCAAAATCATTGGTCCAGGTGACCTCCATATCAATAAGGCCAAGGAAAAGACCTACGTATCCATAAGTAGGTAGATGACTCCAAAGGTTCTGTAACTAGGACACTCCTTCATCACAACCTCAATGTATACTTGCGGGACCACATCAGCAGTCAAAAGGAAGAAATGTGCGCGACGTGATTCACATAATAGTATCAAGGACTTCACATCATTCATGCTTCATTGACTAATTTAGTGTTAGGTATTTTCCTAAAGAACCAAACCCCATCTCACGGCCTTCTGCCTCATCATGTCAATGACACCCAGCGGTAAGAATCGCTCTTCAATAAGTCTTAGACCATCGAACCGATCTTTCGCCTCCTGATGATACATCTGCACTACCCACCGCAATTCAGACCGCGAATTGGCCGATTGGATAGGCAAGTCCTCCACAGCCTGGTACACCTGCCGGTCAGCCTTGGGGCTCAGCGCAGTTGGGGTTCCCTGAACACGCTCGTAGAGGTCTCTCAAGTGACTGCTGGTGGTACTTCTGTTTTCGGTGAATTCTTCGAAGGTGAAGAACGTCTCCACATCATCAGGGCTGAAAAATTGACCGTCCAACCGGCCAAGGTAATCATCCCCTAGCTCACGCGTCTCAATGGCCTTGGTCGACTCAAATGTTCCTTTCCTGTCCTCGTAGTCCTTGCGTTCCCGATCGAAAAAGTACTGGACCATCTCTTCTGGGGACACTCCTGTCCCACATAGATGTTTCTGGACTTTGAGAAATGGTATGAATTGGTTTTGAAGTCCCAAGCCACCTAGCTGGTCCGGAAAGAAGATGAAAGCGTCCGACACATCCGAAACACCGAAACGCTGCTCAATCTTGGATTTGATGTAGTAGACAGCGCTAAGTTGGCTGTTCGTTGCGCCGGCAACCGAGTTGTTGTCCTTCTCAGTGGAATATGGCGTGAAGATGTCGTGCTGCATCTTCTGGTAGGTTCGCAAGACGCTCTCGACGTGTTCCTTGCCCAGGCAGTAAGCCGGCTCTCCAAACGCCTGACCGAAAAAGCGGCCAATGCAGCTGTTCCATGTGCGAACCCAGTCGAGGATACTCCGGCACTCAGCAAGTTGTTTCTGGAGCTGCTTCACGTGCTCCTTCACGTTCGCCTGGTCGATGGTCCATTTTCCAGTCTCTGGGTCGAGCACGAGGTGGCCGATACTGACAGGACCTTTGGGCAACTCTCCTTCAATGGTCTCATCCCGAGGAATTCCTCCGTTGGTCAAGTACACCGAGCCAGTCTTCTTTAGGTTGAACTCCAATCCCATGACTTTGGCAAAACGCTGCATGGCAATCCACGCCCTAGCAGTATCCGCTGGATCGCCGGCTACCCAGAGGTCGTCGTGTAGGCGGTACAGTTGTAAACCCGTCTCCTGGTTGACGGCAAAGTCCATCACAAACAGAATCAACTCACCTATGAGCTTTGCAGGCGATCGACTCATTGGCATACCCCTTCGCCTGATGCGAGGCTCGGTCGATGATGATTCTGAATCTGAAGACGAGCCCAGGTTCACTGGCGTCTCGAGAACCTTGCGATAGAACGCGATTATGTTCTCTGGGAAGCCAAAGAAGCGGAGGGTGGCAAAAATTGACGTATGAGACAGGCCGGCCCCGAACCACTTGAGATCAGACTGCACTACGGCAGCTTTGCCGTCAAGCGCTTGATGGATCATCGTCTCAGTTGCAAGCGTGCGCAGAAGGAATTGCTTGATGTTTAAAGTCGGTTTCTTAGCCTTCCCCCATTCAGACGAAGTAGCGTCGTCTTCATCATCATCCTCTTCTGACATTCTTCCATCGTCGTACATTCCTTCGTTGAGCGTATTTACTTGGCTTGGCAGGGCGGCGAGGCAAAAGTACTTGATGAAGTTTTTTCTGCGAAAACCGGCAACCGTATCATCAGAGATGGAAGATCGGGCTTGGCGATTCCGTAAAGATGCCAGCCTCCCACCCCTTCCGCGCCCCCTAGTACCCCTGGTCCACCCTGTTGTTGCTGAACGCGAGGATTCATCAGAGATTTGTGTGGGTGTGTCGAGATAATACGCTCGCCGCTGGCTTTGTCTCTCAGTCGCGGGTGACTCGGCGTGCCACCTCCAGACTTGATCGGGTCCGTCCAGAGAAACGAGCCTCGTTAGGGTCTCCTTCAAACTGACGCAGCCCTTGATACCGACCCAGTGGATAAAGATTGCCTGTAGCACATCTTCGTCCATCCATATGCGGTACTTTCCATTGGCTTGCTGGCGCGGGAGGTACGATACTCCTTCATCGCCGGCGTCCCACTCCCAGTTGTCAAAGTCGGCGAATCGCGTGTTCAAGACATCGGCAATCTCTCGAAGTACCACATCGTTGGAATCGAACTCGCGTAGGATCGCTTGTTTCTCGTCGCTTAGGAGATCCTGCTGGAGGAGGCTGGCAATACACATCTTTAGCGTGGTCTTGTTGAACGGGCTCGTTCTCTGGAGGAAGTTCTTGCTCGATTGCGCGACTCGTTGTCGCACATCCTCGAGCGCTTTTTCACTCTCTCTTGTGTTGAATAGACTGGCCAGATAGGCATTAATCTCCGTTTCGTCGGTCTCCAATGGTGTGAAGACCACCTTCTCGAACTGGTCACGGAGGTTCTGGAGACGCTCCTTCTGGTGGTCGATGACTTCGAATGAAAAGTCTTTCTTCAACGGCTCGGTGGCGTCTGTACCCTCCATGGGACTTCCAGGATTGATCCACTCGGTGACAAGTCGTGAGTACAGGTGAGCCATGCTGAGCTTATGGCTTTGTACGTCGAGCTTGGACCTCAACAGGTCCTCAGACGCCTGCAACACCGAGGGAGGCACCGACGTGTCATATTTGGACTGAGCTAGTAAATTGTCGATATTGTCGATGCTAGGATCGTCGTTGCCTCCCTTCGAGTAAAGATCCTTGACTCCGTGAAGCAAACAGCTGATGCGACCGCTCTGGTCGGCGTATCCTTTGGCCTCCTCGAGGATCTTCGTCTTGCGGCTCTCGTATTGAGTCCGCTGCTTCTCCAATTCGCGAATCTTGGTGTCGGTAATGGACTGAAGCGTCTTCGATAAGACTGATGTTGAAGACATTGTAACAGAACTGTGAAAGTTGAGAAGGATAAGTGTAAAGGCTGTGTCGTTCCCGGATGAGCTTGCTTTGTTCTTGTCATTTCCTGTTTCTCCGAGTTGTTAGTACCTCCTACTTATATGTGTCGAATCGTCAATCATGTACACCAAGGGCTTGTTATTGACACCTACCAGATATTCTTCCAAAATATCTGTCGAGTAGATTTCACCATGGTCCAAGTTCCCTGTGCTAAGAGCGATCCAAGCGATTGGAGAAGCCAGCAGAAGTTGTAAGACGCTGTTGCCTGCTTAAGCGACGCCCTTCGACTGTCATCTCAACTTCAACAAGTTGCCGACCTGACAATTGACCATGCATAGACTCTTGATCGCGTCCAACCACAGAGTGTAAATGCTGTTCTTTCCTACTGGAACATTCCTTTCTAGCAACAACATAAGGCGTTCCAGGTCATGCAACCTTGTCGCCAAGGGGAGCGTAGTCGATCAAGGGTCCAGATCAAGCTTAGGGCGTAAGCACAAGGAAATTGAGAATTCTAGAAGCTTCTCGACGACAAACGACAAGAGGTCACTTGGCGCTCACAGTCTCAATTGGGAGAAATTTTGGAGGGAATTCAAGTCATTTGAACAAGAGTCTTTTCCAACGAATTACATGGCCACTGAACTCAGTGCGTAAGGTACACAACGCCATCAAAGAACAGCAAGTAGCGAGCCTGATGATGTAGTTGCATTATGACGTTTTCAAACACGATGATGAAGACGATGAACAGTTTCGACCGCTAGGTGTTGCTCTGCGTAGTGTAAATGCGGGCATGAAGTGAGTAGTTACTCGCCTTTCCTGAACTCTAGGTCGTCGCGATTTTGCCATGGTCATCCTAGCGGGGTTGGTTGAGCCTGGCCACTCTTCCGCAACTACCATTTCCCTCGCGACTTTGATTGAGTTGCTATGCTAGGTGTAGGGTAGTTCTATCTTTGAACGAAATTTTGATGAAATAGACACCGCATGCAGGGCTGAACAAATCTCCTCAGAGATCAACATATTCGGCCCAGCTCATTTGCCTACCATGGCTATTTTGAACCTAAAAACAATTACGATTAGTGATGGCCGTACGTCATTCCCTCAATAACTACCATCTCAATTTGGTTACGACAACATCGAGCAGTCAACGGCCGGTGCCGAAAACGCACGACCAATGGTTAATGGGGAATGGCCGAAACATGGTCAGATCCGGCCCCAGTTTCTGACCCAAATTGGGCAAAACTATCCAGCTGGATCTGTGGATGGGTTGTCAGCCCATTTTGGCAGGTTGTCAAACCCGTTGCATTCTGGCACGTCTAGCCAGCATAACCCTGGAATCTGCTCCAGTGGCGACCCGACGCGCGCGGCAGATCAGTGGGTTAGCCTGCCTAAATTGGCGCTGTCGCCGGTTTGTATTCCGCACCTCTGATGATCCTTCCCGGGCGCCGGCCGAGGTCTCGCTTTCGCCAGTGCAATCCAATGATCTTTGGCCATCATACTGGGAGGCAAAGAGAGGAGTGAATCGCGTCCCATACGTGCTGTGACAAAGTTGACTATACCATCATTCACTGCTAAGAGGTAGTAATTCCCAAACCAACTGTCAAGAATCTCTCCATCGACGCACGTAGATTTTAACTCTATTCTGTTCCGCCAAAGTGCCACGTCTGGATGCGATCTCCTGCAGATGCCGCGGCGTGGAGCGGGTACTGTCGGGGGACCCGATCACATCAACAATAAAAGGTTGCATTGAGAACAGGGAAGTGGGTTGAATCAATACAAGACCATCGGCTCATCTTATCAGTCGGTCGATTGAATAAGAAGAAAAAAATCCAAGGCAAACCCCACAACCCATGGAAAAAAGGGGCCTTTGACAACGCAATTTTTTGCTTAGATGAGCGTAAGAAGACGTAGCTCGGGAATACTTTGCTTACTGCCGAACCGCGTTTCTCGACTCAGACCCTGCATTGTCCAATTGATGCTAACTCACACACCCCCTTTCATCACTTAAACCTTCTTTCGTTCTCTACTTTGTCGCGTTGGTGCACTGATAAGGCGGCTATTGCAATCTTTCAGACCATCTGAAGCTGGGATAAACTTTGGCATCCCGCCCTGAGCCGCTCACACAGGACGGGATTGGATTCAGATGATCTCCTTAGCCGGCAATGGCTTCAACTTCGAATGATGGTCCACGAGACCCGGAAAAGGACAATAGCACACGCGAGGCCGCGATAGATACTTCTGTCATCGCAACAGACAACACCGGCAGTAGCGACAGCCCACCGACATCATCTCAAGCATCACCTACTGCAGAGAAGTCAACAACAACCCCTGCTGGACCTCCTGACGGTGGTTTGCAGGCATGGCTCCACATCCTCGGGTCTTTCTTCATCTACTTTAACACATGGGGTAAGTAAGATCGATCTTCAGACGTGCGTTTTACGCGATGCAACCATCGTGAGATGCTGTTGCAGCGGCAACGCCAACGTGGGACGACGTCCTCTGAGAAAGTAGTCCGCTGACTGGGTACCATTCCAGGTCTCATCTCAAGCTTCGGCGCCTTTCAGGCCTATTACCAGTCTGATCTCCTGAGCGATAACACCGCTTTTGAGATTTCAACTATTGGTTCTCTACAGAATTTCCTTATGGTCTTCTTGGGTTTCATTATTGGTCCAATTTACGACCTGGGCTACTCACGATACCTGCTCGTGGTAGGATCCATCCTGGTGCTGATTGGGCTCATCCTCCAAGCCTTCTGCCAGAACCTATGGCAGTTCCTCCTCTGCCAGGGTCTCATAATCGGCCTTGGAACAGGCTGTTTATCTACCCTGGGAGTTGCACTCCCATCACAATGGTTCTCTACTAGGCTGGCACTTGCCAATGGCATCGCGGCAAACGGCAGCGGTGTTGGCGGGTAAGTGATGCTTCGACGAGCGTGAGGATAGAAACATAAGAGTCGACTAACATCGTTTCGCAGTCTTGTCCTACCGGCCATGTTTCGAGCAATCCAGCCCAAGATTGGCTTCCGATGGACGGTCCTCGTCTTCGCGCTCATTGCGCTCGTGACGCTTGGCGTAGCCAACCTCGTCATTAAGACATCGAAGCTCAAGATTCCTCTCAAGCGGCGACCGCTCGTCGACAAGTCCGTCTTCCACGACCTGCCGTTCCTCCTCTTCCTTGGCGCCTGCTGTCTGCTCTTCCTGGGCATGTACACGCCGTACGTCTACGTGCAGACCTACGCCCTCGAGAACCATATGGCTAGTGAAAACGTGGCGCTCTACCTCCTCTCGATGCTCAATGGTGCTTCCATCGTCGGGCGCATTATCCCCAACTTCTTTGCGCCTTACATTGGCATCATGAACATGATTGCCAGCGCCGTCTTCATCATGTCTATTGCCGCTTTCTGCTTCGCGGCAACGAACAGCCAGGCTTCGCTTATTGCCGTTACTGTGGTGTACGGCTTCTTCAGCGGAACGTTCTTCGGCTTGCAGCCGACCACATTTGTCAAGCTTACGGCTGACAAAAGTTACATGGGCACCAGGTTCGGTATGGCTTTTACTGTCATGTCTGTGGCACTATTGTTCGGATCGCCCATTGCTGGTGCGCTGTCCAGGTCGCATGGATACTTGAGCGGTTGGATCTGGTCGGGATGTTGTCTTGCGGCTAGTGGTGTGACAATTTGCATTGCGCGCGGGTTTGCCGGTGGCTGGAAGCTAAATAAGGCGGTTTAAGGTGCCTCCTTGGCTATGTTGTACATACATCTTATCAGTTACATGCAGAAGCTTGTACAGAAATATGATTGCCCATTTCAAGTGTTTGATCTACGAGCAATGCAATTTTGTCTAACCTTCGGAAGACAGGCCTATCACTTGACATAGGTGGCCCACGCTCGTTCTCGGGGCTGGCGAAAAGACGAAAGATCTCGTGAGAAAGACTGGCAATGCGAGCACCAGCTACGTCACAGCAACAAAGGATTCCGAGGAGCTGAATCTCTTTCCGGGCCGCAGCCGTGACCCTTGTGCGGATTGCAGCTGCGGCAGTTTATCTTCAAGCATGTCCGCGGACGGAAAGTCGAAAACTTCCTCCCTGTCACGGTGCCGCCGCCAGGTACCGCGGGCGGCCATTCCCGATGGCGAAGAAACCGCATGGAGAAACCGAGAGTGACCCAAGTGTGCCAAGTTATTCAAAACTCGACTCTTCAATAAACTTATGGAAGGTAGAAAGTGACGAGTGGGAGCCGTCTAGGTAGATAACAGGTTGCACAAAGTGGGAGCCGGCCTACCTGACTCGCCATTACCACCCAACAAGGACACCCGGGCTTCGACCCATAGACTAGGACTATATGGGGTCTCATGCCACCTTGTTAGGCTTTACCAGGGCCACCAGCGGCATATCGTCGATCTGAAATGATGCAAGGGCAACTGCGTGGGTGTCGTTGCGGGAATCGTCACTGCCTTTTGTATTTCGGGAAGCTTGAATATAGAGCCCCCGCGTAGGGTTGCACTCTGCGGAACCAGAACCGGCATGCCAGATGGCGCAAACCTTAGAGTTCATGACGGGGATAGAGGGGTTGGAGGGGTAGAACTTCCCACGTTTGTAGGTTCTATCTTCACGTATAAATAGAGATCTGGTGCCTTGGCTGCGAAGCCGTCAACCTCTCGAACTTCTGCTGCATTCTACTAATCGTTCGATATCGAATACCGTTCAAAATGTCCATCAAAACAGTTGCCGTCGTTGGTGTAAGTACTGGTTCGACAACTCTTCAATATGAGCCCAAAGCTCACATCTGAATCTAGGCATCCGGCCTTGTCGGCCTGCGAGTCGTCAAAGCTCTCCTTGATAAGGGCTTTCAAGTAACAGCCATCTCCCGCGAGACTTCAACCGCCACATTTCCATCAGGTGTCGCTGTTCGCAAGGCAGATCTCTCGTCTGTTGAGTCTCTCACGGCTGCTTTTGCCGGACAGGATGCTGTTATCTCTGCCATCTCCACTGTTGCAGTCATCGTACCCGGCTCGCAAGACCCGCTCATCGATGCGGCGATCGCCGCTGGCGTGAAGCGCTTCATCCCATCCGAGTACGGTCTCAACACACGCACCTTGGAAGGCGAGATACTCGGCGATTGGCTCAAGTCCAAGACGGCCGCCGTCGACTATCTGATCAAAAAGACGGAGGCGAACCCAAGCTTCACATGGACTGGTATTGGAACGAGTCTGTTCTTCGACTGGGTAAGTTCTCGCTTTGGACAGTTCATGTTGTCTGAAGGTGTAATTAACCATATCCCAACAGAGTATCACACGAGGAATTTACGGGATCTCACTTGAGAATAAGAGTATCACGATCTTCGACTCTGGAAACCAAAAAGTCTCCACGACATCACTCTCTTTCTTGGCCGAGGGCATCGTCGCGGTGCTTCAACACCCTGCCGAAACTGCGAACAAATACATCAACATCGTCGAATTCGAAGTCACACAAAACGAGCTCCATAAGCTGTTCGAAGAGGAGACAGGTTCAAAATTCACAGTTGAGCACAAGACTGCCGACGAAGCAGAGAAGGAGGGCAAGGAGAAGCTCAAGGCTGGAGGTCGTTTCCCCTTTGAGGAGTTCTTGCAAAAGTACTGGTTCGGCGACGTGCCCGGCCATGCTATCAAGGAAGAAGACAAGTCAAACAAGATCTTGGAACTTCCGCAAAGTGACTTGCGAGAGGTCGTTAGAGGATACATCAAGGAGCACAGCACATAGGAGAAGCCGAATGGCAATCTCAACGAGTTACATGAGTTAATTCTATCTAAAGACAACATGCAAAGTTTCCGCGTGTCTCGTGACCCAAAGCATTCGGCGCGGCCGAATTCATTGATGATTGCCAGTACTTCAGTAAAGTACCTCATGCATGTCTTCTGGCCTGGCTCAACCAAAAACAAAGACCCTCTGCTACGCCCTCATCTCTTAGTACACATTGCCCTTTCTCTATTCAATGATACTTCAAGGAATTTATTTGAGTTTAGTTCTATTTATTGTCAGTTGCCGCCTCCTAAGCCACCTGGCCAAATTACCTGGTTGATTAAGGTCTCGTAACTATGCACTCACGACTGCAAGTCGGTGGTTGGAATTTGGCTGGGAAAAAGGCTAACTTACCATGAATCATCAAGTCTAATCTTGCCAGAGTAATTGACATCTAGAATTACACTTTCAACTTTTCTCTAGCTTCAGGAATGTTTCTGGTGGGTGACTTCAACAAGCTTGCAGATCTTTCTCCATCCTTTAGTGTACGTTTCATTCTTTTGGAACATAGGACGAACCTTTCCAGTATATTTCTGGGGGCTCGAATCGTATTGATGCTTTCACCTGAGCTCGAAGTCATCGGCAGATCTTCGTTAAACTACTCTCATTCGATAGAAGTCTTCGTCAAACTTTGAATAGGACGTCTTCTATTTGGGAAATAGGTAGACAACCTAGGGGTCGTAGAGAAAATTCGACCAAGGTAAACCGTAAATGACTTGGTCGAGTTGCTTATCTCAAGTATCTACTCTGATTCTTACGAGTTGAGGTCACTGCCGAGAACAAAGTCAACTCATCAGCCGAATTTCAAACGAGTGATCAGACTAGTTCCAGTGGAAATGAGGGAAGTTTGAAAATGATCACCACTTGTAAACAAGATAGAGTGATGGTATCACTGCTCGGGTTGGGGTTTGCTTAAAAGTTCTTTTCCAGTCATTCAGGACAGAACATCAATGAATGGCAGTTGACTTTAAAGAGCGCCATATCTCCGCGGCGCTGTAACAGTAGTATCCAACCAAAGAGCAAGAAATGACTTGAGATCAACAGCGTTCGGATTGACTTCTGAGGTCAGCAGGGTTCCCTACCTCAGTGCATAATTGTAAGAAGTCCCAGTGAGCCTACACACTGTTTAAAACATAGGTGACTGGTTTTATGGTCACTCTTAAATTGCAAAGGTGTACCTCCGAGTCGCAGCTCGACGAGGAAAAACCGTGCCAGGGAATTGAGCACATTATTTCAATGGAAATGGAATTACTTGCTTCAGGATGTTTTAGTACAACTGGAGAACAGGAGAAAGCTACTGGCTAAGAGGAGGTTGAACGATGGTCATGTGTGCATGGCCTACCGTATGCGGCGTAGTTCGAGTGAATGCAATGTTGTGTTGCGATGCTTTTGCAATGGCTGAAGCAGCAATATTATCGATCTCGCTATCAGTCAAGATATTGTACTCAACCAGTCATCTCGGGACTCTAAGCAGAAACTCGCTTGGGAAGATTGTCTACAACAACGGAGTGAGAAACGAAAGGTCGGGCGTCACGTTTCCATGAGTCTTGGTAAAAGCTTGAAGCCTCAATACGGGTTTCATGAACTCAAACAATTCACCGAGGTGAAATTCGGATTATGTGAAGTTGCATGCTTCAAAATGCATAGATTCAGTCAAGTCAATGGAGACTACGGTCAGTAATCATTTGATGGCCAAGGACGCAGCTCATAGTTGATATTCGTAAGCAACTTCAAGACAAATGTCTCTTAAGAAAGAGAATGAATTGAATCACGGTAGGTAAGTAGTAATATCACGCTTCACATTGGTCCTGTATCAGTTATATTCTTCATACCTTCGAATAGCTTTGCATTAGACTATAACAATTTCCGCGTATTGCCGTTGCACTTTTCGTAAAGGGAACATAGGGGAGGATATTCCAGACTCTATCTCAAAAAATGTGGCCGACAAGAGCAAGAGCCACGATTGATGGTCTTCGAAAATTGGCGCTTTAACCAATCATATGTACTACTGTAGGAAAACAACGATGAAGTCTCCTGCGGCCGTCATTTCTTGGGTCGTCTCAAATCACGTAAGTGCCGACGTGGCAGCGCTGAAAGATACGAGGCCAAGAGCTTGGCCAAGACGTCGCGGCTTGTCACATCAGGGGAGCCGCAGCTGCCAAGTGGAATGTGTAGCTTGGCTACCAGCGTTACAAAAGGTGAAAAGTTTATTGCGATGAGCCAGCAACGGGCATTTGAGCATTTGCGTCGGACTTGGAAATTTCAATACGACGAACCTGGGCTAGTGGTGCCTGGAGATTCAATGCAGCTAAAGCGGTGCTCGTTTCCACTTGCCTGCAAGATTACGACCGAGGAACGTGATCGCTGGGTTGGTTCCTCACATTGGACGATGAGGAACCCCTCGCCGTCTAATGTAATGAAATGCTCCGGCCGGCGGACGGAGTGGGTAGATGAGCCGACGCGGCATTCAGTTGGGCAGGGGTTCACGCAACTCTCCGTAGATCCTCCTTGTTTCAGGAGGCTGAAACGGTGGGGGGCCACATTGTTCTCGCCTCAGAATGGACTCACTTGGGCTTCACATCGCGATAAAGTCGCAGGACTATGGTGTGAGGCTGTGCTTACGCCAAAACATGAAGGTAGAAAGAAAAGTTAGATGGGGAGGTGAAAGTAGAAAGAGTCGTTGGTTGGAGGGTCATTCAACTTCTTAGACGTGTAGATGACAGCGCGTATAAGGAAAATATTTCACATATTCAGTAGTCATCGGTAGTGGTTCGCAGATCCGTAAATCAAGGTTGGAAAAATCCACAAACCCCAGGTGACAGATGAATTGGTGGGGTTCTTCAACGAGAATGCGACCCCTAGGCCCGGTACCAGCACGGTTTAAGGACGGCCCCGAAACTACCTTTTAGTCAATGGGACCATCTCCTCTGACCGTGATAACGCAATCCTCTCGCATTTGCTGCACCCCCTTTTGAAACCGAAATGAGATGACATGAGCCCATTCCCAAGCCCGCGTGTGTGGGAATGACCATACAGACCCAGGCTGGCGCTTCGAATCTCTTGGCATTATCTGGTGATTATCCCACGAACCCCGGCCACTCCCCGTCGCATCGGCATGGTTGAGATGCGGGCCCGACGCGATCGGAGAGACCTAAAATTTGATGATATATGGGCACCCACAACCACAACTTTGTTTTAGTTCGTCCGCAAAAGAAAGACCTCGTTCAAGTCGTTGATCCCGGTGATCGTTGCGCATCTCCGTCTTTTCCGATCAGCTGCATACATTTACATTCATTAGTTGACCCATCGAAATCGCGGTTTTTGATCTACCCACTTACTCAACATGCCTGTTCTCGATACGCGGCTTATCCAGGAGGGGATGATGGAAGTTGGGCACGAGATCATGAAGAGAAGTGTCGACCACACTGTACTAGAGACACTGGCAGTGGGTGAGTGGACTTGTACCAGAGTTTCATGACTGGAACCGAAACTTTGGCTAACTTGTGTGCACAGCTGGTACATGTATATTTGGCGTGGGCGGCTTCATCTACTGGATCAACCACCGGTGAACACCTTAATGTCACAAGAGAGGTAATCACCCCTTTCCATAGAGCAAACTCATAAGCAGCCGAAAACTGATATGTCTAACTCTAGGTCGGAATAATACCACATCCGCTAGAAACATCACGAAAAACCGCGAACGCCGAAGTAGACACAACGGCGCAACGCAAACGTAGGGTCCAACACTCCACAACTAATACCCACATGCATCATACCACGGTGCAGGACACCCAGCGATGCTATCCACGTTGGCATAAATAAAGAGCTGGCATAATCGATATCAACACAAGCATGACGATATCGTGGCCTAAGGCACTGCCTAGTTCCCGCTAGACAACTCGTAATCGACCTACCAAATGTCACTAGACCAACCATTGAGTCGCATAAAGGAGATGCAACCACACAGCATTCATACAACGAGTCTTTTGGCCATACAATCTTTGTAATTTAGATACAGTCGTCCCGTCTTGATACCCTATAAATTCTGACAAGCATTCAAATTACACTTGACCTCTCAAGGTTTGGCGTGAGACGTTGTGTGAATGGGAACTACTGTTGAACGTTCGCATTACTTAGGCTAGGGTTCGTGGCCAATGTTGAGGTGTGTTTTGTTTGACGTCAAACAATGTATTTGCTTGATAACACCTTGCCATTTTTAGCCATACTATTTCTACGACCTGACTAACGTAGTCAGATAATCTAAGCCACATGCACTATTCCCTTGAGATCGTTGCATAACTCCGGCCAGATATTGTTGGCCAATGCGCTAAACACCTACGGCTTCCGCCACGGAGTTGTTTCAACCAACCATTAAACACACCAGATCTGTTTGAATTCATGTGTCGCCTCGGAGTGCCATTTTTTCGGATTTGCATTTTCTTTTGCCGATAATGTGGGAAACAGGAACCAATAGCTATACTGCTTTTGACTTCAACCATCACACCCATTTCCAGCCCATCTATCATCTGCAACCCGCGTGGATGATATGTTCTTTTGATGTGTTTTTTCGGCGTTGTCCAACTCCAGCACAATCCACCCCACCTGTGATAGCAACCAAATCTGGTCTGTCACGTACAGCTCCAACCATCATCGATGATAAGCCAATCACCGGAACACCACTCGCCCTTCAAGAAGCCAAGCTTGTCCCTACCCCCTTTTCCTCATCCAGTATATGGGTGCCCTGTTCTAGACGAGTTCGACCGGACTATGATCAAATTCCAATGAACTTCCTAGCCAGTACCCTCATGTGACGAGCTGCCTCTCGCTCGGGCATTCTGTTATTCAGATGGTAATACTTTGTAATAGACTCGAAGTTCTTGGGATGAATTTCAAGTAAGTTCACCACTTGATCCAAAGTCTTTCCGAAAGACTTAACCCCCGCCAAGAGGAGCAACATATCCTCAAACACCATCTCAGTCAGAAGTCGTACCTGAACTTTCCAATCCCTAGGGTTATCCTTATACTCGATGAGTGTGGTCTTCTGGTATTTCGTGGTATAAAGGTAGCCCAAATCCAGACTTTCAAGATGCTGGCAGCCGCTGAGAAGTTGAGCAACACGTCGCGAGATAGCTCTGTACTCCCTCTGTTTCAACACTCGAAAGTTCTCAATCCCCAGTTTTCGCACAAAGGCCGCTTGGAATGACCGTGTCAACTTGATAACGCGTAGGTTGAGAACTCTCATTCCGATTTTCTTCAGCCACATTTCGAGATACTCCATGTCCTCGATCTCGAATGTAGCCGAGTAATCCAGCATAGCTCTGGCCTCGGCGTAAGTTGTCTTGCAAGTGTGTAAGAGAGAGCTAGAGCCACTGAGGTCTGAACGTTGTCGGCAACGTTTAGTTCGTGAATCCCAATAGACAGTGATTCGAATTTGTACGAAAGCTAGGCCGTAGACCATGTTCCGCACCTCTTGTGGCAGTGCTCTAGGACTTTGTCGTCAGCTTTGGGCCCACCCTACGTCGTTGACGTAGAGACTTACAAGAAACCCCACTCATCTTTCACTTTCACCTTCTTAAAGAAGTTAGCTTCTGCTTCGGTGGCCAGGCATAGACCATTTGACAAACGAATGGCAGTAGGGAGATTCAGTCGGATGATGTGTCGAAGTTTAGCGTCGATAAGAAATGAAATTTGACGGCAATACCTTGCTGCGTAGATTGTAGCGGCCTTCCCAATCGTTGAATTCCGGCGAACGTGATCTTTTGCGAGAAGATTCACCGGGACTACCTTGCGGAGCCATGATGATACGTCTGAAGTTTGGCTGGTAGTGTTACGACGAGACTTAGTTGCGTTCTGCTAGAGAGAATTCCCAGGCTATTGGGCAAGTGAAATAGTTCGAGAGTATCATAGTTATATCTGAGCAGGCTGCTGTCTGGAGTCTGGAAATAGATGGAAACGATTTCCCTACTCTTTTCTTGTACTTTTTCGAAAGCGAAGATTCCTTGAAGAATATTTACAGCTTGTGTTTCATTCCTAGTCTAAGGCAATATCCCCGTCGTGCATCGTTGCCTCCTTCTAAGCGAACAAAGAGAAAGCCTTCATTGCAAGCCATTCGCTATAATTGTGCTCTTGAATGAGCGACAGTCATTTCCAGAAAATTCGATTTTTCGCATGCACGTCTCACTCCGAGTCTCTTCCTGGCTAGACCTTGCTACGCTTGAATTTGCATTTGACTTCGCCTGATCCTTCCACTGGAAACGTAATTTTTGGGTGACCTGAAATCATCTCCTCGAAACCTCGGAATGTTCCTTTCTCCTTTGTTAAGGTCTCCAAGAGACTTCGCTGTCATCCTTTTCCAGACTCTCCGCACATAATCTCACTCCTCCCAGGAGGCACTGGACTCGTCTTCATGTTCTAGCGGATCTTCGGTTTCGATTTCTACTTCTCATTCCGATATGGCGCTATCCATAGCTTCGAGGTAAATTTGCAACTCTGAAGGGTCGTTGTGCTCCCAGTCATCGGCAGACTTGCGTCGAGGACACCATGTAAATAACTTCATGCTAGCAGGCCACGGTCGTCGTCTGGAGGGAGGACTCTTTTCAGGGCTCGTCGAAGAACTTTCCCCTCATTCCCAACCGAGTAAATTGAGCTGTGAGTCTTTTCGCTTGCCATGCCAGACTACTCACAAACAGAATTGAGCCGGAGGTGAGTCCGTCACGGAGCAGCATGGGCTGCTGTAAGCTTGATCTGGCAAGAACACGATGGAAGATTCGCACAGTCCTGTCTCCTTTCCCATTCGTAGGAAATGCAAACAAATTCAGGACTGAATTATGCATGCTCGTCAATATTTACAGAGCCAAATGTTTTTGACCCCGCGTCGTTCAGCCGCACTCCATGTCTCACCTCGCGACGTGCCGGATAAGATTGACAGCCCGGACAACGGGCCGCTGGTGAGACAAGGGGACCGGCAGCGATGGCTCAGGAATGCAAGAAGGAAGCGTCGAAACTCACGGGCCAGCACGTGTCTCTTTCAGTCATGCTATTAGTACAATCCGTATCTTCAACATCATATCACCTTAATGTTCTGAAAGACGCCTGCGGGAGCGATCGGGATGGGCTAAGCCGCTGGTACGAGACTCGCGACCACGTTGTCAGAAACCAGCCAAGCCGTGGGAAGCGCTGACCTCATTCCTCGAATGACCTATCTCATATCACAAGAGGTTGATTCTAGCTCGCGAATCCCTCCTGTAGATCATACTTGGACGTGGTTGAAGTGCGGTATGGAGAGGCGTCTTCGCCACTTTGCAAGACTCACCTCAAGAATTCCTCAGGGCAGAGCTGAACAAGCTGGAATTGAGATTCGTCAGTCCAAGTGGGATGATGAGGGCTTTTAGTCAGTAGTTGGCTTTGTGAAGTGTATAAGTACCATCCATCAGAACCATAGGAGACTCCCTTGAACCACCAAACAACTCACATCGTCTCTCAAGATCCTGATAACACCCAAATAACTCCAAGCAATATGTCTGCACCTTTCCAGACGTACGCCATCACCGGCATCCCGACTGAGGGCACCGGTCCCCCACCATCTCGAAGTGAGATCAACGCTTGGGCCAAACATAACCCAATTCAGCTTTCTCTCTTCATCCAGGCCTTGCGCGCCTTCCAGAGCATGGACTTCAGGGATCAGTTATCCTACTACCGCATTGCAGGTATCCACGGCCTTCCGGCCACCTCATGGGATAATGATCCTATCCCAATCGAGGTGACCAACTCCTATGGACCAAACTACCCTGACCATACTCCTGACTTCTACTGCCCACACAACACGTTGATCTTCCCAACATGGCATCGCGCCTATTTGCTTCTCTTTGAGCAGCGTCTTTGGGAAATCATGACGAAAGAGATCGTTCCTGCAGCCCCACCCAGCGCTCAGCAGCAGTGGATGACCGAAGCAAACGCCTGGCGTATGCCGTACTGGGACTGGGCCGGCATCCCCAGTGTTCCTGACGTTGCAAGCACTCCGACAATTACTATTCAGATGCCAGATGGGACATCACAAGAGGATTGGAACCCGCTGTACCAGTTCAGCACGGCCAACATGACGCAATTCAAGAGTGCTTCCATGAAGCCACTCTTTTCCGATCAAAAGGCCTTTGGGGAGTTTGCGATCGTTGATGAGCCGCCTGTGAGTGCGAAACGAGCCCATATATATTCTCAGACAGCTAACCATGGGATAATTATGACCTCCGTTCCAGACCAATCAGACGTATGCCACGAGCCGATGGGGTCTCGACAACCCCATCACGACGCAGCAGGTCTCCGGAATCGTCAATAACCAGGCCGTGAACATTGCACTGCAGAAACCACTTTGGGCCAATGTCACCAACGCTGGAGGTCTCTACGGAACCTTTGCCGAACAGGTTTCAAGGCTATTCGTCCCGACCAACTTTGACAATTTCGCAGAATTCGCCACAACTGCCCATGGGGGCCAGGGTCCCGCTGCATATCTCTCTGTCGAGATGTTGCACAACTGCATTCACGACTTCACGGGAGGCGTGGGCTGGACTCCGAACATGCCCCCCCTTGGTTCCGAAAACCCGCCGCCGCCGGATGTAGATTCTGCTGATCCTCCGCCAAAGTACGCTTACGGCCACATGACCGACCTCGGCCTCGCAGCTTTTGACCCCATCTTCTGGCTGCATCATTGCAACGTGGACCGTCAGCTTGCGATATTCCAGTCGCTCAACTCCGTGCCCTGGTGGTCCGGCCAGAACGTCACGAGTGACCCCGCCTCTGACGCCCCATTGTACCCGTTCCATTCCGACACCAACTTTGGGCACTGGACTTCGGACGCGCTGCAGGCTTGGACGAAGCTGGGGTACACCTACGACGACCTTTCGCCGAAAGCGGGGTCCAATGCCCCAACCGCCACCCCTGAGGAGGTCATCGGTCGGCTAACAGCCAAATACGGCGTCCTCAGGAGCCTTCTGAAGGAAGTTTCTCACAAGAACATTGCTGGATTAGACAATGACTTCATCATCAACGTCCTGTACAACCGCTACGCTCTCGGAGGCCGAAGTTTCATCATCTACTTCTTCCTCGGTACCGACAACCGCAAGGCCTCCGGACGCCCCGAAGATAATCTCTGGAGCGAGGACTACATTGGCAGCATCCACAGCTTCTCCAGGAACTGGAAGAAGAGCGGCGTGGCGTGCGCCAACTGCACCAAGCAGCAGAGTGTCCAACAGCTCTCAAAGGGACAAGTGCCTTTGACGCTGCAGCTTCTGAAGAGGGCTATTGACGAGGACAAATGGACCGACATTAAACATCTTGGTGCGGAGCACGTTCTTGAGTACGTGAAGAAGAATCTGCATTGGAGAGTCGTGGCTGTAAGTTGGATGGATCCCTGGGTCCAGTTTAAGCAAACATAAGTATAGGAAAGACACTAACTTGCATGACAGCTACCCGGCGAGGTGATCAAGCCGGAAGCAATGCCGGATCTTCAGGTCAACTTTTTAGCCGGCAAGGGCACTCATCCTGAAGATCCGGAGAAGCCTTCGGAGTTCCATCACTACGATGATGAGTGGAAGGTTACAAAGGGCAGCGATGGAAATCCCCGTTGGGACCAAACTAGGAAGAGCGGAAAGAAGGTATAAAATACGGAGAAGGATCCATGAGATCAAGACTAGTGCCCTGAGATTATTCTACGAGCTTATGTCATTCCCCGTGAGCTTTGGATGACCACCGTGAACATATTTGTAGATCGGTGTAGAGATTATGAAAACGTCTCGCTCCTTGCGAACGACGGCTGAATGAAGCCTTAAGCCCCCATACTGACATCAGCCCAAAACTTTGGTCGAAAATTGCTTAGATGTCAATAAGATGGAGAAAAGGAGTCTACATGCCCATCAAAACACATGGCATCTTCATAAGAACGCAAGCAAAGTGCGTGATAAGGTTGTCGTAGAAAGAGATAGGACTTCGCCTTGGGTTTAGGGGGTTCATTGCAGTAAAGACGGAGGATAATGTCCAAAAGTCATAAGCAGCAAGCCAAAAGGGAAAATAAGATATCATCAACATGGCTGCATGAAAGCAGCATTATTCAATTTTTGTAATGTACGACTATCGCTATGAACACACATTACATATCTCATATCCACATTGTGTCGTGTGAACGTTAAATTCCATGAATTACACATTAAACAAAAAGCTCGCTTTTAAATCCACTAAATATGCCCATGGTTTGTTTCAGAGCAGAGCAGCAACCACGACACCAGCGGCTGCAGCCAAGATGCCGGAGCCGAGGCGATCAGCAGCGTTGGTGACTTGAACCGGGCCAGTGGTGGTCTTGCTGGGCGTGGCGACGGGCGTGGTGGCAGCGGGAGGAGGAGTGCCGGCAGGAGGGGCAGAAGGGGTGCCAGCCGGAGGGGGCGCGGGGGTACCGGCGGGAGGGGTACCGGCGGGGGGAGCAGGGTGGGTGCTAGCAGGCGGAGCGGGAGGAGTGCCAGCCGGGGGAGTGCCAGCCGGGGGAGTGCCAGCCGGGGGAGTGCCAGCCGGGGGAGTACCGGCAGGGGGGGCCGGGTGAGTGCTGGCGGGAGGAGCAGGAGGAGTGCCAGCAGGAGGAGTGCCAGCGGGCGGGGGAGGAAGAGGAGGGCTGCTGGGAGCCGGGTGCACAGTGGTGAAAGTGTGAGGCACGCTCTCTGTGACGGGGCAGATGGTGGTGGAGACAGGAATAGTCTCGGTGGTGGTGTGAGGACCCTCAGGGCAGTTGGGGGTATCGGGAGGGCACCTGGTGATGGTGTGAACCTTGGTTGTGTAAACAGTAGAAGTCGTCCAGGTCGTTGGGGGAGGAACAGGGTGGGTGGGAACGGGCTTTGTGGACTCTTCCGTGACGGGGCAGATAGTCGTGGAGACGGCAATGGTCTTGGTTGTAGTGACGGGAGTGTGAGGGCAGTTCGTGACGCTGGGCGGGCATCTTGTCACGGTCTCAACGGTCGTGGTATAGACGGTGGACGTGGTCAGCTTGGTGGTGCTAGTCTTGGTGTGAGGAGGCTTCGCGCTCGTCGTGTTGGCATAGGGGGTGGTAGTAGGAGGAGGAGGAGGATGGACCCAGGTCTTCGTCGTGCTCTCCCCCTTGGTGCTGCTGACGGCAGTCTCGGTGGTGCAATCCTCGGTGGTGGTGGGAGGGGGAGGAGGGACGTGAGTCGTGGGCTTGCTGGAGTGGGAGTGATGGCTCTTGGTGCTCACGGTTGTCTCGGTGGTGCAGTCCTCGGTCGTCGTGCTGTGAACTTTGGTGCTACTGACCGCTGTGGAAGTTGTGCAGTCCTCGGTAGCAGGAGTCGTCGTGTTGTGGTACTTGGTAGTGCTCACGATTTCACTGGTAGAGGTAGAGACGCCCTTGGTGCTGCTGACAACAGTCGAGGAGGTAGTGCAGTCCTCGGTCGACGTAGACGTGCTATGGACCTTGGTGCTGCTGACAACAGTGGAAGTCGTGCAATCCTCCGATGAGGTGCTTGTGCTGTGGACTTTGGTGCTGCTGACGGCGGTGGAAGAGGTAGTGCAGTCTTCGGAAGAGGTGGAGGTGCTGTGAACCTTGGTGCTGCTGACCCAGGTGGACGATGTACTAGCCTCGGAGGTGACGGGAGTAGAGGAAGAGTGCTCCTTGGATGTGCTCGTAGAGACAACCTCGCTGGAAGAAGACCAAGTAGTCTTGGTGGCCTCGGTGGTGCTGACGGTGGTCGGGGGAGCAGGGGTGCTTGTGGTCCATGGGGCAGAGGTACTGGTGGTGGCAGGGACGGTTGTGCTCAAGCTGTAGGTGATGCAGGAGCAGGCAGAGGAGACAGCCTTGACATCTCCGGCGCAGTTGTTGAAGTCCGTTGGGATAGCAGCGGCAGCAGTGGTGGTTCCATGGAGGAACTCAACACAGAAGCCCTTGGCCTCCTCAGCAAAGCGTTCATCGATGAGGTTGCGGTAGCACCCATCATGTTCCTGTGATGTGTCAGTTGGGAGTTCTCATGACTGCATATAGCTGTTGGGGAATAGTTCGTTCCATCACAGCCTGGCGGTATAGATGAATGGGACGGAATGGGGAGGATGGAATGACATGGTCAAAATAGACAGGGGTGTGAGCAGACGTACACAAAAGGGGTATTCCCAAGCATTGACGGACGCCAGAGCGATGGCGCCCAGTCCCATGTAGAGGCTACGCATATTGGTTCTTGGTGTTTGGAAGCGAATGACAGTGACTTTGAAAGTCTACTAGTTGATTGGAGCGAGAGGACGATTTACTCGTAGCGACCGTGGGTAAGGAGAGAAAGAGGAGACACGAACCATACTCTCGGCGCAGCGAAGGAGACTTTATCAGAAAGCAGACGAGGGTGTGGATGGTTGCCGGTTGCTGGAGGCTACGTCGGGCCACGGCGGGGAGTGATGCATCCATCATCCATCCATCCATCCCACCAGGGCGGGCTACCCGGCGGAATACGAGCTGGAGCCGCAGCACGGCTTGTGGTTGATCTCTTGGTTGCCTTTTTACCCATGTTCCCACCCAGCCATGGCACGAGATGAGGCACCATGTCGATATGCAAGGTAACAGTAGTGCCCTTGCTGTCAGGCCGGGCTACATCATGGCATAGCTGCCAGTCAGCAGAAGGTTGCGCCGGTGGTCTGCTAGCGAGCCCGCACACCATGTAGGGCGAGTTCGAGGTCGACCAGTCACCGGTCAACCGTCGGTGGTTTGTCGAATTTGGGTACATGGCGCGTGGGTGATGGCGGCGTCCGTCAGCTCGTACCGGTATCTAGTGTGGTATTTTGTCATGACTTTGAGGTCCCAGGGATATGGCACTGGCAGACGACGGGCGGAAATCGACGGCGAGATACGGTCGCCATGGTAAGGGAAGCCACACGGAGGGCACGAAGTCTATCAGAGATGGGAGTGACTGCGAAGGGCCCGGTGTTCCAGTGATGATCTTAGACGGTGGAGATGGCACCAGGAACACGGTGGATGACTTGCTGGCAGAATCCGGAGGATCTTCGACCATGAGGAGAAGCGGAGTCGATGGAGGAAGGTTGTCAAGTTGATAACCCTTGCGTTGCTCCGGTTATTGGGCGGTCGTTTCGACGTTTGTCGACGGCGCATCGGCCAGATCCACAAGAGGTAGTCCAAAGTGGGGTTGATCGATGATGTTTCTTTGAAGACTTGCAAAGTTTGTTTCTTGTCTCTCTCGCTTGCCCGCCTCCAACGGTGCGGTTCGACGGCGTGGATGGATCATGGCGTGGACGGGTGGATTCGAGGTTGGAATGACAACTCGCGTGGGAAGAAGAAGCGGAAAATCCAAAAGGTCCCATCTTGTTCCTTCCCCCCCCCCCTGCCTAGTGGCTTTCGCTTAGCGTGCTCTAGCCAGGGGTAGCCTAGCCTGTCGAATGACCCAGACGACCGTTCAAAGCCAATCAGTGACAGCCTTGGCCGATTTAGGATGGATGAGTGGGGCATCACCAGCTCTATCCGGTGGGGCCTCGCTGCCTCGCTGGGCAACTGCCAACTCTAGAAAAACATCGCGCCTTCCTCGCGCAGGAGGGCACAGCTCGGCTAACACGGAAGTCGCCAACCTAGATGCTCTTGCCTTCTCTCAATTTTTTTTATTTCTTTTTATTCAATTTACTCCGGAATTCTTCGTGGCCTCGGAGTCTGCTTGCATCCTGGGATACCAGACAAGTTGGTACCTATCTTGGATTTATGCTAGTACCTAGGTATACATCCCAGGCGACTTCTTTATGCGGCTTCTCTCTCTCCCGCATTCCTCGCAAGACATCCAACTCCCAACTCCGCTTTCATGTATTCGACTGCCCACCACGATATTCAAGCTTAATGCTAGTCGTTATTATACGATGGGACAATGTTCATCAGCTTCTAGTCCCTCGTTCATTTGACAACTTTCCGAACGGCAAGGTAAGGTAGCCAGCCACCGATCGTTTCTTCCACCACTAATCCCAATTTGGACACGACAAAGGCGCTCTGGAGTCTCAACTTGCTTCCCCTTTGGCCTTACGAACACGCTCACGAAGCTTTTTCCCACCCAACTGACTACCTACCTAAATGACCGACTTCCGGCCATGGGGCTAAGAAAAGAAATCAAGCTTGAGGCTTTTTGGCACCCTGGCCGCGGCTAATGCACATTGCTGCACCCCGTCGCCTTACTCGCCCGCCCTTTTCCGTCTTCTCTTCCTTGCAGCTCGCCGCTTGCTAGCTCGCATTTCCCCTCACGCCGCCGCATCATGCGTTGGTTGCCAACTTGCCATGAGGGTTGCTACTCGACTTCTTGTTCTCTGCTCACTCGACATTTTCATTGGAAAAGGTCTTTGGCGAGGCGATATGACGATGGACGCTCGTGAGGTAATTTCGCGCGGATTTCCACCGCTCCATCCCACCACCTTCCAACTATTACTACTCACACTCAACTCTCTCCCCAGACTCTCGGCACTTTACAGTATCAACCCACCATCACTGGCCTACGGTAAGGTTCATCGTCGGCTGTCTTCGCCCGACCAACCACCTAGCTGAGTCACCTTATTGCGGCACAGCGCTGCATCGTCACATCGTCTCTTGACCTAAATCTCACGATGGATACGAGAATCTCCTCACTTCCGGCGGCAGCCGTGGGGTTCCCGCCACCGTGCATCACATCGCTTCGCCCCAGTGCTGACTGATCTTCGCTGGCCAAAGCAAGCTTTTGACATTTGCAATTGAAGCAAATCGCAGCGTTTGCATGACGATGTTCACCGCAAGTCAACCATGCCTTCAGTGTAGTTCCACGGCCTGTCGATGCACTATGTGGTCCAAGTACTAATCACGTCTTGGAGATACACGTATCTCGACACTCGACTGGTTTGCCATTGCACTAGTCTGACTGAGATCTGGGGAAGCTGGGCCGCACAACATTCCATCCCATCGCCATTTCCGCGGCCAGGTCCATGAATGTCGATCAGGCCTCACCTAACCCTCGCACGTGCTCCTCGTTCATTCATGGAATTCCCACCGAAATCCCGTGGTTGGCTACACATCCCCAGCAGGTAATTGACAGCCAAGTGGTCAACTTCAGCTGGCAGCTGGGCCATCGAGCAACTCCCTTGCACCCGCAGACAGGCGCAACGTTGCTTCATGCCAGGCCGCCACGAAGCCGCCTGAATAGATTGAGCACTGCCAAGTCTTCCCGTGCAAACTTCTGCGATGTAAGACTAGCTCAGTGTACATTTCCTTTCAACTGCACAGGTCTAGACTCTGGAGCCTTGACTGAGACTTCTTCAGGGACGCCCCCAGCGCTGCATTCTTCTTCAATTCTTGGCTTCTTTGAATCCCCGGACCCGCCGGCAAACACGAGGTGCAGCTGGGAAACGCTTCCTTCGCATCCATATTGCAGCCTATTCTTCGGGTACCTCGGCTTTCTCTTCTCGACTATTGAACTTGCTTTTTCTCACACAAATGTCGCTCGAATCAGATCATGGTGTTGGTGTCGTCCCGTGACGTCAAGTCACCCCTGCACCATCGACTACCGTTCATTACGCTAAATCTCCTCGGTCCCGCGGGACTCCCTCCGTGAACGCCAAGCAGGCCAAGACTAAGAGGCCCGAAGCCTTCTAGCTTCCATCAATGGACCACTTACAACAAGACAGGCCAGTAACACAAAACCCGCTGTGATTGTTAGTCGCTCCCGAGTGTTTGGCTCTACTTCGCTAGCTGGACGTCGATTCATACATCTTAATCTAATGATTGGATGTTGTGTAAGTCAACTAAGGCCCCATTGCTTTTTCTCAGACCACAACAGCAACGAACTCGTATCCACAGCCTTCAGCAATGATCTAGCAGAATCGACTAAAGATGGCTGCTAGTGAGAGGAAGAGGCCTTATAGCTGATGGAGGCAAGCCAGGAATAGATTTGACGCTACGTTACCCGATCTCGATTCCTGGCTCCAGACCATTTGCAACTTACGCTGAATCTGTAGCATACAGTATCAAAAGCCTTTCTACTAGCCATACCCTAGGTGGCAGTCCGGCCACATCCGCAAAACCCACCAAACCTTCGCTTGTAAGTTGGTCTAAGGCAAGAACCTCTTCAAACTCGGTCGACTAGGCCCCGAAAAGTACACCTTCGGAGCCGGTCGACGACTCGACCTCATCTTTGCCAGCGTCCTTCGCGTTTACACAACGACGCCCATGTCGACGGCCGAGGAAACCAGATTCGCGGGTGCACGAGATTGCGCAAAGGCATCCGGGAACACTTCTTGCGCAATGTGACGGGTGTAAACTGTTCCGAACAAGGCCTCGACCTGGTGGATAGCAAACTCGAATCTGGCCATGTTCAACCTTTTCTCAGCTACTCACGTATTCCCTATTGCACCACCACGTCTCTCCATCACATTTCGACATACTCCATACTCCACATCAACACAGCCAATATGCATCCGTCGATCGCTAGGGTTGCTCGACTTTTTATTGCCAAGTAATAATGTTCCATCAGCTGCTAGAAAGCGTCAAGGCCTAGATGTATCTTACATATACTTTATAAGTAGTAAAGAGGTATTGTGTATCAGTTCGATCTTGTATTCCTTAAACCCGCCTGTAAAATCCTTCAAAATGACTCAGTCTTGCAGGAAGGCTCGAGATGGATGTAGTGACGCCCAGCAGTTGATGGGATACATGATGCAGGAATGAATCCAGGCCTTGTTTACGGACCTATCTCGGGTACATGATCAGAAACATCTCAGTAGTAATCGAGTATGTCAGAAAGAATTTCGAGTGGAACAAGTCATGGGTCTTGGCAGGTCCAGCGATCATTCGAGTAATACAGCTCATTTACAGCGACTATGGAGACGATGGAACAGTTCTTGGGCCATATCTTGATTGAGGTTTCTCTAGGGTGCTACTACCGCTACTATCATACCAGCTGCCTTCGTGAGTGCTTATGCACAGTTGGCCTTGGTTACCAGTGGATGTGTTGAGCGAATACCCTACCTATGCTTTTTCCCCTCACGAGTTGATTTGGTCGACTACCTAGGTATGCACACGGCCGCAAGCACTACGGCCCTCAAGTAGCAACTCATGAGGAAATGCAAGTGGACAGCAAGCCTACAAGCCATTAACCTGCTCGTAAAGAAATTGAATTAATTTCAACACTGGGCCACGCGGTCCTCAGTTCAACAAGGTGTAACAACCTTGCGATTCACATAAGACCTAGCAAGTGACTCAATAATTCTCGTCAAGACATCACTTTTCAAAAACCTGAGCAGCAAAAGCTTCAAATTCTGTGGGCCGCCTAGAATACAAGGTCCTCAATACAGGAAAAGTCGAGGAGTCTTGTCGGTCTACCGGAGCCAATGGCGAACATGTGCATTTGCAAGCGCGCATATCATTCCTCCGTGTGCGTTGCTTTTGAACATCGCACTGACTTATGGTGATGTGAGGTCGATGATCTCGCTGGCCGCAGAAGAAGCAATGATATGGCTAGGCACACCCGCCTCCTCAGCCGAGATCATCAGCGAATCCTCCATGCCCTCATCTGTCTCGGCAGTGCCACCCCGCCCAGCAAGAGTTCCATCATCTTGTCTACTGACTGTCCACGCCCCAATCGAAGGATCATACTCGAGCAGATACATCCTCTCAAGCTTCTCCTCGCCGTTGTACTCCATCGCAATCTCCAAATTGGGCTCGCCATAGTGCCCCATAAACTCCAGCTCCACCTTCACCTCCCCTTCAGCAGCCAGCTCGCCCCGGAACGGGATGGTAAACGGCTCGGTCCTTGCGACGCGCCTGTTACCCTGCATTCTGACAGACTGCAGGAACGTCGCAGGTGTACCGTCCACGTCGACGCCCCTCGCCGTAATCTGATACCTCTCCTCGGCAGTCATCTCAACCTCCATGACCAACCTACGACGAAGCACGAAACTAGGAATAGGTATATCCAGCTTCTCCATAACCCTGACCATCAAATCGTCCGTCGTGGCCCAAAACCGCAGCGACTCGCTCAGGTGATCAAGCGGCGTGCTCTGCAGGTTGCAAATCACGAGAGTCCCGCCAGCGGGGTTCGTCTTGGTACGCTTCTTCTTCCCAACGGTCTCGGGGATCGTGCATGCCGGCGGCACCGTCAGGGACGAGCCCAGGGCGAGGCAGAGGTCTGCTTTTTTGGCGTTAGAGCGGGCGAGGGCGAGGGGCTCTGCGGGGAGGTACTCGCCAAAGTTGATGATGGTATCGAGGAGGGTGCCGTTGCAGACTGCGCATTTTCGGCCGGTGCGGTGATCGCGGACCGTCTTTTCGTAAGTTGCCACGGCGCGGAAGTCTAGTCCCGGTCTCAGCAACTGGTGTGGCATTAATGGCCCAAGGGAAGGAGAATGCAATACTCACCTCGAAGATACTCTTTGCCGCAATCCTTGCAATACTCGCGGTTGCTGTTGCCATGAAGCTCGGAAATCTTCTCCTGGAAGACAAGTATCAATACAGGGTGAACAATCGCAAGACCGTCTCCTCTAGCAGAAATAGCTAAAGATTTGAACGTACGGGTAGAATCCCACTCTTGCGATGCAAGCCGTCGCAGTTTTGACTGACAAGATACTTCAAGATGCCTCGGTCCTGCAGCTCAACGAGCGCCATGTGCGTCTGCGTAGGGATGGCTTGGAGTGTGCTCGTCGTCTTGCCGGTTCTCTGCCTTCCCTGGGCTCTGAGTGTCCAAGCACCTTCGGGTCCGCGGAAGTCGGGGATTCCTGAAAGCGCCCATCTTTCAGCTCTGGATCGCATCAAATCCGAGGTACAGGTGCAGTGTGCACCGAAACGTTGAGACACCCCATTTGCAACTCGTTTCTCGGAATAGGGAATCCGGAACTCACCTGCAGAGGTGGAGATACCTGCACCGGTGAAGGCGATGAAATGCTTGCTCTTCTTGATTTGCTCTACTAATCGAGAGGCTTTTGCGTCAAGGATGTCGAGAGCCTCGCGGCGTTCCGCCTCAGCTTCTCTGGGAGCGCTGTCTGCCATGGTAAGGTGCGAGTTTCGAGACACTAGAATACGTTCTGTGTTCGCCCAAGGATTTAAGAGTAGGCTATTGAGTCTGGAATTGAGTCGTTCGACAGGACTGCTTTAATACAGAATCTCAAGTGAAGATCATCGTCTTGTTGAAGCTTGGTGGTGTTGGCTACGTGATGTTTGATTGGACATCGAGAATGTTTTCTACCAAGATTAGGCAGCCGCGACCCTCTTCCAACTTTTGATAAGCCATGCTTATTTGTGAGTTTTGGCCTAGCGCCGACTGAGTGATCATGAACTGGTGTTAGTGATGGTGCAAACTTGAAGTACACGACTCAAGCCCGATTAACACATACATCCTTTTAATGCATGACATCTAGTCAATCTCGGGCTTTGGTCGGAAATGTTCCCACCACAACCATTTGAAAAATGAGTGCCATTTTGGGCTAAGCGGGCATTCCAGAGGCGATTGTACTTTAATGGATCAAAACTCGGCAAGAAGAGGGGTCTGAGAAGGTTGGAGGGAATCAAGCACAGTTTTGATCCACCCACTTGTTGGTCATCAGCACTCTCTCGTCCACCAGTTCACATGCAGGCAGAGAAGTAGCCAAAAGCAGTTGAGCTATCCGGTGCACATTGACCCTTTAGCCTTCGCACAGAATTGAGCGTCGCGATCTTGAATGCCAATTTTGCAGTCATCTCAAAGCCCACTTTGAAGATTGCAGGCTTGGTGTGCGATGGCGAAAAGGAGCCTCATCTCCGGCTGGTGGAGTCCGGCGTTCCCGCGAAGAAAAGTTGTGAGTAACAAGATGCAGTTCCAATCACAGCCGAAATGATTGAACTGCTTGACTAGGTAAGCACATTCTGTCGGATTGGAAGTCCAATTCGACCTCGAGGCAAGGGGCCCGCGCAGGGGCCACTTACAGACCATACTTACGAGATCTACGGTCTACCCAACCTCCGGTTAGAACCTCCTTTTTACACCTTACGCAGAAGTTAAATATATATAGATTTTGACCTCTTCGTCACCCACGGTTCGAACCATCCCTGTGATAGGAATACCAACACATTCGTTGGTATGAATATGCGACGACAGATTGCGAGAAACATGTGCATATCTCTCTTATCACTACTAACTCTTACCTGTAATCATCCTAGCAAGTGGGAGACAGTTTGCCCCAAGCTACGTTCTTGCCATTCCTGATAATGCTGCTACTGCTGGTGCTACTCTCTTTATGACTTTTGTATTGCTACTGTTCTTGCGACTATTCTACTTGTTTCTCCGTTCATTTCATGGTCGGAAAGCATCGAAAGCTTATCATGATAATGATGGTATGTGTACGGGTCATTGAAGGGGAGGGGACTAAATCTGCTCGCGATGATATTGCTCACTTCGGACCGAACATCACCCAACGATGATTGATGGTGGAATGATTCTGGTCGACGATGGTGGTCGAAATTTCGAACAACGTCAAGGGTTGCAAACCTTGCGCAAGTGTGGCACCTAGGGTATGCCTTCTCATAGCTTGACTTCCCAGTTATTGGAGTTCATACATGAGTTACGATTCCTCCTCTAGAACAACGCCGGTTTCCAACCACCCGCGATGCCCCTAGCACCGCAAAATGCAACAAATGCAACCATATACGCCGCCCCCGCGAAGATGATCAAGTTTCGATAAGGCTCGCTCCCAGTCTTCACTAAGAAACCCGCCAATGGGATGCCAACCAGCGCACCGAAGCTCGCAATAAAGTACGCCATGCCCGTCGACTTGCCATAGTCTTCAATCTTACAGACTCGAGAGATGCACACGGGCGACAAGCTTATGGCAGCTCCAGACCAGAAGCCGAACAGCGTGGTGAAGGACATGATCTTGGCATCTACGTCGCCGGCGGCAAGCCACAATCCCAAAATCAAAACACCGCAGCAGAGGGAGGTAACACACATGGTGTTGAAGGCGCCCACACGGTCGGCGATGTATCCAGGCAACATACGCCCTGGTATCGCGCCGGCGTTGAGCAGGACGTTGAGGAGGAATGATTTCTGCAAGCCCAGTCCCTTTTCAATGGCGTAGGACGAGATATACGAGTACGGGATGAACACGGCAAACTCCACAAAGAAGATAGCTACCACTGCGACCCCGAATTTGAGGTCACGCAGAAGACGAAAGTCAATAAGGACCTTGGCTTTGCGTTTGGGCGGGAGCCGTTTACGTAGAAAGATGTTTGTGATGATCAGGCTGCCCGCTGAGATGAAGGCAATGATGCGCATGGCCCAGGGGAAACCGATGCGGGGCGCGAGGTACTGGATGATGAGGGAAAAGCCGATGCCGCCGAGGCCACCGGCCGTGCAGGCTACGCCGGTTGCGAAGGCGCGGCGCTCGCAGAACCAGTGGCCTATAGCTGAGAGGGCCGGGTTGAAGAGGAAGGCGGCGCTGATGCCGCCGCAGACGCCGAAGGAAAGAAGCATTTGGTAGAATTCTAAGTCGGCCGATGAGTGTCAGTGGGTTCATTGCATGAGAGCGCTGATGATGGAAAGCTGGGTGTGGGTGATTACCTGTCGACAGACTGAGAAAGATCATTGAAGCAATCATGCCGATAGAGCCTGGCATAAGTACCACTCTGATATCGAATGCGTCAAATACTGGTCCTGCGGTTGACTCGATCGTCAGTCTCTACTGGGCCTGTAGCACTCCTAGGATGACCAACCAACTTGTGCTCCGCAGGCCGTAATAAAGAAGGCGTAACACGAGAATATCCATCCTGCTTTGCTTTCGGGAACGCCTTTGAGCTCATTCTGCAGCAGCCAGCCCTGGAGCACGGATATGGTGTTGAGGATGCCCATGGGAGGGATCATGGCGCACCACGCGCCGACCACCACCATCCAGGCTTGGAAGCCGCCCTCGGGATACTCGCCTTCATCGTCATGAAGCTCATCGGCTATTTGAATTCATCAGGACCTACTTTCATGGGATTGCAGGAAGAGTTTCATGGGCTGGTTTAGACTTACTGGTGTGCACCGCTGTCTTTGGGGCTTGAACTGTGTCTTGGTGACCAGGTTGACTGGCGGTGGGAAAAGCTTCGATGCTTGCGCGATCGTGTGAAGATCGAAGATCCATCTCAGGGCTGATGCTAGCTTGTTTCTCTGTGTTTCGCCCTCGGTGGTCGTGCCGGTGTTTCTCTACCGTTTCCTCCATTTTGATGTTCGCGTACCCCCGTCCAATGGGAGGTCTTGACTCTTAGTTCTAGCACGACGCAACTTCTAGACGTCAATAGTCCTACCAACAAGAGAACAATCTTGGAGGAGTCAACTCAGATACGGCCAGGTAGAAGAGATGACCACTGCCCTCTGACTTTTGATGCATGAAGCGGGCAGTGGCCGGCCATTGACGGAATTGGATACCGCCGGACCGGTCCGAGTCGTTGAGGGGCAAGCAGAGCGGAGCGCGCCGATAGCTCGGGAACGCCCCCACCTTCTTATCCGGACACTCAAGGTAATTTGTCGCGAAATGTCACTGGAGCTTGCTGATAAGCCAGTCCCCCATCTTGACAGTGAAGTGATGGTTCGTTGAAGAACGACATGTCAAGGCTGCAGGCGAGGATATTTGGTTAGTCGAAGTCATCCAGTCCTATGACATGATGTGCTCTTGTCGAGGAACTGACGATAAGGAGATGTCTTCTCATGTTCCAACAGGCGGGTCACGTTCATGCAGCCCATTTTGCATCATCTCGGGATTGGTGCTTTAGGCGATTCAGTGAGCCCGCAGTAGTCTTCAGCTGTCAGAAATCCCGAGTCAGCAAGGACCTTGATCGAGGAAGATGCATGCCAGTGGTGATATTAGAGAATGCCAGCGACTAAATGGAGATAAAAGTGGTTCGCTGTGATTGGCATCGGCTAGAAGCAATTGACGCTTAGAAGCAAATGCTTAGAAATGCATGCCACCACGATAGCTTCATGGATACACGCTCAATGCACGCGTACACAACTGTCCGGCCATAACTGCACAACATCACTTGTGCTCTCTCTCACTGAAGCTCACATTTTGGCTTCAAGTAACTTCATTCGGTAACATCGCCGAGATTACGGACCAATTCAAATTTCCATCATTATAGACATCTTATCATTATCATCTTACAGAGCTACACAAGAAACAATGCAGACTCCCAAACCTGGGAAAAATAACAAAACGCTCCTAACAAAACCCAGCGCTGGAGAATCTGGTCTCAGCGAATTGTCTTTGCGAATGGGGTGGGGGATCTCATGCAAAAGAGTAGAGAAGCTCTACTGGTATCAAACTGTGCGCTGCGCGCCTACATCTCCATGGATGCAAAATGAAACAAGAAAACAAAATGGAGACACACAATCTCTGTCGTCCAAGTAAAATAGTAAATCAGAATCAGATCGGTTGAGGCTCGTCGACGCAGGTAGGTTCGATGATCTCGCTGGTTGGCGCAGTGGCAGCAGAGATATCTGCCACAGCGGGTTTCTCCTCGGCTGCCTCATCCGCAGCAAGATCAGTATCGATCGCGATGGGACCCATCTTCTCCGATGAGACAGAGATAGACGGGATCTCCTCCACAGTGGGCTTCTCCTCAACCTCAACATCCTCCGGAAGAGGGACATCCGCCGGAGCGGGAGCATCACCCGTGGTGGCCTCCGTCTTCTCGGTCTCCGATGACACAGAAATAGTCGGGACCTCGATCAGAGGAGGCTTCGCTTCAATCTCAACATCGGCCGTGGTGGGCTCAATCTTCTCCACTGCCGGCGAGGCAGGCACGACAACGTCGTTGAGGGCGGGCTTTTCTGCGGCTTCTTCGTCCGTAGCCTGACTGACGGGCGCCGCGGTGGGCTCCTTCTTTTCGATTGACACGAAAGTGGACGTGACCTTGTTCAGCGCAGGTTTCTCTTCGTTCTCGTCGTCGGCCGTCTTGTTGGCAGCTCCTGTGATGATCTCCATCTTCTCGCGGAACGAGTCATCGTAGTGCGAGAAAACAGAGGACGTGCGGCAGGTGTCGAGCGACGATCGGGCGGTGGCCGGGCCGTTGTACGAAGAGAAGGTAGTGTCGGCGACGGACGAGATACGGCTCCTGGTCGAGTTGGACCTGGTGAGTGGGACCTGCTGCTGCATTTGCTGCTGTTGCTTCTGCTGCTCAAACTTGGCCAGCTTGTCTGCCACACTGCCCTGCATGTTCCTGAGGACGGGGAGATCGCCATTGATCGTCGACTTCTTCTTCTTGCCCTCCTCAAGCTCGCGGATCCAGGCGAGGCGGTCCGAGGCAATACGCGACGATGCTCTCTTGGTGCTGCTCCCATCGAGGTCGCGACCACGCCACGGGGCGGATGCGGATGGTGGGCCGGACGATGTTGGTGTTCCCGATGCTGAGGGCACCGATGTCGGCGCCGGTTGCCAAGACCGTCTCCGGTCTGTGTTGACAATCTCTGCGAGGAGGAGCTTATTCGGCGCGGGGGCGGTCGCAGTTGTCGTTGACGACGAGGACATTCCTGTGGGATTCGAGTGGCGCTTTTCCGTGTTGTGCTGCAGCCGTTGCTGCCTGGCAACGGCGTCGGAATTTTGGTGGTGGGGCCTAATGACAGGCTCTGCTGGCGTGACGATAGAGGCGGCCCGTGACGGGATGTAGGCCGGCACGAAGGCGGCGCGTCGTGGCGGTTCGCGAAGCGGCAGTTTGTTGGGCTGGGTCGAATTCGATGTTGATGCCGTAGAGAATTGGGAGCGAGTTGGTGCTGCAGCTGCACGAGGGGCCTCTGGTGGTGGCCATGGCTTCGAGGGGTGTGATTGAGGTTGGCCGGTTGAGCTGTTATTGATGATTACCACGCTTGATGCGGTGCTTGGTGCAGCTGCCGCCCTAGACGACATGGAGGGAGCTTGGCCAGGGCGACGTGCTTCGGCAGGCTTGCTGTTGGCGACTGATGTGAGTAGTGATGGCGAGGATTTGTTGAGCGATCTCATGTCGACCGTGGAGAGCGCAGCTGTCGTCGCCTTCCTAGCAAACATGTCGGCGATAGGCGTGATTGTTGAGGTCCGCGAAGAAGTCTTCTTGACTTGCCTCGTTTGTTCCGCTCCCCTCGCGGGCTGCGACGGTGCAATGCGGAAGGCCTCGAGGGACTGCAGGTCAATCTCAAGACTAGAAGTCCCGAAATCCGACACCTGGACTCGCGGCAAGGCCTTCATGCTCTCATCAAGGGAAGGTCGCTCCTGTCGTGACTCGCCCAAGACAGACAATGTTGTCTTCTTTGCTTTTTCCCGGCCGCGCCGAACAAAGCCCGACAGCTTCTCCCTGACGGAGGGAAGCCGCCGCGGGCCTTTCCACTCGTCGGTGTTCCGTTCATGTTTGCTCGACATGGTGTGTTTCCGGACTTGCTTGACCCCTTCCTTTTGGGAGAGCAAGGTAAGGTTGTCGTGTTCAATCCTTTCGAAATCGGAGTTCCAACACAGAGCCAAAGGGGGGAGGAAATCCCCCACCGCAGATCACGTGAAGTAAACAAAATTGGCCCGGAGATCGCATTGATGCAGGGGCCGCTCATACCACTCTAATTTGTCTCACGGTGACAAACCGCCCCCTGACAGGGGTCTAGCACTGCAACCTCAGGACACGTCGTTAGTTTCAAAGCCTATTTCGGTGCGCTGTCCCGGATCTTCAATCAAAAATGGGATTTGCCAATTAGTCACGATGCTTCTAGAAATGATCTAGAAATGAGTTTAATGGAGTTTTTCTGCCTCTATCCGCAACTTACGTCATGAGTCATCTCGATCACCGTTCAGGAGAGGTTCAGGAGGGAGATGTGCGTTGTTTTATGACTATGGCCATCACTCATTCACAAATCTCATGATGGACTCAGGAATCTTACATAAGATTCTCAACGCTATTCATGAATTAGGCAGATGAGTGCATGCGCATACGGTGGAACACGACTCGAGAGTCTCGGCTGAAGGAGACTAGGACAACTTTTGAGAAGCACCAGGAAGTGGAGATACCTTGATCAAGCTTCACTGGAACCGTGAAGAGAAGAATTGAGGCTTTAAATGATATTGTAGCCGTAAGTATGAGATATCCTGACATCGTGGAGAGGTTTCAGCTTCCATGTCACAGTCTCTTCACTCGAGGCGAGTTTGATGGTACAAGTACTCACACGACGCTTGGAGTGATTGAAGCGGTGTCTTCAGTTCTTCTTTTGGTATCTTTAGACTCAATTCCTCCAACATCCAATCTCTATTGTCTCTTGAGATTCCGTCAATTAACTCAATACCAGTCCGCTTAGGACCTTAGCAACCCGGAGCAGGTGCCTACGGATGCTTTGCAAGTAAATTCCACTTGCGCCTGAGAAAGTACACATATAAATAAGAACATAAGCGACCAAGTCAGATTCCGGGGACTTCAAGTGACGTAACTACCTGCCGCTCGATCTATTAAGCTCTCGTGAACCAATTCATCACAAATTTCGAGATCCAGATTTCATGAACGGATCAAACAGATTAGATTCCAATTTTGGGCCTGTGAGATCCAACTACGGGACGTCGGCAAGGGCTTATGAAAATAGAAAGGTTGCTCTCTTGCTAAAGCCTAAGGGTGCTGGTAATCTTTGAATAGTAAGTCCTCATTTTGTGGACGAGAACTTGCTCGGAACCTTGGTGCCAGGTCAGGAACCTGGAAGGCGACGGTCGTCAACGAGACTCATTATTTGAGTGGGAGAGAACGTAGTTCCGAAGGTTGATGTGAGATGAGAACTTCAACGCCTATAGATTATGAAGAGGCAGGCTTTAGGAGTTCACTTTAGATCCTGTTTTATATACTCTTGGCATCATCAGCCGTTGTTGCTTGATATCATGTCAGCCCAGATCGGGGGTTGCCCTTAGTGAATGGGTTCTGGCTTCAAAATTCCACCGTCATCGCAGGCTATGATCTAGGCGACTTGGCCCGATGAAACTGCGACGAGAAGACCGAGTAAGCTTCCGTTCCGGCAGTGCAGCGCAGAATTTCAATCCCTAGAGATTCGTTGAAAATGAACTAGCTAGGAAACGCTGGTAAGTCATCTGGCGGGTTCTTTCCAATAAAAACAGTTGTAGTTCTATGCTGGGCAGAAGGCCATTGAAACTCAGAGCAGGAGAGGGTAACGCGACAGGGTCATAACCGATACTACCTAGTACTTAAGACTTAGCAAAGCCTTCAGGGCATGATTCCTACCTTCCTCTCTGATTCCAAAGCGGTGTGTAAGAGACATTGAAGCAAATCACATTCTCTGTCATTCCAGAGCGACTGGACTTCGTTACTTATATGTCAACTGTCCACGCGCATGCATGCCGCCGTCAAAATTCTTCCTCCAAGTTCCATTGTACTTAGAAGGATCAATTTTAAGCACGGAAGGGAGTGTAGGATGCAAACATGACTGGACTTTCTCCAAGTGAAGCTAACCCTTTCCTCCCTTGACCGACCAATCATCACGGTTTTCCAACTCCGGTGCCCCGATGCAACCCCGGCCCTCCTGTGCCCCGTCACATTTTCTCGGTGGCAGCCGACCGAGATTTCCTAATTCTGCAGGTTTCTTTTCCGATGGCGCCTCCTCGCTACCGACGTTTCAGGGCCACACATATCCTCCCTCCGGCACATCGACCATACAAGCGCCTTGTGAGCTCCTAACCATGTTATCTTGTGTTGGGTGTCACTATACCAAGCGTCCGATTCAGGCATTACGGATGAATGCACTCCATCATGGCGCCCCCTTTTTATGTGCTCGTGACAGGCGCCTGCCGGGTTTTCAAGCAAGGAGGAATGTGGGAGACCATAGAGATGCGGAGAAGAATCAAGTTCTCCGGGGTTCTCGTCTAATATGTGACTCGGGAGTTGTGCCTAGCATGCTACGCCAACGTGTCAGTGTGACTACTCCACGATGGCACGATTTCTGATTCTGGGCTTCACCGTCAACTGGAGATCTTGGCTCGCGTGCCAATTAATTAATATCGAATGCCGTGATCCCGACGCTGTCGACATGCCATCTGTGACTACCAATGCAGAACTATATATGGCGCGCTCCTCGTCTGTTTGAAATGCATTCTGCCTGAACTAGATAGCGCTCATCATCCAGGCTCTCGGAAACGCAGGCAATCTACAGAGTCGTCGAAACCATGGGCAATATTCTTCCTTCTTCTCTTCTCCTCGCCTTGGCGGCCACTGTCGCGGCTCATGGCCACGTGGATTGGCTCGTGGCTAATGGCGTCGCTTACCGCGGCTGGGACTCTCCTACATTCACATACTCGCCCCCAACGAGTCCCGTAGTAGGCTGGAAGATCGATGCCCCCGATAACGGTTTCGTCGAGCCTGTCAACTTCGGTACAGGCGATATTATCTGCCACAAGAATGGAAGCCCGGCTGGCGGACACGCCACCGTCGCTGCTGGCACCAACATCCAGCTTGTCTGGAACACATGGCCAGAGTCACACAAGGGTCCGGTGATTGACTACCTTGCCAAGTGCACCGGCGACTGCGAATCGGTCGACAAGACAACCCTCAACTTCTTCAAAATTGACGCTGGTGGTCTGATTGATATGTCCCTCACGAACGGCAAGTGGGCTGACGATGTCCTCATGGCCAACAACTTCACCTGGACCGTTCAGATCCCGTCAACGCTCGCACCTGGAAACTACGTCCTCCGCCATGAAATCATCGCTCTTCACTCTGGCGGCAATGTCAACGGTGCCCAGGCATACCCGCAGTGCTTCAACCTCCAGGTCACAGGAGGAGGTTCCCTGGCCCCCGCCGGCGTAAAGGGCACGGCACTGTACAAGTCTGACGACCCGGGCATCCTCTTCAACCTCTACACGAGCCCTCTTGTCTACCCTGTTCCAGGCCCCACCCTCGTCTCTGGGCTTGCCTCGACCGTTGCTCAAAGTACTGCCCGCATCACCGCCACGTCGAGCGCGACCTTGCCCGGAGGAAGCGGCGGCAGCAGCCCGACTACGTTGAGGACGACTACTACTGCCGCGGCACCTGTCACTACTACCACAGCCGGAACGACGACCACCACAGCCGCGAGTGGTGGCACTGGAACTGTATCCAAGTACGGTCAGTGTGGAGGACAAGGATGGACTGGTGGGACTGTTTGTGCTTCTGGATCGACCTGCACAGTATTGAACCAGTACTACTCCCAATGCACCTAAGTTTGACTGAGTCCAAGAGGGTTTGAGTTCAGAATCACGTCATCTTGTACATACAATCTTGGTTTCTTAAACATGACATTGCATTCTATGTTGTGTCAGGTGCAGAGTGTCATGGAGCTAAATAAGTGAAGAAAAATGTATTGCAGGGCCGAGGTGTATTTATCCATGAGTCCAGATATTAAGACCAGTTTTGATACCGTTTTCGGGAGGTAAGCCAGCGTGTAGTGTCCTGGGGTCAAGCCTCCTCGCGTTCGTCCAGCTCTTCCAGAACAATGCGTTGCCGGGAACAGCCTTGACTGTGAGAGCATCGATGTCTTCGCACTCTACATATTGACGCCAGCTTGGATCCTCCATTGTCCAATTGATGTGAAGATTTGGGAATTGAGTCCCACATCCATTGCATGTCGCTTCGACAGTTGCGAAAATTGTTGTCAACCGATGTGTTGACGTATCATTGCTACTGTCTTCGAGGGGATCCACATGGGGACGGAAGAGCTGGCCGGCGCCATATCGCGTCAGTTGTAACGATTCATGGTGATCCCCGTCCGTGTAGCCTTGGATTTCGGAGGCGCGTTTGATTACTCGCTGGACGAGGATGTCTTCATCGGGGAGATAAGCGGTACTGCTTGTTCGATCCGTGTCGATTCCTTGTTCGCCGTCAATGTAGACCGTGGATCTCTCAAACAGCGGGTTTCTACGAAGAACATGTTAGCGCAAAAGACTTGAAGGAGAGGGAAGACCTTACCCGAGATGGATGAAGTGGATTCTTTCTGCCCACGAAAGAAACCCAACGACATATATCATCAGCGGATCATAGCTTAAAATGCGAATTGAGTAGGTCTTTTCCACAGGTTGGAGCAGCAGTACCCAGTACAGATACGGCAAGAGAATTATGAAAGTAGGAATTAGGACACCCAAGAAAATCAATCTGGTAAAAAAAATCTTGCTACTCATCTCGAGGCCAACGCAAAATTGGTATTAACCAGAGAGCTGCTGCTTGAGTGAATTCCGGCGTGTCTGTCGCATTACGGATTGAGAGCCGTTGGATGAAGCAAGGCGAAAACCACCGTATTAGGATCTCATCCGTACACAGTAAATAATCGCAGCCTTGAAATCGAAATCTGACGACAGGCGCAACAGTCAAGGCTAGAGTGACGTCCGAGTCCTGTAGGAACTTTGGTCTGATATCGATTGGACGAAGTCCTTCCCAGTTTGGAGTTGTTGTGGTACCATCTCCAACAAATCGTTCATCGACCCTGAACTATCGATGGGCAGATTGTGCGGTCGATTAATCTTTAGGGCTGACTCAACGCGTAAAAGATGATTAGACTCGCAAGAGAATCGCTTGAAGATGCTGTCTTGGTGTTAGTCGGCTGTTCTTTTCGGTGGCATTATGCCCGTGCCGTCAGGAACACTTGGCATATGAGCAGAAACTTGCCCCGCTATAATAATCACATCATTTAGTTCGATCTAGACTTGGCGGAGACGCCTTCTGAAAGTGCTTTGCCTCATTTGATCCGATGTATATGTAGATTTTCTCTTCTGCAGCCCCACAAATGTAGAACTACAATATCTCAGAAAGTCAGCTTCAGAACGGCCAAAGGCAACCCGTGGAGGGTACGCTGTTCATCATGTCATCAAGGCAGTACACATATAACGATAGAGCTAAACAGTGAAAGTTTAGCCGACTGAAGATGGGTAATCCTAGGGTATCTGGCCAGCTATGCACCCCTGCGCGATCCATCTCACTGAAGTTTGGACAACCCCATACCTAACTCCGCCAGATCATATTACATCCGCCGTAGAACCGCGTAATCTTCCTGAATCTTAGCTGTGAGCAGTCAAAAGACTCTACCCAATCAAAATTTTGAGATGTATAATCTCCCGGGCGGGATCAAACCATGATTAGATACAACTCAAAGTTGTCCAAATCATGCCGTGGGGGTCTTCCCGGGACTTAAACTTTATCACCGAATAAGACCAGCAAAGACCCCTCCGGAGGGCCGCAACTTTCTAATGCAGAGTTTCACACGGCTAAGAAAACCGAGAATCCTAATTCAATTTCGCGTTTTGTGTATTTGGGTTGTTGGGCAGCAAATACTGCAAACCGCAACTCAAACCTACACCTCTACTTATCCGAAATGTTTTCTATCGTATGCTAATCGTCGAACGACGAACTACCGATTATGACTGGGCACATGCCTTTATTTGAAAAAGATGTGATATATCCAGACGCGACTGATTGTGTACAGCTTTGCATACACTTGACTTACGCGGCCTGTAACATTTGACGAGCTGCCCTTGCTGTCGGGCCTGTGATCAGTCATCCTCGCCGGACGTCATTCCATTTCAGAGACATACAGGCATTATCAAGATCCTCCATCCAGGGCCAGTGTTGCCTATCTTAACGATGCGACCTAGGATGACCCCCTCCGAAAAAATCTGATGCCGTCGAGAATACGGGATCTTAGGAGCTTTTTGAAAACTCCGATCTGCAAAGTTCCGCTTCACGGCAGGATCCGAGTTACTCTGCCGACGACAACTTCTGATTGGACTAGGCAGAGAATTTGCTACGCGATGCATGTATCTCTGCATGGAGATTTTAAGCTTAACATTTCCAAATACAATTCGATATCTCGTTTGACTAAATACTTGTTGATTACTGAAGTTCCTCGGGTTCGATATCAAATTCCTGCCGAGCGACATCTGATTAGCCGTATCACAATGACGCTCAATGGACCTTGGTCTATATAGATCAGTCCTAGTGCCGCCCGCCCTGGTGCGAGGAGGACATGACCTGTCCACTAATAATTACATGTATCTATGAAGAACATAATCATAGTCTGAGAGTGTCAACTACAACAACTCTTTATGATGCGGGTTGAGATTGCTTTGCTTTTGCTGATGGGTGTGATGGTGCAGGCTGTGCCTCGTATCATGATCACTGAGAATGACGGGCTTCTTCGTGACTTCCAGGTAAGTACCGACGATGATGGAACTAGATTGTTTGGTCCCATGTACTTACTCACTGTTACCCAGATGAAGAACGCCATGGAATCCTTGTCGGAAAACTCGAATAAGCCGGAGTGGGTTGCACGTCCAAAGGGAAGAGTCCCTCCATCCGGCCCAAGCAAAAAGATCAACTGATGCCGAGAATACTCTACGTTTGAAAATGCCAATCGTTGGATGGGCACTATCTGTCTGATAAGTTCCATTGTACGGAATGATATATCCTCTAATCAAAGATCTAGAGAACTTTGTGTTGTTGACTAACCGCATGTCAACTAGTACGCGATGAATCAAAGATCTCAAGGCAACTCAAAGAAACCATTATCGATACTCTCCAAGTCCCTCCTTTAGAAATCGGCGCTAAAGACTTTGTCGGGCCAGCGAATCGAAACTAAGGAATTGAAGACAATCACTGTGACGTGCGATCCTGCGATGTTGGACGAAGCAACTCGGCAATAGTTCTTTTCTGCCAGCCTACATATAATAACTGTTGTGTATCCTGCGGTATAATCTGACTGTCGTTACAAAATAGTTGAGCGAGACCGGTATTGGCCAAATACTTGTTCGCGATTCATTCATATTTTCTACCCTCACTTGAGTGATGCTAAAAGAACCAAACACATTCGTTTTCAAATATTTTGTCTGAATTAGAGTATTATGTGACAAAAACCTTTCAGTCGAAGTTGAACACGCCCTTGCAGAATCAAAACTTCCAATTTGTGGTGTTAGTCTGGTAGCTGCGCAGCGTTTCCTTCTACGTCTAGGTGTCATTGAACTGCACACTTATTCGCTCAATTCGACATATGCACGCGGTCAAACATTCTCTCGACCTTTCCAAGCCCGGTATGTGGGGGGATTATTGGGCATGTTGCACAGGTTGCACAGGCTACGTCTGATCGCCCTCTCAATTAGTAGTATCGCCAGTCGTACTAAGCTCCTTTGACATCGAAGCTTTCTCTCCTAGTGTTTCCTCGACTCTTGATCGGACGGCATGCTCGGCCGGGTTGTGGAGGACATCCGGGCCAGACCAAGACAAGCTTTTGCCTTCCGCTACTTAGATAGGAAATTCCTTGTTCAAAGCGAGCCAAAAATGGCCAACGTCATCCTTATTGTGCAGACATCAAGTGCTTGTAGCTGCCCCGTGTGACTCAACGTTCGTCTCTTCGAGCAGCTGGACGAAGGGAGGAGATGGAGCAGATCGCCATGGAGCTCGGATCATGAAGCGTAGTGGTTTTCGGATCCGTCAGAGACCCATTGAAACGAAACAACTCCAGGGCGCTCGGCCGATATATTAACACCGAAAAAGGGAGCTGAGCAGGTTTACTCTCAGTGTCTTTGAAACGTCGTCTCTCTCCGTGCGAGACCGAGACCGTGGGAAGGTCAAAGAGCACATGCGTTACGATGCCGCATTTGGTTCCTGTCACACAATGACAGTGCGCACGGCTTCGTCATTACCTGCAGCGATTGTTGATGATCCGAAGACCCAAGCCGCAGCATCTTTTGGAATCTTCCTGTCCCTGGGTGCCCTCCACACCTGCACGCCCAGCCGAGTGAGCCATAAGCGAGGGCTTTAGTTCCCAACTTTGGGCATCAGATCCAAACGAATGTTCCGCGGAGGATATGTCAAGCTCTGAATAGCCCAGATGCAAAACACGATGGGATCTGTGATCTTGGCTTGCATCCTAACCGAGCGCACCGGCATCACATCATGCGCATGCCGTCCTCGGACACTCGTGCTCAAGCGGACGGGAGGGACGCGACCCGTTACCTAAGGGGCCAGCACCTAAGTCTGTAATAGCAATTCCAGCGGCAACCCTGACCAGAAGCAGCCTGGTCTCATCACATGACCTGAGGAACACTCCATTCTGATCTTGGTCCGTGTCGGAGGAGTGCCAAGGATACTGATCTCCCGGCTCTCTGGTTTAAAACCCTGGAGGCGACAAGCTCGAAAGCTTGCTCGAGTCAGACGCAGGGTCTGCCCTCTGATTCCCTTCCCCTTCTTCAGCTCATCTCCCGCCTTCCTCTAATCTTGGATCTTCCTCGGTTTCCTTGTTCATTCAATCATACGTACTGCCGGAATATACGACACTTCATCAACATGGTCTACACGGGGAAGCCTTCGGGCGGATGCAAGTTGTGTAGGATAAGAAAGGTCAAATGCGACGAGGCAAAGCCATTCTGCATGAGATGCACGAAGTCGAAGAGACATTGTCCAGGGTATGGTCCCGTCATTCGCGATTCGTCAAAGTCCGCCGACAAACTCAAGAAGATGAGAACGAATAGCACCGATAGTAACATGTCGTCCATCGACTCGTCGATAAAAGCAAAGAACGGATCACCCGGATACTGTTGTGATAGGACAACGTCATTAAGCCCACCAAGACGGAACTCGTCCCCTTTCAAGATCGGATATGAGGAGGGGGACCTCATCGAATGCTTCAAAAACGTACCAGGAGGATTGACCAATCCGCTCGACGAGCAAGCCTCATGTCTTTTTCTCTCCGAATTTGTCAACGTACCTTTGACACCGACAGCTCGTGGCTACTACGCCTTTCTGCCACGTTTTCTTGGGCGTGGCGAGATCTCAGTCTGCCTTTCAACTGCATTTAAGGCAACATCCATGGCCGCCTTGGCGATGCGACAGTCGAAAGGAGCAAGAGGACCTGCCCTACTTCGTGCACAAGAGCACCATGTGGCTGCTTTACGAGCGGTTGGTCAAGCGATTGCCGATCCCAAGGAGATCGACAGTGATCAGACTCTGGGGGCCGTTCTTATGTTGGCGTTCTACGAGGTAA